TTTTATAATTATTATATTATTAACATTATATTATATTTATATATTATTTATATTATTATTTATATATTAAAATTAGTGAAAAATATTATAAACGCAATTAATTCAAAAATCCAAATTTAAAAAGAAGGTGTATATGTAAATTTTGTTTAAAAACAGAAATAAAAGATATTGAGAGACGCTATTGTTCTCGTTTTTCTAACTTGATCAATCGTTGGGTCTAATTCCTAACCTCATTGAACAACTTTCACGAATCCCTAGTGAATCTACCATCTACCGCAAATTAATCAAGGTTTCCGAGTTTTCCTGGAAAAAAACGAAGATGGTATGCAAGTCGATTCATATTCTTCTTTTCGTTTTATTTCTCAAAGAGTCTTTTGAAAAAAAGAAAATTCTAAATACAATAATAAATTTAATTTGAATTTAAAGAACAAAAAATTTTACCATAGAACAAAAATTATTAAACATTTTAATATTTGAATAAATAATAATTAATAATAAATATAAATATATAGATGTAATAATTTAAATTGTTTCGGGAACAATTTCATTTTCCTCTCGAAAGATAATTACATTATTCATATGCTAAATTTATATTTAAAATGTAAAGAGAATTAAATTTAAAAAAAAAAAAAATTATTTTTTAATATATCAATGCATTCAAAATTTTTGATATAAATTTATAGCATGATAAAAGTCTTTGTTAAACTTTTATTAATTATTCACGTCATGAATATTAAATATGACAGTAATAAAAGCTTCATTATTACATGAAATTTATCTCATTTATTAAAAGAAGGGAAAAAAAATTTCCAATCGATATTATCAAAATCTAATTAACAAATATTATATTTATGATAATAAATAAAAAGTAATTCGTGATTTTTAAATTAATTCTTTGCTTGAAAAACCAAAAATTTGGAATAATTCTTAAAAATTTTGTCCGTCTAAAACAAACATTTTCAATTGTTAGTAAAATTAGAAACAAAATAAATCGTTTTGTCTGACGAAAACGGAATTTTACTACTAATAGTAAAATTTTCATTATTTGATACCACAAATACTAGAATATTAATTATTATGTCTGACTAAAATTATGTTTTACTACTGAAATTTCATTAAACTTTAACCGCTGTCTGACTAATATTGACCTTTACTACTGAAACCGGCAATAATTATATTTTAATAGTTATGTCTGACTAATACTATATTTTACTACTGATAACAAAAATATTAATTTTGCTATTATTTATAATAATTGGTCGATTATTAATATGTCTGGCTAAAAATATCCTTTACTACTGATTCGATAATTCGTAAAATTTTTATTTATTTTGTCTGACTAATATTCGCAATTACTATAATGATATTTAATCGAACTTTACACATGTGTGAATAATATTGACTTGTGCTACTGACACCAAAAATAATTATATTTAAACATTCTTTTGTTAAGCCGAGTTTTGTCTGACTGCAATTTTCTTTTACTACTAAATAAAGAAAATATACATTGTAGTTTAAACATTTGTATCTGACTAAAACTATCGCAATAAAATTTTTTTAATTATTTTTTTGAATTCCATGTCCTTCAAAAGAATTTTAATTTATTAAATTCCTTATTATTCTAATTATATCCCAATTATGTAAATAAACAAACAAAATTTTGTGTTCAAATGTTGATTTTCAAAATTGTGTACATTTTCACATAATAATTACGTTAATTACAAATATATGTGTATATGTATAGCTATATAGAATACAATTCACAGTGAGATATATGTATAATTAAAATTCAATCAAGACAGAAAACAGTTTGCATATGTACCAAAACTCTAATAATTTGGTACTAGCAATCAGAATGCTGAGTCAAGTACAGATACTAGCTCTTAAGTCCTCGAGTTGGGTGAGAGGAGACTTAGAGGCAAGATGCGAAGGCGCAAATGGCATTCGAATTAATTTCCCTAAAGTTCGGTGGTAAATTATTAATATACTCGTGTCGTGGCTGGGGTAGGTTGTACATTGCGCGCGGGTCCTGCTGACTCTAGTTGTCCTCAGCTAAATGCGCTGTTTAATTAGGACTCCACAATCGTTAGTATCACTTGAATTGTCGGTGTCGACGTTAAACCAAGTGGTAAAATCCAAATGTCCAGCACACATGTGCGTTCAAGTTATTTACACTACAATTTACTGTTTGTAATTTTGTTTCAAAATAAAATAATAAATTTTCGTTTTATCTTTTTTTTAACGAATATAAATAAATTAAAAACAATTTATAAAATTCAGAAAATAAAAATGAAATTTTTTTATTGAAGAATTTTTTTTAAATGTCCCTATTTATAGAGAGAGAAAATTGCAATTTGCCAAGGGACAAAAAGAAAAAAAGGAGAGAAATTTTTGAAATCTTTTTAAACTTTCAAAAAGTTAATAACTGTAATTCGATGTGAAGTTTCCTTTTGCTCTCTTTTCTTGAATAATGAATGGGTTAACGATAAACTTGGAGAATCCTCTTGGTAGACAACTCTGTCCCAAAACTAGGAATTGATCACCATAAGTGATTTCCTTCCGTGAGTATAACCTCTGAGCGCACTTGGAATGCTTCGTTCCTCTGAGAATTTTGAGGCGACGTCTCATGAATGCAAATTAAAACGTTTGCTCTCTTTCTCTCTCTCACACACACACATACACACATACATTTATAGCCCCCATCCTCTATGGGACTTCCCAATTTACTTCACCTCACATTTATGAACGCTGACCAGAATTTAATGATACTGCACTTCAAGAAACTTTACTCTTCCTCTGTGAACGAAATTAAATCTTTCTAATTTACAAAATTTGAAATAAAAATTTTTCCTATCGAATTATTCGAAACTATTTTGTAATTTATTAATAAAATCTAAATGGACATTGATTTGATTAAAATTCCAAATACTGAGAATATAAATTCGACATTAATCTATAAATATAGAATGAACATACATTTCCTTATACTTTTTTTTTATATTCAATTAAAAAATAAAATAATTTGAAATTCATTTATTCATGAAAGAGAATAATTAATCTTTTAACAATAGAAATTAAAATTTTCCGCACAAAAAAAGTTAAATGACATTTTTGATATTTGGACAAATTAATTTTTAAATACAAAAAAAAGATAAAATTAGAATTGAAATAAAAAAAATAATAAAAAAAAATTTTAATGTAACTTTTATGTCAATTACTGTGTGTCGTATCTAGTGTTCTAATTATTTAAATTGACAAAAATTTTTCAAAATTATAACAATTGCAAAAAAAAACTCCGACGTAATTCAATATTTTATTTTTAAAAAAAATTATATTTTTCCATTTTTATTTGAGAAATAAATAATTAGATGAATTAGTTTTCTCAACGATTTCACAATTTTTTTTCTCCTATTTATATGATCTTTGATATTTCACAATGGAATGAAAATTTTATAATTGTATAAAAATATACCTGCTATAAGAATTGGTAAACTAGATTACAAAATGTCAAGCAGCATTAAAGGATCTCTTCAGTAAATTGTATTTGATTTTAATAATTTTTATCTACTTTTTCATTCAAATAGAGAATAAATTGAATAATAATCTATTTATTTTTTATCAAATACTTATTATTGTGAGACAATTAAATATTATATATTTACAAAGTAAAGAGATTATTGGCTACAAAGTGGATTATTTAAATGAGAAAAAAAATTTTAAGTTTGAATAATAATATTTTTACTTTGTCTGACTAATATTGACTTTTACTACTGATTCTACAATTGTTAAAATTTGAACATTTATGTCTGACTAATACTGGGTTTTACTACTGATACAAAACAAAACTAGTCACAATGTTATTACGTCTGGACTAAAACTCGATATTACTACTAGTAATTACTGAAATTAATCCTACGTCTGACTAATATGGACCTTTACTACTGATAATTCATAAAATTCGAATACGTGAGTCTGACTAATATCGAGTTTTACTACTTAGAATAAAAAAACTAATAAATAATAAATTTTACCTTTTGTGCTATCACAAAGATTACAAAATTTAAAAAAAAGTAGAATTTTGAAAAAGTACAAAAAAGTAAGTTTCTCTAAAATCTAAATAAAAATCAATGATATTAAAATGGAAATTTAAAAGAGAAAAAATCAAGACATTGCAAAGTAAAACTGAAAAATGCCAATAAAAAAATATATGTAGTCAAAGTGAGGCGAGTTTATTTCGTCATAGTGGTAAGGGCCAGTGTAAGTTAAACTTTGTAGTTTAGATGCTTATACTGTGCGAGACAGGTTGCGTACGTAAAGGCGAGCCAATATCGTTCAGAAGAGTTTTGTGAAAGAGCCTGGCGGTTGATGTCAGTGGTGCAAATAGAATTTCTCTCTTCCTATCCACACCCCTCCCCCCTTCCACCCCTCTACCTCCCGCATGTCAACCAACTTTTTCAAACACCAAAGGCCCCTTAACAACAAACGTCGAAAAATATCCTGTCAAAATTCAGAATTTACATATATTTCTAAATTTCTTTAAATAGAAATTTCAATAAAATTTTCTTTTTCTTTTTTTTTCTTCTTTTTATAAAAGAAAAAAATCATTAATGAAACGTGACTTGGCATTTAAATTACAAAACAATCCTCTAATCTATACTTTAGGAAAAAAGAGTAAAAAGAAAATTTACAAATGGAATAGCTCGTGACTCGAAGTTAGCAAATACTCATGCAACATTCATAACATTCAACCCCATCGTTAAAGTGCCACACCTACTCTTAAATCTTTGTCACAATCTGTTCAATTGCGATACAATCGGAAAAAAAAATTTACTATTCCATTTGTAGTGAAAAATTTAAAAATGTTTTCCGATATTGTATTTTGTTAACAACTAAACATTTGGAAATGTTTTTTTTTTTGACAATTTGAGGTTTATTTACACATAAGTTTTAAATAATGATAAAAAAATTGTAAAGAATTTGAATTTTTTTTTTTGTTGCAGCATCTACCTGTGATATGGTGTTTAATAGTGATACCACAAAATCGGGTATTGTAACTTCACCAGGATATCCAAATCCCTATCAATCAAGAGTTCGATGTAACTACGAATTTCAAGGAAGAGGGAAAGAAAGAGTTCAAGTTATATTTCAAGACTTCAATCTCTATCATTCTTCAGAGACTACAAAAGAGTAAGATATATTCAACAAAAAAAACTAATTTTCAAATTTTTATTTAAAAAATAACTAAATTGTTGTAATAAAAACAACTTTCAAAAAAATTGAAACAAAATATAAATCAGAAAATTCAAACAAAATGAAAATAGAAAAATTTCCATTCGAAAAACTATTTTGCAAATGTACATTTTTCTTGATCATGGTCTTGCACAACATTCATTTGAGTAAGATACATTACTCTTTTCTTCTTACTAAAAAATTGATATTTATTCGCGTATACCTGACATTTTCAAAAGAAAATACCTATCTTGAAACTTATTGAGAACTACAAAAGAATTCTTTGCATTTTTCTAAACCTTTAAAATCGAACACAGTTTCAATAAAATGGGGAAAAATACAAAAGCGAGAAGAAAAGATTCAAATTCTTGAAATGTTTGTTTTTTTTCGCCAAACTCCTTTCTAGTATAAACAGCTGATTGACGAAATTCAATTTTGCTTTTTGTAGAGAACTAGCACCCTTTTTTTTTGACTTCTTTTTATTCTGTTAAACATTTCATGTGGTAAAATGGAGAAAAAAGTAAATATATTTTTATTTATACAATCAAAAAATCCATATATTTTCGAAGGATTTATTGGGAAAATGAAATTTTTTTCAAATTTCTTTTATTGAGATTATTTTTATTCGAGAATAATTCAAATTTTATTATGTCTGACTATATCGATTTTTTCTACTGATATATAAATTTAAATTATTGTCTGATTATAAATGATTTTTCTACTATTTATCTACGAACTATTAAGTCTGACTAAAACTATTTTTTACTACTAATTCGAGATTTAATGAAATTTTAACCATTGTCTGACTAAAAATATTTTTTACTACTGATTTCAGAATTTATTACACCGATATTAAATTTTACATACATGAAATCTGTCTTATTGATATTTTTTCTCTAAAGTCAGAGCCTAATAAAAAGTATTGAAAGACAATTTTTTTTTCAACGAACAAGCAATAAGGAACGTTTTTCTTATATAATTCTTTTCACAAATCTCATTGATATTTTTCATCAAAGAATAATTTTAATTTTATTTCAACTTGAATGTCAAAAGTTTTAAATCAAACGCACACTTTTTTAGAATAAAAAAAAAAGTCGAATACTAAAAAAAAATTGTACCCTGAATAATTTCTTATCAGAAAACTTTTTTTATTTTATACACTTTTTCCACGACTTAAGGAAATATTTCTCTCTCAAAGCAATCAAAATGGGTAAAAAAAAAAAAAGAAAATTCAAATGCATGATAAGAAGAGTGTATAATTGACTACTAACGGCATTGACTTAATTAGTTTTGAAATTAAAATTATAATTGACATGCTGTAGTAAAAAAAGAGAAAAAGAAATTTAATCTTCTTAAAAGAGGCGCATATATTTTTTTTCTACAGATATTAATATCATTCAGAATTTTTTTTTTGTACAATTTCATATAACATTTTACTTTATGCTTTATATTTTATAACATGTGTTTGATGTTTCAAAGTATATATATAAACTTATTTCTTTGAAGTTGTTTATTGATACTTTTTTTCAAGCATATATCTTTTTAATATATGAATATTGTGAATTTGAAAAAAAAAATAGAAGAGAATAGCACTTTGTCTCATTAATTAAATTATCTTAAAAACATTTAGTAAATTGAAAAAAAATTTTGCTTGGATAAATTCAATCGTAGTATTATTTTCTGAATTATTTCAGAGATAATATAAAAAAGCTTCACTTTTCTGGCCAATTTCATTGAAATCATTGAACTATATGACTGTTTAGTGAAAAAAATGTTTTTCTTTTTTTTTTATTCTTTCAAACTTGATGCTTACGTGTGCATCTGATGTTCATTTTCTGCAAATATGTGCAATCGCAACTGCTGCGGCAGGAGATATCAATATTCCTGAATAAGAGTCACAATGCAAACATACATGTGTTTCAACTCATGAATACACCCCGGGTTAGAGAAGGTTGATGCACCTGAAACAATATCCTTTACTGAGAATGCAATCACCCACTTCTTTTGATATACCAGAATATTTTGATTTGAAAAAAATTTCCGCATAGATGAGGTTCATTTCATTCATTTTGCCCAAGCAATAGGCTTTTCTATATTTTTCCACACATTTTCATTTAAACATACAAAAAAAAAAATTTTCTCAATACATTTGGAAATCTAAATTTACTTTTGTTTTTACTATCATTTTAGATTTGTAGATTCAATAAAAAAATAAAAATAATAAAAGTTCATTTTCTTTTGTTCAGATTCCCTCGAAGAATGTTTTTTTTTGTATTTCAAAATACCGGGTTTTAATTTTAAAAGAAAAAAAGTCTAACAAAGAGGGACTTTTACTACTTTTGAATTCAAAGTCTGACTAAAAGAGTGTTTTACTACTGATAGAAAAATTTAGCAGATATATATGACCAAAAACTGTTTTCTTCTAAGATTTACGACGTCTGACAAGAAATTTACTTTTATAACTGAAATTAAAAAAAAACAGTTCAACGTTTAAAATTCTAGCTGATTAAAACTTACATTCACTATACTTTTATTATATTGAAAAATTATTTTTAAAAATTATTTTTAAAAAATTCACTTTTTCAAAAATTTCAATTTTTCTCTTTAAAAAATAACTATAGCATCTTTCACTGAACTGTTAAATAATTTGACCAACGTTGATTTTCAACGAATCAAATTTGAATATTACGCTCTATATTTTGAAGTGTCAGAATGATTCTACAGTTGTGTCAGTTTGAAAATTGAACCGTGATTTCCTCGTTTGGTCAAGCGCAAAAACGGTTTTTCAATGGATACACACAGTTGTGCGCAATTCATGTCAAATATAATCATTCTCAGGGAGAAAAAAAAATCATTTTTTTTCCACAAAAATCAAATTTTTAAAAAAGTTTACTATAAATATTTTTATTTATATTAAATTGACATTTTTCGCCAGTTAAAAATTTTATTTTTTCTAAAATTTCAGATGTAAAGATGTCGATTCGATAATGGCCTTTGTCTACATCGATGGAAAGCCGGAAAAAATTGATGCCTTTTGCGGTGAAATGCAACCACGACCATTAATGAGTAATGGACCACGATTGCTTTTAGAATTTCAAGGAAAAGAATCATCGCGTCATGTCAGAGGTTTCAAGGCTATGTACTATTTCACTGAAAGTAAGTAAATTCCCCATTTTTTTTCTCGTAAATCATTATTTTTTATTATAAAAATAAATATAAGAGAATGTATATAATTTATATATCTAATTTTTTTTTTGAAATATACTCCTACTGAATTATTATATATAAATATGTGATTGGAATTTTTAAAATGTGAGTAAATTCCACTTTTCCAAGTATCGAAGATAAATGATACACATCATAGAAATAAGCTATCTATACGTGCTTTTGGTCCAGATCAAAATATACGATCTTACCATCAAATCCGCTTCTCCTCTCTTATACTCAGCCATGACTGCTGTACTGTGTCAAAATTTCAATTTCCGTTGAGCATTCTATCGATGAGAGCAATTCATCTTTCCCGACGGCCGTTTATCATATTTCCTCGGATTCTCTTCACATACCATTCATAGCAAGCACAAATCGTCGACGACAAAAAATGCCCCCCCCCCTTTTTTTTCGATGTACCAAACAAGACATGAAAAAAAATATGTGTGGGGCAAAAAAAAAAAAAGTAAACTTATAGGTGCTTTCGTCTCGTAACTCGTTTTCTAATTAGTAAACTCAATTTACTGAATGGTGAAAAACTTACACGACACTTTGACAATTTTTCGAATTAGAATTTTTTTGGAGAATAATTAAGGGAAAGGTTTTTTAAAAAATTGAAAATTTGTGGGGAAAAATTAATTGTCTGATTAAGAGTGTCTTTTACTACTGATGCGTCCAATAGAAGTAGATAATTGTCTGACTATAATTATCTTTTACTACTGACACGAGAATTACTGTCTTGCTGTTAATTTTTTTTCTACTGGGAGTAAAATTTCTATTATGTCTGACTACAACTGTCTTTTTCTACTTCTTTTTCTTTTTTATTTTTTTTGGTATCAAAAGAAAATTGTCTGACTAAACTAGGTTTTACTACTGATACGAGAAATACTAATCCGGCTGACTGTTACTTTTTATACTACTAAGAGAAAAATTTGTAGTATGTCTAACTATAACTGTCTTTTTCTACTAATATCAAAAAATAGTCTGACTAAATTATCTTTTACTACTGATATGAGAATTACTGTCTGACTGTAATTTTTTTTACTACTGAGATAAAATTTGTTTACTATGTCTGACTGTAACTGTTTTTTTCTACTTCTTTTTCTTTTCCTTTTTTATTTTTTTTTGTATCAAAAGAAAATTGTCTGACTAAACTATTTTTTACTACTGATACGAGAAATACTGATCCGGCTGACTGAAACTATTTTCACTACTGAGCAAATTTTTTACTACGATGTCTGACAATAACTTCTTTTTTCTACTGATACGAAAATTACTGAACTGTCTTGCTGAAAATGTCTTTCACTACTTACAGCGAAAATTTTCCTACGATGTTTATAAAATTTTTCTCAATTTACATTTACTCTTTTACATTTACAAATTTAAAAAAATAATTTAATATTTAATTTTCAATGCATAATTACAAATAATTTATTATTCATTATTGCATAATATAGTCCTTAGACAAAATAAAATTACAAATATTAATGCAAGGGCTTTTTAGAAGAAATGTAGGCTATATTCCATTAGTGTTTGTCGAATGATGAGACTTTGAAGGAAAAGTAGTAAAATAGAAGAAGAAGTAGAAGAAGAAAAGTTTTTAAAAGTGAATCTATAGCGAGTCACGTAGCCGGAAAGAGACACGTCGATTAAAAAGTTTTCTTCCTTCGAACCGATGGGGTTCAGAAACACTTTGAACAACAAATTCCTGATGACGTTTCGTGTTCCCTTCTCTCTCTCTCTCTCTCTCTCTCTTATATAGTATATATGTTCAAACGGCAATGTTGCCTGATGGATTTACAAGCACAAGAGAGCACACGATAATGGCACAAGAAACTTTGGAAAACAACGGTGGTATAGCGACAATTCGCTTGTTGGATATACCATCAAGTGGCTTACAAATCCACAGGAGTATATGTGTATTCATATCAACTTTTGAGCGCGGGAAGTCGAAACTTCCCTTTAGAACTATTGTTGCGTTTTAATGTATCCTAACATTTCCGTTTTTGAAGCATATATACATATATATACATACATGGAGAAACTTGTAAAGTGATATTTTCCGAATTGTTCTGAAAATATTACAAAATTAACAGGAAACTTTTTTTTTATTACCTCTGAGTTCAAAATATATTTCACTATTTACTGTCTAACTAAAAGTTTATTTTTCTACTGCTACGAAAATTAATAAAATTAACGTCTAACTTAACATTGATTTTTCTACTTACTGTTTACAGTCTGACTAAAGCTGTATTTTTCTACTGATGCAAAAATTACAGAAATTGAAACATTAATATTTATTGAAACTTCTATTTTTCTAGTTACAATTTGACTAAATCTGGCTTTAAATTTATTTTTCTACTCACTATTTCCTGTCTGACTAAAACTGTATTTTTCTACTGCTACCAAAATTATAAAAATTTTATTTATTTACTATACGTCTGACTTTAAATTTATTTTTCTTCTTACTATTGCCTGTCTGACTAAAACTGTATTTTTCTCCTCACCACTTACTGTCTGACAAAAATTGTACATTTCTACTAATACAACAATTTCAAAAATTAAAATCGTCTAAATCGATTCTATTGAAATTCTCTAAATTTTTGAGAAATTCAAATTTTGTTAAAAGTAGATATTTCCATTTTACATTTTTAATATAAAAATATTTTTTTTAAATACAATAAATATGATTCTAGCCGTTGTAATAAAATTGCACGATAATCAATAACTCAACAACTGTCACATATAGGGAAAAAAGTGAACATACAATGTTGATCCACTGGTGAATAAAAACACACATAGCGCACTGATCGTCCTATTCTCGATCAAAACTTGATACTATTGGATATTCGAACTGTTCTCTTTCATTGCATTGTCAATCCATCAAAAATCAAAATGTAATTTTTCTCATTTTGAAAAAAATACTTTTTATCTAAACTTCTTGAATTTTAATTATGTAAAATTTTACTAAATTTTTTAGTAATCAAGTTTTTATTTTTATGTTTTTTAATATAGAAAAAAAAATATTTTCAGTTATTATATATTGATAAAATCGTGACAAAAATCAACAAAGAAGAAAAATACCCATATGTTGAGGAGATTACACACGTTTTTCTCTTGAGACGTAATATGCGCATTAGTGAAGGCGCACTTTTGCGTTGAACATAAATTGCTATATATCTATATATATACTTGAACATTCTTCAACAGGAGGGTTATTCTCAAAGTTTTTACGAAACTTTATCAATTTTACGGATTCGCCACGTGTATACAGAACCCTGAAGAGAATACCGTCGGCGTTGACTTCTTGGTTCCATTATACTCATTTTCTTTGCCAAAAGACTTTTCTCAAAGAGATATGAGAAACCCAAGTTTTTTTTTCCCTACTTCATCAAACCGTGTTGTATCACTTAAAGAAAAAAAAATCCAATTTTTGAAATATTTTCTTTCTTTATTAACAAAAAAAATAAATACAATACAAAATTTTTTATTTGTGATGGAAAAAATAACCAAAGGGTATATATGAATAAAAATCAATCGTCAACGTTTGACATTAAATTAACCCAGTTTTGTCAGCGCAAACTCTTGATAAAAATATATTATTTATAAAAGTAAATTATTTTCACCAATGATGGAAATTTTTTTTTTCCTCCTATACGGAAATCGTGTCCTTAAAAATGTAATGAAACGAGTATCATCGGAAATGTAATTTTTTTTCGAACAAGAGACACGACTCAAGTGCACTGAATGTGAAAAAGTGAACCGGGTTCGCAATCAGCGGTTTTGATATCAATCTGTCATTTGTAGTAAAGAGTTGTTCTGTTTTTTTTTTTGCTTGCTCCTGACCCTCGTATATATATATAGATAATGAAAAAAAAAACATGAACCGTAATATCCGCTTGATGGTACTATTTATAAAGCGTCCACTTGTACACTGGTATTAGTGTTATTTTATTTCTATTTCACGATTCGTAATTGAGATATACAAAGCTGGGGTTAAAGGGGAGGGAGAGGACGAAAAAAAAGTCAACATGTCTACGCAAACATTGTCACACTGGACAAAATGAAAACGAGGTTGAAACGCCAATTGTATGTATGAGTCGCGATAGACAACGGAGTTCAAACTTTGTACAGATGAAACCAAGGATATGAGATTTTAATTTAACACACGTTGGTTTTATGACAAACGAAATATAACATTCCCCCCTTTTATGTATATGGATATATGAAAAACACACGCGGGAGAACTGAAAATTTTAACTATCATGTACCAACGTATGCTAATTAAAAATTTATATATTTATTATTTCAAACACGAAATTGGATCCTCCAGTTTTTAAATATATATGAAAACAGTTGTTTTATGAATTTTGTTTATTAATATTTCTATTTTTTTCTATTTTCTTTTTATTTTATTTCATTTCTATTTTATTTCTAATTTTTTCTATTATTTCTTTCGAATTTTGTGGTTTATATTTCATTTTTCAAACAGAATTACACACATATTACAGAATATCAATGCAAATTTCATTATGCATTATTATTGAATGAAATGGGAAAGCGAGTCACCAAAACTAAAGACTAAATACAATCCAATGTGCTGACAGTATTATTAATTAACCATCCGTCCCTAGGAGGATCTGATTAATCCAACGTTCTTGCACTGAAAGCCGAAGCTGAAATCCGGAAATATATTAGCGTATATACTATATTCATATATATTATATTATAGCTCTCAGAAATTTGTAACCGTGTTATATTTGTTTATAAACTCAACTCCTGTGAGAGTAAAAGAGAAAACTTTTTTTAACAGGCTTTCTATATAGACATATAATTCCAACACAAAATTTAAATCTTGAATTTTTACTTATCTCAAGAAAATAAAAAATCAAATTTTTCTCATCGAATTTGTTTGGATTTTATATATATATATATATAAATGCAAAAAATTTACATATATGCAAATTCATTTTCCCAAAAGTTTATAACTCCTCAAACTTCCAGTTTTCGTGACTATAATTAGTGGAGAGAATAATCAAATCAAACACGATAAATCTCGTATATATTTGGAAGAAATCTTTTAATTATTTGTTAATTATAATATTTTGGAAAATTTTATTTTATGTTAATCAAGGAATTTGTTTTCAATTTTAATGATACGAATTTTGCTATTGATAAAATTACAAAAAAAGTCTATATATTGATTCGTACTACTGTTTACTATATTCTTTTATTTATTATGTCTGACTAAAACCGATTAGAACCACTGATAAAATTACAAAAATTGAGAAATCAAATGAAATATTGACTGCATTACTGTTTTTATAGTTTATTTATTATGTCTGACTAAAATCGACTTATACTACTGAAAATTTAAAAAAAAAATTGAGTCTGATTAAATATTGACTTGTACTACTGTTTTCTACATTACACATTTATGTCTGACTAAAACTAACTTATACTACTGATTAAATAACAAATATTTCAAAAGTCTGACTAAACATTTATCTTTTCTACTAATTTTGTAATTCATTCATTATCTCTCAAAAAAAAATTCGAGAATTTTTCAAAAAATCCAAAATTTATTTTAGTCTAGCTCAAAATCCGTTGGCCAAATCAAAAAGTGACCGATTAATTCTTTAATTTTTTTTTATTTTATAATATTCTTAAAAAGGAAATATCTTGTATACAATTTAATTTTTTATACATTTAACAGAAAATTGTAGGTTAAAATTTTTAACACTCACATTTTTCTTATTTTTTTTTTTTTATAATTCCACATGTAATATACGCATTTCCATAAATCTTACTTTATACGCAAAAGCTGTTAGCGTAAACTCATAACTATCTTCATAATTGGAAACACGAACATGTGAATCTCCATTTCAAAGATTGACCTATACGGAGAGTTGTGTTAGAGTGCTAGGCACTCTATATATAAATGTATATTATATATATATACAATCTGATATCAAAATTCACATTCGAGAGTAGTAGCAAACTATATTCCATAAATGAATAGGGGAGTATATACGAAACCCAAATAAATAGCCACGAAGATGCACATCTCTCTCTCTCTCTCCTCTCTCTCTTTCTCTATACAGAAGCAGAGGATTGGTGCAAAGGATATAGGGAAGGAAAGACCCAACCGGTGCACGTTCCCGCAGACCATTAGCTGCTCGAAACGTTTGCATTGTAAAACTCGAATACTCCTTCCATGTCATGGCCATAAAATTCCCTCCCTCCCCCCTTTCCACCCTCAAGTCCACCACGCGGGCGAAACGTCAGCAGCTCATTTGTAAAGAATGCATTTTTCACCAGTACATTAAGCAGTAAATTCCATGGAAAACTGCCGCAATAAAATCCTGTGGACTCTCTTTGATGACTGAAATATTATTATCGACTAACCATCCTCTCTCTCTCTCTCTCTTTCTCTCTTATTTTGAAAATTTGAATTTCCAAATTATTCCTAATGCAATTTATTTCACAACGTATTCTGAGGTATTTCCAAATAATTTATGGCTATTTGGATATGGACAATTTTTTTTTCCTTGACATTTCAAATTTTTACGTTCAATTAAATATAGGAAAAATATTTTTTTGCATTTTGAAATTATTAAGGAAATATTAAATGTGATCAGTGAGGCGTGAATTTATTGAGGATTTTATTGGTTATTAAATTTATCTGACTAAAAATTATATTTACTATACTGATACCAAAATAACAAGTATTTAATTCGTTTTGTCTGACGAAAAATTTATCTTTACTACTGACACTGAATAAACAATAATTTCTATACCGTTAATGTTTGACTAATATTTATTTTTACTATATTTATACCAATCGAATAAAAATTAAAACCTATTTGTCTGACTGACATTTACTTGTACTACTGATATTATACAATAATATGAAACTAAACAATTCTGTCTGACCAAAAATTTACTTTTACTACTGATACTCAAGTAACAAAAATTTAAACCTTTCTGTCTGATCAAAAATTTACTATTACTACTGATAAAAAAATATAAACTGTTATGTCTGAGCAAAAATTTACTTTTACTACTAATTATCAAGTATTAAACATTTCAACCAGCCAATCTCTCAGCCTGACTAAAATTTATTGAATTGAACAAAAAAATTTAATTAATTTATTAATAATCCATCTTATAAAGCACTATATTAAATTAAAAAATAATTTTTCAAAATTTTTAAAATAGAATTAAAAAAAATAAAAATTTGTAATGAAATATTAATCCTGATTGATAAATTTAATTGTATTTTATGAAAATATCGAATTCAATTGTAATATTTTACATTATACAAGCAATTAAGAATATAATACATCAATGAAGTATTAAAGCTGCTAATTAATTGAAGGACTTAATGACGAAGTGAATAATTTATTGGTGATATAATATTCGTACAGTTATAAACATATATATACACTTATTTGAACAAATCAAATTTTCTATTAATCAGTGATAAATTTATATATATATATATATATATAGATTTCAAAATACAAAATTCTACATTCGCATAAACTCATTCTGTAATGAATTTACGTAATCATTAGCCGTATTAATGATAATCACATGATTTAGCAATATCGTTGATCAGTTTTCATGGCTCGATGAAACGAACAATATACATTGGGCAAATATTAGCATTCCCGGTAATCAATGGAATGCAAATAATATTGCTTAAAGGGTTACATATATCAATATATATCATAAGAATTTAAAAAATATATATCTAACCCCTTTTTTCAAAATTGAGTAGGTTTTCATTTTTATATTCGATTGGGCAATTTTTTTTTTTCTATTTTTATTCAAATTTTTTCAATAAAATAATAAAAGTAAAAATATTAAAAAATATTAATTTATAAATAAATGAAAATGAAATATTTTCTTTTCATTTTTAATTAAAAATATAATTACAAATGTAATGGTCTTATTACAAAAAGACCCAAGAATATATATATATATATAGAGTGGAATATTAAACGTGGATCAGAAGACTTTGAGGATTTCGAGAATGTGAAAGGGAGACGATGAAAAGAGCTTTTGAATTTGAATATTTTGGAGGGAAATTATTAATTATCATCATCATCAAATTCAAATGAACTGTTCGTTTATTATGTTAATCGTTGTATTGAGTAGGATTTAATTAAATTCAGTATATATATATATAGGGTATGTCAACATATATTTATAGATATAAATTAGTAATTATATTTATTTTCTCGTTTAATTAAAAAATTTTCCTCACGTTTAAAATGAGAATGTAACGTGTATTGATTTTGTCTTAAATTCACTTCCAACGAGTTGAGAGTATTTCAGTCCCTACGGTTTTAGTAATGTGTTGATGCTGTTTTTTGCTTTTTTTTCTATATATATATATATGTATACCATATATGGAACCACATGGAAAATATTGATTTATTGGATTTTATGCTTGTTTGTAAATTTTTGTTTTGTTTCATATAATATTTATATTGAAAAATGCTAAATTAGCATATTATGAGTCAATTTTCCAGTAATATTTTGCTATAAAAAATTCAACTTTAAAAATAACATACAAATTTTTTATTTTTCATAAAAAAATGTTATATGGAACTAAAAATTAAATTAACATATAAATTATAAAATGATTAATCTGTTATTATTTTTTTTTTTGCAGATTTTGGTATTACCAGTGGAAGACAAGAATCCACTTATCCATGCGCGTTTGTTTTTAGCAGTAATGACACAAAAAATGGAACTTTTGCGTCACCAAATTACCCCGGATTTTATCCGAGAAATACAGAGTGCCATTATTTTTTTAATGGACAACCGAATGAGAGAGTTCACCTGCATTTTCATTTCTTCGACGTTGAAGGAGTTTTGCCGTAAGTGACCTAGATCTCATTATTATAATGGTTTTTTACCCACTACAATTTTATTTTTTTTAATCATTTTTTACCTCCATATATGTTTTATCTTTTTTATATTCATATATATAAATATTTATAAATTACTTTCATTAATTTTTAAATCCGGTTTCATTTTTTTTTTTTAATTTTAATTAACATTTTTTTTTTGAAAATTATTTTCATTTTATTTTTTAAATTGCTTTTATCAAAACTTTATACTTTTTTTCCATCGCACATATTTTTTCTGTAATAATTTAGCTTCTTTGATATTATATTAAAAATGTAATTAGGTTAAAAGTTATATATAGTCGCGAGTGAAAAAGATGAAATTAATGAAAATTAAATTTTTAATAAAGTCCTTAATAAATGAATTATTTATTATAATCAGGAATTACAAAAAGTAATGAATTTTAAAATATCTCTATCTTAAAAAAAACCAGTTTATGTTTACTTATTGTAATTAAGAAATAAAAAAAATGAATCTCAGCTTCCGATGACAAATTCATAATTCAGACTCAATTTCAGAGCTCGAGTGTTCAGTTTCTTTATGCAAAAAGTTGACCCCGAAGCACTTTAGACTCCTGCAAGTTAAAGTTTAACACTGCATTGATAATTCTCTTGAAAATTAAGTTAATATAACCAAACTTTCTTAATTGCTTTTCAAACGAGCTTCTAAATATTATACAAGAATGCAATTTTTTAAGGGGGTGAAACAATATGCTTCTAAATACTTTATTAATATTAAAAAATTTTAGAAAATATTTTTTTTCAAATCAATTCGTATCATTTCCATTTTTTTTTGTTTGCCCGTAAAAATCTATTGAAATATTTACCAAAGAAAAGTAACTTTTTCACAGGGGTAAAAAACTTTACGATTTCTTGTTAAAATTTTAATCTCCAATCTTTTCCCCAAGAATTGGTAACTTGACCCAGGCGCCAGTAAATGAAAAAAGTTGTACGTTTAACTTTTTCCTCGGTCATATAAAAATGTAAAAAAGAGAGAAATTATCTCGTTTGATGGGGGTAAAATGGAAATTTTAAGTACTATATTGGATTTTATAAACTAGAATTGAAGAAAAGAAGAAGGGTGATTTTTTTTTGTAAAAGTATATATATAATATTGATAATTTATTAAAGCCAGTGACATAGATAAAGAGCTTGTTTAAGTTTACCGTTAATGGTCTAAAGTCACATGAGAATTCTCGTTACCATGTTCTGATCGTTACTAACCAAATGGATGTGGAGATGTGCCCCGGAATGTTCGAGACGCAGAATTGTTGCTAGTGATTCGGGAATTCTGTGATTACTGGCCAAGGTGTGCCAAGTGTACAAACGTGTGCTCACGTATACATTTGATGGTATTATACGCACCGAATTCAATCCAAGATTGAATTACTTATCGAACTATCAAACGATATCAGGGATCTTGATTTATCGTCTATTCACTCACGAGAATTGTTTTTCTTTTTTTTTCTAATAAATAAAGGAACATTTCTTTGAATCCAAAAAATAGTGCAGTTATTGGGAAATTAACAAGAATTCAGAACGTCTGACTTAAACTGACTTTTACTACTGTTAAAAAATTAACAAAAATTTTTATTTGAAATTTTCTCTACTACTAACAAGAAATTAAAAAAATGGAATTATTTTGGTCTGATTAAATCTGTGGACTACTACTTGAAAAAAATTACAAGAATTTAGAACGTCTGACGGAAACTGACTTATACTACTGTTAATAAATTTGCTAGAATTTTTAATGTCTTACTTAAAACTGCCTCTACTACTGACAATGGATTAAAAAGAATTGGAATAATTTTGGTGTGATCTAAACTTTCTATTCTTGAAATTACAATAATTTAGTACGCCTGACTAAAAATTGCTTTTACTACTAATAAATTAGGATTTAATTGACTTTTAATTATTGTGTGATTAAAACGTCTTTTTACTACTGCTGGAAAATTTAAAATTATTCAAAAAACAGTGAGGCTGACGGACACTGACTTTTACTACTGATAAAAAATGTATAAGAAAACAGAAAACTTTAGTCTGACCAAAACCTACTTTTTCTACTGATTCTAAATTTATAAAAATAGTTTGTAGCAAAAATAATTAGTAGTCTGACTAAAGCCAGTTATTACTACTTGTAAAAAAATACACATCAAGCATTTAAAATTCTTTTTCTAACTGACACAAACCTTGGACTACTAATACAAAATTTATAATAATTAAAAAATCATAAGTTTGGCCAAAATTAACTTTTACTACTGAAACTAGATAAGAAATAAATATGTTAATTATTGTTTGACTATAACTTTCTTTTACTACTTATACAATAACTACGATAATTATAAAAAATTCGAGTCTTACCTTAACCTGCCTTTTCTACTTATATATTAAAAATAATTACATAAGTTTATGTCTGACTGAAACTGACTTTTACTACTAACACTAAATTCTCAATTATCCTACTGAAAAAAAATATTCTTTTTCCAGTATATAAAAAAAATTTCTCTTCTCAAATGAAACAATCAATACAAAATATTTCTCAACAATAAAATATATAAAATAATAATTTTTTGTTTAACCGCCCCTTATCTTTTCGTTTGGCGTCAAAACTTTAAAATAGAAACTTCTTTTGTGACGAGGAAAATAATATTAATACGCCAGAACTCAGTTTGATTTTAATTTTCTACACTATATATATACATATAAAAAAAAGGTGAATTAAAAAACTTTTCAATTTTCAGATGCGACTCTGTCTCTGCGAGTGACTATGTCGAGTTTTCCAATTATATAACGAAGGACCGGAAGTACTCACGGCATTGTGGTCAACTGAAGGAGTTCGACATCGAGAGCGACCGGAAGTTCTTTCGAGTTACGTTCAAAAGTAATGACAGGCTGGATGGTACAGGGTTTAACGCTAGTTACGTATTCTTCGACGAAGGAGAAAATTATACGATGAAAACGCCAGTAAACGTAGCGTCTACGTGGAATGGTGAGTAATAATAATAATAACTAAAAAAAAAAAACAATTTCCATTCTCTCAATTTGTGAAAAAAATTTATTTTTCCTAATTTCTATTTATTATCCGAAAACATGAAATGAAAATTATTTTTATAAAGAGAAATTAATTTTTGAATTTATTTTGAATAATTAAATAGAATTAAAGTTGTATATATATTGATAACAAATTTCATCCATCATTGTCGATTATATATAATAATAATCAGTTTAATAAATCTACGTCTACAGTTGATTAAAACGATAATTTATCTCATTAAGATAATTAAATAACTAACTAATCAAATGCACTTGTTTGATAAACTTAATTAATTAAAATAATAATTAATATATGGTGATTATATATTTAAACTTTGTAATTCGTTGTCCATGCATTTATATCAAATTTAAATTATCAGAGGAGATACAGAAAGTTATTAAAAAAAAACTTTCTTAAAGAAAAGAATAAAAAAAAAACACAAAAAAGGAATACTTTTAGAAAAATATATTGATAGAATTTTTTTTTGTTCTTTTTTTTGTATAAACGAACTTAATCGTATAATAAAATATTTAAGAAAGAAAGTATATATATATATTTGAAGAGTTCCTCGTCTATAAAAATCCGTACAATTCACTGCATCTCATGTTGGTGTGCGCAGCACTCATACATTTCAAACATAAGAAAGAATTGAATCTTGGAAGGAAGATTTCTTTGGAAAATCCATCCGCTCTTGAGCAAAAGTAGAAAAATCAGTGTGACGGATGAGTTTAATAAAGTCCGACCTATTGATCGTGGTCATAAATGAAATCCAATGTACGAATCAAAACTTATCATCCAACCATCTCTTTTCCACGGTGTGTATATATATATATATATATATAATGGTACGATATATATTGTACATATATATATTCGATAATATATATAAGGAGGGGAGAGAAAAAAAATGATAAAGAGGATAAAAAGGCGGAAAGTAGAAAAGAGGCACCTATATAATAAAACGAAGAAAACTATTCCAAGCTTCTGGCTCACGTCTTTCAAAGATATTGAAAGAGTAAATCGACAGACCATTGCTACTGTACCTCTTCTTCTTCGTCTTCGTCTTCGTCTTTTCCTTCTTCTTCTTCTTCTTCTTCTTTTCCCTCTTCATTTTTTCTTTTCCTTATCCCCTCTTAAGACATTTACCCCATCTATTACTTAGATTTCATTCTCAATATTAAATGATTAAATCAACCAACACTAAAAATTTTATCACCCAAAGTCCATCACGAAAGGGAAAAATTCTTTCAAAAGGAATAGTTAATATAAATTCTGATTGAAAATTGAATCAATCATGAAAAAAAAATTATTCCATTTTATATAAGGTTGTTTAATTTCTTTTAATGGTTTTTTTATTTAATTTTTTTATTCAAAAATTGTAATAATACTAAGCAATACTAATAATACTAAAAAGTACTATAAATAATATTAAATAATACTAAAAAATACTAAATAAAACTAAAAATTACTAAATAATACCAAAAAGTACTATAAATAATATCAAATAATAATAAATAATACTTAAAAATACTAAAAATTACTAAATACTACTAAAAAGTACTAAATATTACTAAAGAATACAAAATAATACAAAATAATACTAAAGATAACTAAATAATAATAAGTAATACTAAAAAGTACTAAATAATACTAAATTAGTCAGATAAATTAGTTAAACTTGAATAAATTTGATATAAGGGGAAAAGACATTTATAGTCAAAGTAGAAATCAGTTTCAGTTCAACTATTTTTTCAATTGTAGCTTTTCTATAAGCAGTATAAGACAGCTTTAGTCAGACCGAAATTCTCCTAATTATTCTTAATTTAGAACCAGTAGTAATGGTCATTTTCAGTCAGACTCATATTATTGGAATTTTTCTACTTTATCAGTAGTAAAAGTAAATTATATTCAGACAGTAATTATTTTTAAAAAAATCAGTAGTAAAAGTCAGTTTTAGTCAGACTCATATTTTCTGAATTATTTTACATTCTTGTCAGTAGTAAAAAACTGTTTTAGTCAGACATATATTTTTTCTGTCATTAATTTTAAAAAATTAAAAATTCATTTCGTTTTCTTTCTTCGACGACGTGAGAAAAAATTTTCCCCAAAAAAAAAAGAATTCGCCTAAGGAAAAAATGTGATAATCATTGGGAAAATGAGGTCACTAAAGGTGAACCTACATTTATTGTAACATTGATAGACTGTAATGAGAGTTTATAAAAGCGTAAATGGTTAAAATCCAGCAGGTGGAGCTAATCTCTCTCTCTCTCTCTCTCTCTCTCTCTCTCTCTCTCTCTCTCTCTCTCTCTCTCTCTCTCTCTTTCTCTCTTGCTGATGAGGTGTTACAAATTATGTGACTACATTTCCTTTTATATATACATTCAACTTGAGAGGTCGCACAGCTGTTCAAATCCCGAAAAATACGGGTAAATTTATATGCTTTCAATTTGAAAATAAAGAAAAAAAAGTAAAATGGTAATTGAAATTCGATTCTTTTTTACAAAGAAATTGGCTAATTTTGTTGAAACTTTTTTTTCATTTTTTTTCTGTCTTTTTTTTGACTGGTTTACGCTTCACCATCAGCAATGAATTAAGAGCGTTGCTCGACTTTACATCATTCTTCAAAATCAAATTGAACTCGTACAAATACATAGGAAAACGAACCGTTTTTCACTCGTTTTCACTCACCAACGAAACAAGCAAAAGCGGGTTTGCATTTGCTCAACTTTTACTGCTCTTGTCACGTTGTTCAACATGTACTTAATAGGGGTAACTGCGCTGATTGAATTCACGATGCAATACGACCTTTTCAATCGGAAGCTGATATTTCTATTTTTCTGTCATCACAAAATTACTTCTAATGAATTCGTTTTTTTTTTTTTTTTGTATTTTTTGTCTAAACCAATTTCAATTTACAGATTTATAGAATTTTTTGAATATGAAATCAAAAATAACGATTTTGTTGATTTGAATTAACAAATTTGATATTTTAGTAAAATTTGCATTTTTGTACTAGTAGTATTAGACTGTTTTAGTCAGACAAGGATAGTAACAATTTCTGCGCCAGAAATAATTTTCAAAATTTTATTTATTCTATTCTGTGATAGAAATAATTTTTCAAATTTTATTTATTCCATTCTGTGATAGAAATATTATGAATAAATTAAAAATTTCTAAATTCATATTTTTAATATATGTTTGAAATAAAATTTATAGGGATATATAATACGAGTATATTGAGAGAGGTTTATATAGATGTGCACACTATGGGTATATTCTCAAGAGCATATTGTTTGCAGAAAATACACCTCAACACAAGTATCATAGATATATTGGTATAAGAAATACGATAGATTCGCAAACATCAGTCATCCCTTATCATATCCGATGAAAGACATATGTTTGGGTCAGTCAATCTGCTTTCCGATAAGCATCAATAGGATTTATCGAACAATAGATGCGCTAGAACTCTATATATCTAATAATGTACAAGCTGTTTATTAATTCTATTTTTATTATTAATAATGCAATACCTGTATATTAATTTCAGAATTATATTTATTTACAATTATTTTTTATTTACATTTTATCCTTTTTTGAGTTTTATTTTATTATTTTTTTATTCTTATTATTATTTTGTCGTTATTATTTTTATTATTCGACAATTTATTATCAAAGAAAAATAACATTGTCTATTATATTAGAGCTACTGAATATATATATTTTTAAGGCACTATATTTTAAAAGAGAATTAATAGAATGTCTATTAAATAAACGAAACGTTAAAAGCTTTGAAAGAGATGTTTTTGTTAGCTTTGTTCATCAACAGGTAGCTTTGACAGACGATGCGAATTTTCATCGTTTGATTATATATCATATTTATTGATCTAGGTGTCTCACGCGTAAAATTGCTCATAACTTTGTTTGTCAGCTTGCAAAATTTTGGTTGAAATCTTTAAATTAAAATTTTACTTGTCTCGAATCAAAAGTTATTTAAAATTTCATCTTCTAGCTAAATAAATATTTAATTAATTTAAAATAAATTTTATTTGGAACAAAATTTTGTTAAAAAACAATTTTTATATTTACATTAAACACAAATATTTTTTTATTAACTGGCAAAGAATAAAAAAAACATCCCCTAAATACAGGATTATTATAATAATAAATCGTCACTTTTTTTATTCACACTCATGAAAATTTTTCCTCAAGCTATTTTTAAACATAACCATAATTTGAAAATTTTTAAATTTTTTACAAGTTAAAATAATTTTTGCTTAACATCGCTTATAAATATACTTTAAAATTTTTCATACAATATTCTATATACGAAATAAAACAGATTGACATAAAAATTACTAATAACTATTTATTTTATATTTCAAAAAAAAAATAAAAACTAATAACAATTATTATTGTCCGTGACAAAAACAGTGCGTGTCAATTAAAAGTTTATTAATAATGTAATTGGAAAATTGAAATATGAACAAATGGAAATTGGCCATTTTGTTATTTTATATAGTTATTTTAAATAAATATAATTGGCACTTGGTGGCGTACATTATTTCCCCCTCCTCTGTATATGCTTCAATGTGATTATTCTCATATATATATATATATATATATATATATATAGCAAAACCGACACACACAGCAATGAATTAGTCAATATTCAACGATCAGAAATTGTTGAATTTTACACCACTTTGCATCGTATTCTCCCGCTGATTGCACATTTATGTTTGTTCCCAATTATATATATATATACCATCATTCAGTTTTCCCCCGGAGGAGAAATATATTGAATTCGTATATATATATATATATATATTTATGAAAACTCATTATATTAATTTACATAAATAATACTAAATTAAATAATATTTAATGTTATATTACAAATTTTCTATGTCAGTAGTTTCTGTTTGTATAATTACTAAACGATTGTTCATTATAAAATAAAAAACAGTGTGTTGTAATTATTTTACAAGTAGTATGAACAAAATTTAGTCAGACAGAATTTTTTTCTGATTATTCTAATTAGAATAAATAATAATGAATAAATAATAATTTTTTATTTTTTATAAGTGGTAAAAACCGTTTTAGTCAGACACGTTTTTAAATTTTTTTATTCTAGCACAAGTAGTAAACGACTGTTTTAGTCAGACAGAAACGTTTCTATTTGTTTTGATTCCAGTTTCAGTAGTATAAGTCAGTTTCAATCAGACTCGAATGGTTAATATAATTATAAATTTGTTACCAGTAGTAAAAGTCAACTTTGGTCAGACAAAACTTTTTTAATTCTTAACAATTTTTCAATCAGTAGTAGAAGACAATTTTAGTCAGGCGCAAAGTGTTTTATGTATATTATCTATAAGTATAGTAATAGAAAGTTATAGTGAGACAAAAATTGTCCTAAAAATAAAAATTCATATTGTCAGTAGTAAAAGCATTTTTAGTCAGACAGAAATTTTCCTAATAATTTTAATTTTACTCTCAGTAGTAAAAATAAGTTTTAATCAGACAATATATTTTTCTGCAATTTATCTAATAGTAGTAATAGACAGTTGTAGGCAGACAAAAAAATTTAAACATTTCAAAGTAGGAAAATTTATAATAAATTATTATTTTCCATAAATTATTGCACATAAAAAAATAATTTTTTGTATTTTAAATTTTGTTCTTTATTTATTCAAGAGTATAATGATGGCTCCTATATATATATTTTGATACCACAGCTGTTTACATAGTAGCTTTTACGTTCACTTGTAGTTTGCAACAACATATAGAACATTGTAATCACTGGCACGTAATTCTTTGAAAAAATGTCGAAACATTGATGGAACTTGAACCCCTGTAAACTTCCGACACAGAAAATCAATTTTCCCCTCACACCTAATTTCACTTGAGTTTGTCCTTGTTAAAATGATGTTTACTAATTGTTGGATTATCTTCTCATACCACTTGATTATAACAATTAATTTCAAAAAATTAATAGTATAATTAAAAAAATGTGATTAAAAACAAATAAAAAAAAATGAAAAAAAAAATTGTTTGTTAATTTTGATTAATGAACTATTAATAGACAATTTGCTTGGGACAATTGTTCAACACAGGATGCAAACACATCTGTGGCAAATGAAAATTTAATTAAAATATTCATTGTCACATAACAAGAGTGTTAATAAGAATGGCCAATCAGTTTTACTGTTAACAATGAAATGCATTGTATGTATATATACATGTTTTGCTCGCGACAATATGCACGCGAATGAAATTGGAATAAATGATGTAAATACGCCTCATTTACTTTGTGTATATATATACACTATTTGCGCATTCGCTGGCAATACTTAATTAAAGTATACTCGAGTAATAGAACAACTTTGAAACATAATTAACGTCTTTTAAATGAACTTGTGTTAAAGCCATATATTTCAAGTTATTTATTCTTGTAATAAAATACGAAGGCGAGTTTCTTGAGAGAGTGAGAGAAGATGCTCTCTCAAAAAGGTTCACGAGAAACCTGATATCTATAATAAGATGGGCATTTTTAAATACTTCCTGTCATTAACATGTTTATAATTAAATTATGTATCATAATACAAAAAAGTTATTTTTAATAAAATTTTTTTTTCAAAAAAAAATAAATTCCAAATAATTTATTTTTTTACAATTTTTTTTAATAATTCAACGATTTGAAATAAAATCGTAATAGTATTGTATTTTAATTACTCTTTTTACTCCAAATGAAATGAAACTTAAATAATGACTTTTTTTTTCTTTTTTTTCTGTTTCTCAAAGAATGACTTTGTAAGTTTGTAATGGTAAAGTTTAATTCACGTCAAATGCTGCATTGGATAAGTTTAGTTGTTCAGACATTTCAATTTAAATCAGTTTCAGAAACATTTTTCAATTCGGATCTAATTACAATTGTAAGGATAATATTCGTTTCTTATATTATAATAAATGAAAGATTTTATAGTTTATAAAGAGTTTTCAATGTTATAATTAAACTTTTCTTCATTAAATATTCTTGTTGGTATTTTATAACAAAAGAGAATTAATTAAAGAGATTTTTTTTATAATAAAGAAACATTTTTTATTTTAATAAAATATTTTTTAAAAAAAAATTTGTTTTCTATGTTACAGGTTGTGCATTACTGCTGTTGTTGGCCTACAAAATTTTATTTATTTAAATGAATACAACATCTTGAAAAGCAATCTACGCGATTGGATCACTGGCTCAACATCACAACGAAAAAGTTCTGTCAATAATAATAAAAAAAAAAAAGCGAATGAAAATCACACGTGTCCTTTCCAAATGAAAAGAAAAGCGATTTGTTTCTATTATATTAAAAAAAATTCGCCGAAAAAATCGCCCTTCTTTGAAAAAATATTTTTTTTCCGGTACATCATCGATTAAAGTATTAAAAACAAAAGCTGAAAAGAAATGCACTCAGTTCACAAATTACGAAAAATATATAGTCCAATAAAAGTCGTGTGATTCAAGTTTCAAAGAATCGCCTCCAACGCAGTTGCTCTGGGACAGAAAGAACGAATGAAAAAAGCTTCAAGAATTCAATACTTCAGCATCCCTCTTCTCAGAAGGTAAATTAAGAGGTTTGTTCTACGATTTCTTTAAAGAGAAGAAAACTTATTAGTGCGGGACATCCAATTAAGTTCTTTTTTTTCCCTTTCTTTTTTTTTTATTAACCAGCTCTTTTAATGGACATCAACTTTTACAGATTCTAGGAAAAAAAGAAATTTTATTGCAAAAACAAATAATCTTCCACCTAATTAAAATTCTCAATTAGTAACAATTTTTTATTTTCAAAAATATTAAAAATTTACAAACTATTTTGATACATTTTAACATTAAAAATTAATATAAATTACAAATTTTTACAAATTTTTTTTAAAATTTTTTTTCGTATTCGAGGAAAAATATTGTTCTAGAGCGACTGATATAAATTTGAAAAAAATTCTTTCTCGAACTGTGTCCACCGTAGATATGCATCGAACGCATTTTTTTAACATGCGTCCCTTATATGACTGTGATGTTTTCATGTTTTCTTAACTTCTCAGAAGACGAAGATACTTAGGTAATATTATATTTAAAAATGTGAGAAAAAATCTCCAAATGCGTGACGTATGTCGTGTAAAAAAAAAAATCTATTTTCCATATAGGTTGAATGCATCAATGAGTGACCACGTGGTTTTCTCGATTTTTCCCCCCCAAAAAAATAAAATATTTATGTTTGAAAAAATTAGACATTTTTTACAAACAGAAATTTTTTAAATCAATTAAAATTGAAAAGAAAAATTTATTTACATCAATTTTTAAAAAACATGTCAGTCACTGATGTGACATTTTTTAAAAAAGAAAAAAAATTTTAGCAATAAATACGATTTTTTAAATAGAGAAAAAAAAATTTTTATCCAAAAAGTTTTTTAACATAAAATAAATGTTTAATTCGATAAATATATTTCTAAAAAAAAGTTTTTCTAAAACTTCCCTTGAATTAAAAACTATTTTATAAATGCAAAATAATAATTTAATTATAAAATTTTATAAAAAATTCTAAATATTTACTCTTTTTTTTGTATTTAATATATTAATCATTCATTGTTGTTTTCATCCTAGCAGGATTTCCGAATTGACTAAATAAAAGTAATGTTATAATAAAGAAATTATATCATGATTTTTAAAAAATTGTAAAAAGGTATCATAATATTGGTACAATAGGTTTTACAAAGAAGAAACAAAAAATTTTTATTTTTCACCTTACAGAACGAACATTTATTACACTTAATGTACATTGCATTACAATATTTTTCATGTTATTAAATTTTATTCACAAAAAAAATTCTCCCTTTTTAATTATCTACAAGAATAAAAGGGATAAAAATCCTTTCAAGTTAAACTTGTAAAAAAAACTTGTAAATTTAAAAAAAAATTTAAATAATGTGAAAAAAAATTATAATCCATTTAATTAAAATTTATTTTTTAAAATTAAACAAAGATTTAGTGTTAAAAATTATTATTTCTTGTTTTGTAAAAAGAAAAATGTTTTGAGAACTTTAATTTTAAAATATTTTTTATTTTAAAAAAAACATTTTTATACGTAGGGCCTTTAAGAAAATTATTTGTAATTATATAGCATAAATAATATAATTGAAAACATTAAATAAATTACGCTGAAAAAAAGGTCTATTTAGAATGAATTGGAAGCTGCGAGGACATAAATATAGCTAGTCTAATAAATTTTGTTACTACGACTTATATAGGTAACATTTCTAAACAATTTAGTGAATAAAAAAAAATAATATTTATAAAGTAATAAAAAAATAAAAAATTATTTCAATTTTTACGTGTGAAAATAATTGACATTTTTATCAATTTTTCCAATAAAAAGATTGAAATATAAAATAATTTCACTTGACAGTATATTCTAATTATAATTTCCTTTTTAATTACTTTATTAATTAATTCAAATTCCACTTTGATTTTCGTGATTTAAAAAGCTAAAAATATTTTTTCTTAATAATACAAAATATCTGAATAATTAAAATTTTCATTTTTTAATAAATCATCAAAATTTTCGTTTTTAATTTTTTATAAAATTCATTCTCTCTTATCGGATTTATTTCACTTTTCATTTTTATCAATAAATATATAAATATAATACAGCTGATATTTATTTCGCCCCCGAAATAAGAAAAGAGAAATTCCAATATTGCAAAATAATATTTATTTTAGTGTATGTGTGTATAAAATATTTTTCACAGAGAGCACGTAGAAAAATTTATTCATTATTTACTTGAGCAAACTGTTATTCTCTCATGAGAGAAAATTCAGCATGAAAATTTAATTTACACGGAACGAAGATTCAGAGCATAAAAGTTTTTATATATACAATATAAAGCTTATATAATAAAAACAACAAGAAAAAAGAGGAAAGAAAAGAAATAGATAGTAGTATGGAATTTAAGTAATAATTAACGAAAAAAACTTAATACTTTTTCACTTTTAATAAATATTTACTTGGAAAATCTATATCATTTATATAACCCTGAAAGTATTTTCTGATAAATTCATGAAATTGATACATTTTTCAATTTTAATCTATATATGGCAAAAACAATATGTTTCCAAATAATGAGAAATCCTGCAAATTCGTTTATTATTTTTTCTGCTTCAAAGCGCAGTGCGAATGTAATAAAAGATTTCAAAAAAAAAAAATTGTAAAAGTATTAATAAAAATATATAATTAATTTTTAAATATTGTAATTAATTCAAAATATTATTTTACTATTGTAAAATATTAATTATTATTATTATTATTAATTAAAATATTATTTTGAAACTACACACACATACCTATATATATGGATAAAATAAAATTGTGCTGCGCGTGTATGAAAGATTAAAGTTACAATGTACATAAAAAAAAATAAAATTAAAAAAATTTTTGCTCGTTATTAATTTTTCCGGACAGAGAATAATGACATGAATTTTATTATATATCATGTGAATGAATGTATAGATGCCATTATACAATACATTATTAGATAGAAATAATATCACTGTGTATGTTAGACAATTGTGAATATTTTTTAATATAGGTTTATAAAGCGTTGGTGACTTCCATCCTAAAATAGTTAATTTGAGCCTTAAAGGAGAAAAGAAAAAAGAAAAAAGAAAAAACAATGTGTGCAAGCAAAAAATGTGAATTACGAAAAAGTGTGTGTACATGTGTGAAATTTTATCTGTACATGAAGTGAATTGTAGATTGAGTATATGATTATAGAAAATCACAACCTGTTTACTAAAATATATTTATATGTTATACAATAAAATAATATTAGTAAGTTGTATACTTAAATTGGCACTACGAAGTACGTATAAATAGCGTATCACATTGTACATACGGTTGTATTTAATCTGATCGGCCACTGTCACTTATATACATATATACATACATATATATATATATATATATATATATATATATATATAAATGAATTGTCATACACATTTCACTCGCAATCTGTATCAAATAAACTCATTCGCTGACGAATTCGTTTCAAAATTCCGATGTGAAAATACCTTTGAAAAACTAAAATATCGTTATTGTCATTTCCACACCCTCGACTCGATAAAATTAAATAATTAAAGTAAAAATAACAAAAACTTTATACGAGTAGAAAATTATTATTCAAAAATATTTTTTTTTTTTTAAAAAAGACTGATTTAGATTTTTTTTTTAAAGACAATTTTTTTAGAAAATCTATACAATATTTTTTATTTCAGAAAATGGTAATTAGTAGTAACAGACAAGTTTAGTCAGACGAGCACAAATTGAATTTTTACTTAATATTTTTGTATTTAAAAAAAAAGATTTCTTATCATACAATGATTTAAGTTCCAGTACTTTCGTATCAGTAGTAAAAGTCAATTTTAGTCAGGCAAAATAGTTTCATAAATTTTATTATCAGAAGCAAAAATTATTAACCCTATTTTAGTTTCAGTGAAAAAAGAGTGTTTTAGTCAGACATTTTATTTAGTATCTTGTAATTTGGTACTAGTAGTAAAAGACAATTTTAGCCAGAAAAAAGTTATAGAAGCAAAAATTTTAGTCAACAATTGCATTTGTAATAATTTTGTATTAGTAGCTAAAGTTCAAAAATTTTGTAACTATTTTTATTTTTTATATTTTTAATATACCAAATTTTATCCTATAAGTAGTAACAAATATTTTTAGTCAGACAAAAATCCCTATTATTCTTTGCATAAATTTAGTGATAAAAGACAGTTAAGGTAAGACAATTATATTTATTTCACGTTCTGTATCAGTAGTAAAAGTCAATTTCAGTCAGACACAAAATTTTTATTAACGAAATACTTGTTAAATGGTTTATTATATAGTAATTTACTACTAGTAGTAAAATTCCATTTTAGTCAGACAAAACCTATTGAATCTTGAATTTTATAATCTCTAAAAAATAGTTTTCTAGTCAGACCTAAAAATCTAATATCTGGATATTTTTATAACAGTAGTAAAAGACGATTTTAGTCAGACAAACCCTACTTTGGTAACTAGTGGAAAATGACGATTTTAGTCAGACTATCACTTCCTATTATTACCGATAAATAAAAACATTTTGTCTGACCAAAAAAAATTTTTCTACTACTTCTAATTCAATGTTTTGTCTGACCTAAATTTTCTTTTACTACTGATTCTAAAGTTTCGTAATTAATGATAAATTTAAAAAAAAAAAAAGAAAATATTCTCCATTATTTAAAATTAAAACGTAGGTAGTTGAAAATCAAATATCCGTTTACCTTCAACGCCAGACAAAGAACAATGGAGTGAAATTTCTTTTAAGAAAAACGATCACAATTAATATTAGACTGCTGTTTAATGGTGCTATTTTCCCCAAAGCCACAAGTTTACCAAGTTATATCAAACTTCATTGTACAGTTGAAAACTTTATGAAAACTACTTTAATTTGAAAACCACACACAATGTAGGAAAACTATATCTCTCTCACACTATTTTTCATAATATTCTGACATTAATGAAGTAAAAATACTCCATAAAAAAGATAAAAGATCATATTTTTTTTTTCTAAAAATAAATTTTCAAAGTCTCACTTTAAAAGGATAAAAAAAAATCGACTAACTTTTGGAAAAATCAGTTTCGTAAAGGAAAATTCTAAAAGAAGTTTTTTGCGCATGAAAATTCATTTGCCCCAGATTTCTAAATCTTGTTTGCGATAGTTTATCTTACCGCACATACATGTATGATATGGGGTCCGAAAAAGTTGAAAAACTTTATTTCCCCCTTTTTCTTGTCAGAGAACGTTATACATGATATAAAATTTATATGGCGTGCGGTGAACATAAAAATAACATTTTTATATGCTCACATAAGTTGGTGATCGTTGTGCGTTATTATAAAGGAGGAAACATGTCACATTAAAAAACTTTTCAAACCAGACGCAGTATAAAGGTTATGCGTAAAAATTCTTTTGTCCTGAGATGTGCAACCAAAATAAAGTGATCGCATTCACATATATTTTTGATTGGTGAATCATAAAGTAAAATGAATTTTCCAAGATGGCGATAATAGTGCGATAAAGTTTCCATAGAAAGTGACTTATATATATATATATATTTTTATCTTTCGAGAAAATATTTACTATGGAAAAAAAAATTCTATTGCAAAAAAAAAATAAATTCATTTAAAAAAAATTAGATTCAATATAAAAGAATTTTAAAAAGAAATTTAATTTGAAAAAATATTTTGTTTATTTAAAAATATAATTCAATAAAGTAATATAAATTTATTTAAAAATATTTTAAATATTTTATAAATATTTAAAATATTTTTGTAATTTTTTAAATTTTTTATAATTAATAATTGTTTTTTATTTAAAAATTTTATTCAAATAAATAAACAGACGTTTTCATCGAAAGAAATTTTCAACAAGGAAGTACGCTCGGAAAAATAGACTATCTTTCCAACTTTGCTGAAAGACTGGATGCATACCAAAGGCGTAAATTAAATTTATAATGAAATTTTCAAGTTGAACTAATAAATTAAATTCTCTTTTCTAAATTCTAATTAAATTACAATAAAAATAATTAAAATTCATTTAATTATATAAGATATTTGTTGAATGACTAAATCAAACAAAAAAAATTATATAAATTATTTAATTTCATAAAAATATAGCTGTATAATTATTTTATAAATAATAACTGTAATTACATAAATTATTAATCAATTCAAAATTAATTATATTAATTTTTAAAAAATTTTCTACATTCTAGTATTAATTTCTAATTTATAAATAAATAATTCATTTTAATAAATAATTTTCATTTTGGAAATAAATTACAAACAAAAATCATTATAAAAGTTTATTACAATTTTTTCTGTTTGATAAAAAGAAAAATTGCTTTCTCAATTAAAACCACGTTTTCTGACACAAAATCGATTTTTAAGAGGGAAAAAAAATGGACTCGAGGATTAATCAGAAAAGAAAATACGGATTTTCCAAATGATTTGTGTCATCGTCATTATCTTCCATATAGTTGTCTATATAGAGAAATATTATTGACATTTCAATAAGAACTTTTGTACTGTTGACACGTGGATGTTTATAAATTGTCAGTAAAAGGTATGAAGATTCAAAAAAAAAAAATTCACGTGAATCATTCCAGGTAAATTATACGTTTGTGACGCGCAGTCGCATAGATCGAATGTACCAAGTTAAAGAGGGGAGAAAGGTTTTTCTGATCAGCTGGTTAACCCCGACGACAAGGCGAGATGTTCTCCCTGCAAAGATCTGTATTGTAAGTACAAATAATATTATATTATTAAATTCTTTTAGTTCAATTAATGAAAAATTTGTCAATAAAATGTTTGTGTATTAAATTAAATATTAAATTTTCCACGTGGAAATGTCAATAATCGCGCCTAGGAAACGTCAACCCTGCATACGGAAGTGATGAAAAAAAAAGTGACAGTCGCGTAACCTTAACTTCTTTGTCGCAATGCAGAGTTGAAAATAGGATCAATAAATTTTGAACATTAATTAATTTTTTCTTCTTCTATAATTAATCTGTTTTCTTTAATTGATACAAAAAAATACTAGGTGAGTAACTAGAAAATTCGTGACCTTCCAGTGTATGTATATATAGTACATGACCTTAAAGTCTACAATGACTTCTTATCATCCCTTATTGTTGTATTAAAATTTAAAGCCTATTCGATTATAGAATAAAATTTAAAGATTTCAATAATTCCTTTTTCGAATACTTCTTACATTTTTAGTTTTATAATTGATTTAATTTTTTAATATATATTTTTTATTCCATATTAACCACCACCTGGTGGTGAATTGCGTAATTTTAATGTTGGTAAACTGTGTATCGATATTTTTTAAACTTCCTTTTTTTTGTTTATTTATGTTGGCACTGAATATTATTCAGTTTTAAATATTTACGAAGAATTTATTTAATAAATACAAATATTTGCCTTTATTTAGTATTCATACTGAATTATTATATTTTGTATAATATTTGTGAAAGTTCTCAAAAATATTTGAAATTCGTAAAATTGCTTTTTGCAAATTAAATATATATTTTATTATCTCAACCATAATTAATTATGAATTTTCTCCAGTGTTTTACTAAATTTACATAAACTCATGGAATGTTTACATTTTAAAATGAAAATTTAAGGATATTACGAAATATTAATAATCCCGCGTAACTATAATAGAAAATAATTAAATAAAATGAAGAAATAAATGTAAATTAATGTAATTTAATAGTTAAAATTATAGTTTAAATAATATAATATTTTCAAAAATATTAATTATAGAAAAAAATAATATTTTTTAAATTTTTCATGAATTTTTAATTTTAAAATACTTTATCTGGATAAAGTATCAGACAAACTGCAATTATTTGATAAAGACAATTATCTGACATTGTATATCAATAGATTATGTAAGTAAAAAAATTCCGTTTGTATGTATAATATTTATTATTAAAAAAAAATATATATTATTTAAAAATAATAATTTACTATTTTTTTAATATTTCGTTTTTGTTACATAGAAATTATAATTAAACTAATTTTAGACTAACTTTTTTCCTCTTGGTTATTTGAAATGAATATTTATTTTCGTCGAATTTCATTGCTATTTGGAAACAAGAACGTGCGTTTTATTTTGGTCCATATCGTCAATGACGTAAAAATACGCAGGCTCCATATTAATATTCTAAAAGGAACGTCGTTTTTTTTTTATTTTTTAAAGAACGGTTTTCTTTTATTAACGATTATTTTAATTTTCTCTCTATTTCAAAATAACAAATAAAATTTGTATTTCTTGATAAAGTCACATTATTTTAATTACAATATTGACAAAAGACATCACATTTAAACGCGAGCTTAAATAACAATTATTATAGTGTAATTTAATTAACCTAGACCCTTTATATATAGTTCTCCTTTTGAAATTAACCTTGTTCTTGAATTTATTCACTGGAAATGACTCATTTTCCCTGTGTGTTATGCAATAATTAGTATATAAACTCCATTTTCGTTATATACATTAATAACAGTTAACTTTTGTAAATGAAGAAGAGTTTTTAAAACAATACCAGAGAATTTTATTTAACACATAAAATAATTTATATTTTTTTAAAATAATAAAACAAAATTTAATATAAATTATATATTATATTAATTTTTTTTGTTAAATAAAATAAAATTTAATATAAATATAATTATAATAATTATATAATATAAATTTTTATTTCTTTAGTAAATCATAAGAAAATAATATTGTAATACCAAAATTGCGTCAATTTTCTTTTTCTTGAGAAATAATTAATGTGAAAGTTTGCGCGGTGAATGCAATTTTATTCTTTCATAAATTGGGGGGTTCTTTAAAAGAAAGTTGTCCTTATTTTTGTAGATTATTAGTTTTTAGATGAATATATTCGTAATTTTACAAATTTACAAGTTCATCTTCATATTCTATTCTAATATGAATTCATATAGCCAGATTTCCCTGATGATGAGCATATACACATATTATATAGTATACCTATAGTTATCAAGTGCATATATAGAGAATTTGAGGCAAAAGTGAATTTCCCGCGAGAGGGAATACAGCCGCATATAATTAAATGTTTGATTCGAATATAGAAATATAAAATTTTCCTCTTATAGCCAATTATATTAATTTCAAAAATTAAAGTAATTTTAAAATATATATATATAATATATATATTATTATTTTATTAAATTCTATATTATTAATAGAGAGATATTTCAAATCGCAATCACAAAATATAATAAATTATTTATTTTTAATAATTTTTTTATATTTGAAAATAAAAATTAAAATTGTGTAATTCAGCTGGCTTAGATATATATTCAGCTGCTGTATAAAAAATTGTCCTTCTTTTTTCACATCTACCTCATTACCTCAGAAAATGTATTACCCGAAAATTCATCTCCACCCCCTTTTGCACGCGGTTTTTCACCTGAACGTTTTCCGATAAATGTTTGAAGTCGCTGACCTATAAATTTTCCCAAGAAATATTGAATAGATAAGAGGCAATTTAATATGTTAATATAACTTTAAAACATTTCAATAAATTGATTTCCCCTGGGACATTAATCGTTGACAAAAAAAAAATAGAAGAAGAAAAAAATATATAATTTAAAAAAATTAACATTAAAACTATTTGAAAATTTTTTCTAATTATATTAGTGTTATAATTCTCTTTTTAAAATTAGAAATTTATAGCCTACTTATATCATTGTTATCAGATAACGTTTATTACATTATAACTAAATCAACAGTGTTCTAAAAAAAAAATTGAAATTTGAAAAAATGTAATTGATAAATTAAATTATTTTTTTAGGATTCTAAAGCAAAAAAAGGGAGAATAAAAATAGAAATCAAATGTTAAATCAATGTTTATACGTAAACAGATGAATTTTTAATAATAATTATTATTTTTGATTTCAAGGCTCAAAGTTGATATATTATTTATTGATCGAATTTTTACCCTTATAAAATAACGAATACGTATATATATTTAGGGGAATAAAATAATCAAGTTCAAGGTTTTATTATGCTGACTATACACTTTCTGCGTATATTATAATCTTATCAGCTATAGTGGTATTGTTATGGCTGAAGCGTTCACATTACCCGCGGGTTCCTTTCATTTCCCATTAATCTCTCGTCCGCGAACGATCAGCTGTAAAAAAAAAAAGATCTACTCGCTTTGAAAAAAGGAAAATTTAATACTCCTTTCGAAAAAAAATTAACAATAATTAAAATCATTTTTTAAAAATAATTTAAAATTTAATAATTGATATTTTAATTTTAATTTATTTTTATCAAAGAATTTATTATAAAAAATTGAATCAATTTAATATAAATTAATAAACATTTTGATTTTCGTTTATTTAAAAAAAAAAAATTAATTACAATATTATTTTCGATAAATTAAATACATATAATAAATTTTCATAATATTTTTATGATTATAAGAATTTTTGATTCCATTGTATATAATGATCTGAAGCAGTAAATGCAAATTTATTTTAAGAGAGGGATAAAAATAAAAAAGTAGAAGTTGGCAAAGTCGAAATGCATTAAGAGCAAGTGCTTTTTGTTTCGAATTCATCTTCTCAAGTGCGAATTTACTTATTGTTTGTTTGTGTGTGAGTGTGTGTAACAAAAAAAAAATGTACAAAAAATATTGTGCTACTTGTAAAATGATTAAACCTCAGTGCTTAAGTCGGATTTATGATAATTGTGTCATTCATGTCAAACAATTACATTTGTAAGTTGAGAACTTAATTCAATTACATTCAATTGCATTACGTCATTTAATTTTATTATGTCAGTGACATTTAACACGTGCTACATTGAAAAAAAAAACACGTTTCTTATTTTTTTTTAAACACTCGCAAATTCATTACATGAAAATTACAAAGAAAACAATTAAAAATAAATATTTTTATTTAATAAACAATAATATTATTATTAATTATAATAATTAATTAATTATTGGAAAACAGTTCAAAAACAAATAAAACAATTACAAATTCAATTTTTTTTTTCTTTATAATAAACTCATTGTTTAAGTGAATAAAGAGATTTTATGAAATTGTTATAAGAGAATATAAAATGAGATTTAATTGGAACTTTGACAAAGTAATATGGAGTTTTTTTGCAAAAAAAAAAATAAATAAATTTGATTGTACAATGAAAATGAATATAGAATAATGAGTAAACTATATAGCGTGTATTGAACACAATAATTCTACAATGGAAATAATTATCATTTATAAATGTTTGTTGTATAAACACAAATATAATAATTCTGCAAAATGTTGAAATTTGATTTCAAATGGAAAATTCAATTTCTCTTATACAGTTCTGTTCATTTTGTGAAATATCAATCTAATTGCTATATATGTTGGATTTATTTTCAAAAAAAAAAAAAATTTCTCGTTGATTTACTCGCACTTCACACTTTTTTTTCGCACTTAAAACTCATTGAAAAAAAAAACCAATTTTTACCCGCAATTATTGTTCAAGTTTTAATTGTTTTTTTTTGTAAATTTAATTCCAGTTTTAACCGAAACGTTATGAAATAAATTTCCTTGTTCTGTATACGCTCTTTTTTCGCTGAATATTATTACATAAAATATTTTTTAAAAAAAAATAGGAAAAAAATTTACTAACAAAAACGTGAAACTGATTTTTCAAGGATTTATCGATTAAATGTGATTTAATAATTAAATAATTTTTGGTTATTTATAATAAAATTTTTAAATCCATTTTTTCATATTTAATATTTTTATAAAAATTTGTATATTTTATAATTATTTCAGAAATCTAATAATGTATAACTTAATATTTCTCTAAATCAATCAATATTTATCAACAAATCTACTTTGATCGCAAGGTCTATGATTATAGAAAGTCTATATCCCGCGGATGTTTATCTATATGTTAACTGTAATTTTAACATAACTAAATTACCTAAATTGATTAAACGCATGTGTATCAATTTCTCTTTGATATATTATTTACAAGTCTAAATTCAAAAATTTATCGGTAAATTTGAATAATACATATCCCTAATCATCAAATAAAATGTTTTAAAAATTGATTAATTTTTTATAAAATTAATTAAAATTTTTATTCTTTTTTAATTAAAAATATTCTATATTTTCATGAACTTCATTTATTAACTTTAATAATTTTAACATCATATTTCAAAAGTCAATATATATATATATATAATAATTCGCAAAATTGTCGTGGCAAAGTGAGAGGATTAAACTGAAATATCAATTTTGGTATACATATATATAGAATCCATAAGCCCAAGAGAGGGACTTCATTTGACTCCATTTGTTTAGATGTGAATCCTCAATCACTTCCTAGTGCGCATTCCACCTGGGGACAAACAATATGTGAAGCTAGTCTTGAAATTGACAGTTCCACTGAGGGTGTCCTCAATTTATAGAAAATCTATATTGCTCTATAGTCAAGTAAAAATAGTAAATTCAATTTCAGAAAACACGCGGCTATTTTACTTGAAAATTTTCTGAAATGAAAACAAAAATTTTTTTTTCGATTTTTCCCACAAAAAAAAAAAATTAGAAAATACAAAAGAATTTATAAATTAAGCAATAATATAAATGAAAATATAATTTAAGAAAAAAATTCGCTTTAATTTTGCAATATTTTGAAAGAAAAATAATTTTTTGCAGATCATCGAGCAGTAGGAATGGAGGAGGATCATGGGCAAGGACACTTTCACCTTCTCATCCTGCAATCAAAGATGTTCAACAGAGAGATATCCATGAAGTTCAAGGAGAAGTTGTTCCTATTAACATGGTCAAGGGAATTGGCCATCTCAGAGATCCTCGACTCAACAAGGTTCTCATTCAATTAAAAAAAAAAAAAAAAAAAAATTATTTCTCAAAAAACAAATATTTTTTTTGAAGAATTTTTTTCATCCGAATAAAAACAATTTTTATATTAGAAGAAACGTATTCAAAAAAAATTTGTTAAATCTTTTTTCTTTTAAATAAAAATTTATTAATTTTCAGGGTCTGGCTTTCACACTAAAAGAGAGGATATCATTGGGAATTCATGGACTTCAACCACCGAGATTTAAAACGCAGGAGGAACAGCTGGCCCTGTGTAAAGCGTCCGTGATGAAGTACACAGAAGATTTGAATCGATACCTTTACTTAGTAGAATTACAGGTGAGTGATAAAGCCACAAAAAAGAAAAAGGGCCGACTAATTAAAAAAAAAAAAAAAAAAAAAAAAAACAATTAAAAAAATCCCTTTATGAGTTACAATGAGAGACCTTGGATAATAGGAGAGGAACGAGAGATTATTTTTCCGTCTCGTGAGCGAGAATATCGAGCAGATGATGCCCATCGTCTACACGCCAACTGTGGGACTTGCCTGCCAAAAATTCGGTGTTATTTATCGAAGGCCACGTGGACTATTCATCACAATTTATGACAAGGGACACGTCTATGAAATTCTCAACAATTGGTCAGTAATATTAATTTATTTATTGAATAATTAGAACAAAAAAATATATTGAATAAGGTTAGTGATTTTTTTTTAAAAACAAAAATAATAATATTTTGGCATGTGGAACATGAATGAAAATGTGCCAATTTTCGCTTGTTTTACAATTTCTAGGCCAGAACAAGCGGTGCGAGCTATTTGCGTTACGGATGGTGAGAGAATTCTAGGTCTCGGTGATCTTGGTGCTTGTGGAATGGGAATTCCAGTAGGGAAATTGGCTCTCTATACGGCTCTAGCTGGAATTAAACCTCATCAATGTCTGCCAATAACAATAGACGTGGGAACGAATAATGAGCAATTAAGAAACGATCCTCATTATATAGGACTCAATAAGCCCAGAAGTCAAGGTGCTGAATATGATGAATTATTAGACGAATTTATGGCAGCGTGCGTTCGTAAATATGGTCAAAATGTTCTCATTCAGGTGATTTATCATCTCTAAATGACGATTTTAATTTTTTTATTTAACTAATTATAATTCTAAAATATAAAAATTTATTTTTATTGAAAATAATTTTTTTTACAGTTTGAAGACTTCGGAAACCATAATGCCTTCAGATTTTTAGATAAATATAGAGATAAATATTGTACATTCAATGATGATATTCAAGGCACTGCTGCAGTTGCAGTTGCTGGAATTCTCGCCTCAAAAAGAATAACGAAGAAAAAAATGTCAGACAATAAATTCGTCTTCCTCGGCGCTGGAGAGGTACAATATTTTTTGAAAATATCTATTGTTAATTTAAATACCAACTATTCCCAAAAAAAAAAAATATTATTTCGCATTTTATTCCAAATGAAAGAAAAATTTTTTTTAGGCAGCGATTGGAATTGCGGATCTTTGCGTGAAAGCATTAGAAGCTGATGGACTATCGGAGGCGGAAGCACGTAATAAAATTTGGATGATGGATATCGATGGCCTATTAACAACATCGAGAAAAGAGGGTACAATGGACGGTCACAAGATATGGTATGCAAAAGATCATAGACCAATAAAAACACTTATCGAAGTAGTTAAAGAAGTTAAGCCCTCAGTATTGATTGGTAAGTACAAATTTTTTTTCAAAATATTTCTGAAGTTTACAATAATTTTTTTTTTCAGGAGCGTCTGCGGCTGCTGGGGCATTTACTCCTGAAGTTCTACAAGAAATGGCCAAAAACAATGAAAGGCCCTTAATATTTGCTCTCAGTAATCCAACGAGCAAAGCAGAATGTACAGCACAACAGGCTTACGATTGCACTGAAGTACGTCTTTCAAAATCTGTGATTTATTATTAATCGAAAGATTTAAAGAAAAATTAAATTTATAATAAATTTCAATTTTCAGGGAAGGTGTATTTTCTCATCGGGTTCGCCATTTGGTGAAGTGAATTATAATGGAAAAATTTATAAACCCGGACAGGGTAATAATGCATATATATTCCCTGGTGTTGCTTTAGGAGTTATTGCAACCGGTGTGCATCATATCATGGAAGAAATTTTCCTTATTTCTGCTCAAGTGGTCGCCGATCACGTAACGGATGAGGATCTTGAACGCGGAAGTGTTTACCCTCCTCTAAGTACAATTAAGGAATGCTCAATCGATATTGCTGTGAAAATCGCAGAATATGCTTATGCACAAAGTAATATTCATTTTTCAATTATTTTATATCAAAAATTCAATAATAAGTCACTTTACATACGTAAATATATTTATTATTATTAAATTTCTAATCGTGATAAAAAATTCATTTTTCAGATGGTTTGGCTAGTGAATATCCAGAACCAAAGGATAAAATGCAATTTATAATGAGCAAAATGTACAATGCGAATTACGACAGTCCTTTGCCTGCATTTTACGAATGGCCCGGAGATGCTGCACATCCTCGTGTTCTTCCCGAAAAGTAAGTTAAATTTTCAATTTTAAAATGGGAAAAACAAAATTTATTTATTTTTGTTTTTTTTTTACTATTATTGCATTGAAAGAAATTTAATTAAGCACTTGCGAATTAAAAAGACACGTAAAAATGTTCTTTTTCTTTCAAGTTCATTTTATGGATCACATATTGCTTTTTCATTTTCTATCTGCATCACTATCTCACTGAAATGACGCTTTTTTCTCTGCTATCTCAATAAACTTTTTTTGTACGTAATTTTTTTCTTTAAATTGCATCCAAATAATTTTTAAAGGAAGGTGTAAAAGAAAAAGGATGAAATATTTTGACGACGGAAGTAAATAGATTTCTATCGATTTCTATTTCTTTTTTTTATGAATCACCATCTGTGCGAGAGAGTTGAATAAAAATTTAATTTAATTTCCCTCCCCCGAGTCGTCTGAACTTGAAATTGTCTTTTTCAGAGACACTGTACAAATTCATCATGATTTAAAACAACTGTAGGCATTTCCTGTGGATCAATATATTATATATAGTTGAAAATAATTTTCGCTGTTACAAGATTCATATTTATATATTATGTAAAACAATATTTTTTCATAATATAACTGTTGAAAGAGAAATTTATACAAATAGTTATAAATGTTTAAAAAGTTATAAAGAAGAAAGTCAAATAGTTTATTAATGATTAATCTCTGTTAACAGTTATTGTTATCGACTTGAATATCTATTTATTTTATTGTCTTTGTTCAAATGCAAAGTGCTTCGATCTCTATAAGTAAAACAAAAAAAGTCTTTAGTAAGAATGTATGTTGAAATATCGTACGAATGCGTTTGGAAAACAATTCTCTTCTTACATAAATTGCACTAATTTCATTAGCTTACTTTAACATTTTCAATGCATGTCATATTTCTATATTGATTTTTTTTTAAATTACTTTGCATGCAAAAACTCTATTTTCATTTATCTCACTCTCTCTCTAGGGAGCTTAGTTTTTTTTTATTTGATATACCATCAATTTTTCCTATGTAATTTTCCTTCTTATTTAATTAATTTTTATAATTTCCTCATTGTAATAATTAATAACATTTATTATTATTTTTTATTATTTATCAATAATAATTATTTTGTTTATTATGTTTTTATATAAAAAGTTTAAAAAATTAAAGAATTTTTTTTCTTTTTTTAATAAACATTTTCAATATTGAAAAATTATCTGCAAATTATACTTCTTTAGATGATTTTATAATATTACATATCCAGATTGTCGTGCATTAAAACTATTAGAAATTATAGAAATCAAATTTTTTAAAGTAAAGTTAAATGTATTAAAGTATTGAAAAAATAATACTTTATCTCTAAGATTATTAACAAAAGACTTTAATAAAGTATTTTCCTAAACTATATAGAATATTTTGAAAAAAGTGAATATTTTTATAATTGCTGAATTATAAAATAAAACTAATTGAGTATAAAATAATGTTAAATTAAAAATCAATTGATGCTAAATTATAAATGCTAAAATGCTATAAATGTATAAAAATTAATTAACAATTAACCACTTTTCTCAGATTCCATGATTTCAAGTTGTTTGACACCTGCAGTGATTCCTGTCTTGAACAATCGTCAAATTAAAGATCGTCCTTTCCTTCTCCTAGACCCAAAAAAGAACATCTCTCCAAGATAAATATCACTTATCCTATACAAGTCACATAAATTTTGCTACTACCTACATTTTCTTTTTTGTATATGTTTTGACAACTTTTTTATAGAGTACGTAATCGCTACTTATTTACAGATTCCTTACATTCTAATAATTTTTTTGTACATATTGTATAGTTATTTACTAAATCCTCAAAATTATTACGAAAATTAAAACTTGTAAAATTAGAATTATTAATATTAATTAATAATATAATTTAAAAAATTGTATTAAAATTTTTTTAAAAATGTTAGTATTTTTGAAATCTTGTAGAATCACTTTTGCATGTATGCACATAGAAATTATACAAAACAAATTAATTAGTTAACAGCATGATTAGATTCAATTATTTTACTTTTCATTGGAAATTTAGAGTTTCCAATTCCTTATTTTACAAATTTATTAGAATATAAAATGAAAAAAAAATTACGCGCCTCTATCCAGTGACTAACAATTTATTTTTGTAACAGATTATAATGCGTTGGCGAGATAAAAAAAGAGCAACAAGTAAAAGGGTAACTTTTCAGTTACCAGGCCGTAAAATAAATCTAAAACTCTCCAGTTAAGTGTAATCGCGATCATTTTACTGATAATGTACTTATTTATTGCAATTGAAAACAACGTTCGAACCACATTACTCATTGAAAATGCGACTAATGCAAAATATAATAAGTTTATAACTGTTATCTGTATGAGATGATTATTAATTATCCATCTGCGACTTTGGTGTACCAAATTACAAAGTCCCCACTGTCTCTACTTTGTAATTAACTTACTAAATGTCATATTAACAAAAAAGAAAAAAATCTATAAATGTTTATTGATTCAGATGTGATAATTAGAAAAAATAGTTGTAGTTGACTGTTATTGTACATTTTCAGGAATTGTATAGAAACAAAAAAAATTAACCTATCACAGGCGCATTATATTTTTCAATTATTTTAATTAATCGGTTAGGTAACGATGATAATTGTGGCTTCCGAAATGTTGTTGCACCGACAGTATTTTTTGTACGTATTCTGAAAAAGCTATAGACGCTATTTTAATATATAAGGTCAAATCTAAATCAAAGAGAAAACTTGCAGATTTTTTTTCAAAATCAAAGCAAGAACAAGTGATAATAAACGACAAATACAATTTTTAATTACCATCAATTTAAACGTGTGTAATAAAAAAATTTTTTTCTTTGTTACGCGTGACTAATGTTCACCAATAATACAAATTTAATTCACGAAATACAAAAATCAAACAAAATTTTGATCTGATTAAAAGAGAATGCACTGTGTTGCTAAAATTGTAATCTACTGTTCGAAATAAACAATAATTCAATTGAACTTTGTTTCTATATTTCCTAAAGAAATTTTTTATATTGCAAAATAAAAAATAAACTATACGAAATAGTTAAATTATTTAGGGAAAAAAGACAACATTTTTGCATTTAGATAATCAAAAATTTTTATGAACGAAAATATTATAGACTATTTACATACTTATAAATCAATCGTTCATTCATTTCATAATCTTCATAGAGGCAGAGTTTTTTTTTGTACTCAAGGGGAAGATTATTCAGCAACAATATTTTTTAGATAAAAATGCTTTTAGCATTATTTAAAAAATATTGTTTAAAAATCAAAAATACATCATACTTCCAATCTGCATACCTGAGTTTATAAAAAGGACTTTGAAAAGTTCAACAAGAACTTTCATTCAGTCATCTTCGGAAAGATTATTTGGATCAAAATCCGGATCATCCTCGTCATCATCCAAATCCAGATCATCCATATTTTGAAATAAACTTTCGTCGACTTTCACTGCATCGCCTAAAAATAATAATTACAATTACGTTATTCGTATATTTAAAAAATATGTATTGTGATTATATTATAAATATTGAAATATTAAGAAAAAAATACCATCTTCCAAGAATTTAAGATCCGATTGATCCAACGTTTTATCAGTCATAAACAATTCCCTTCCTGTCAATTTTTTTCCTTCTTTTTCAGCTAATTCTTTTCGTTTCTTATAACCCGTTTCCTCGTCAAATTTCTCTTTCCAACTTAAAAATGTCTCGACTGTCACTCTTGTACCTTCAAATCGTTTCTGTAAAAATAAAATTATTTTTTTTAATAATTGTTTATCGTGAAAGAAAAATTGAAAAGAATTTTAAGAATTTCCTTTACCAATTCTGCTTCTTCTTCCTCTTTTAATTTCAACGCTGCATTTTCCTCTCTGTGCAATTTAACTTTATCCCATTGAACATTAAGCCATTCTTGTGCGGCACTAACTAAAGTAAATACCATAACTATTCCTAAATTTTCATTCATTTGCTCAACAAGATGGGCATGTAATTCCTCATCGTTTCCATCCTCAAAATTTTCAGTATCTTCAATATTAATTATCAAAGGCTCCTCTGGATATTTCTCAGTGTATGTAAATTCTAATCGACATGCTAAACCATTATTAGATTCTGGTTCGTGTTCCTCTGATTTAATTGGAATTGCAAATTTGTGAAAAGGTTCTGTTGCTATTACTGAAAATTCACAAAATTTTCCAATTAACAATGTAATTAATGATATAATTATAATCAAATGTAGTAATAAACAAATTAAAATGCAAAATATTACATATGCTATACAGAAAAAGTAGTATATAAAAAAAAATATTTTTTTAAAAGTAAAACCATTAGACAAAAATAAAAGAAAATGGTTTCAAGTACATTATTTTAATTTTATTATTTATATACTACTATTAAATTATTTTTTTTACAGTAAATAAAAAATCATTCCATATGTATATAGGTTATGTTCGAATTACCTTCTAGTTCTCCTGAATAAATATGTTCCAATGCTTCAACTTCGTTGTTTTGTTCTTCTATATAATCCATAATGTCTAATATAAAAATTTAATTTCTATTGTAATTTATTTACACCAATTCATTAATAATAATAATTGTTTAAAAAATCAACACACGCCGAGTTTTGGCTTCCACTCTTTTTTGTCGTCTGCACTTTTATCAGCCAATCATTTGCTGTAGAAAATGTCCACCAATCAAATCATAGAATCAATAGAAAGAAAACAGCTGATCAGCTGTCAGTGTACACCGACTGTGACTGTCAAGAAATAATTATAATTATTTAATAAAGAAATATATAGTTTTATTAATTATTGTATTATAAAAAAGTGTCATTAGAAAGTTAATAAATAAAAAGTTAAACTATTTGTAATAGGTAAGTTAAAGGTTGTCATCATTTTTACAACAATATAATTCATTTCATTTGTTAATCAATGTTTACTTTATTTTATTTTTGTTATTTTCACATATAAATTGTTTTTTTTTCCTTTTAGTTATTAAATTGAAAAGTATTGAAAAATGAGAAGAAAAGCAGGAATAGGAGCAATTCATAAACAAAAACTCGAGCAAGAAAAATATAAAGACAAAGGCACAGAGATACAGGAAAATCAATTTGAACAAATGACCAAACAAATGGAAACATTTCGCATTAATCTCGAAGAATTTGCAACAAAACATAAAACTGAAATTAAAAAGAATGCACAATTTCGTCGGCAATTTACTGAAATGTGTGCATCAATTGGTGTTGATCCACTTGCATCGGGTAAAGGTTTTTGGTCTGTACTTGGAATTGGTGATTTCTATTATGAACTTGCCGTTCAAATTGTTGAAGTTTGTTTAGCAACAAATTACAAAAATGGCGGTTTAATATCACTCGATGAATTACGTGAACGATTAATTCAAGCACGTGGAAGACGTAAAGAACATCAAGAAATTACCAATGAAGATTTATTAGCAGCTGCGAAAAAATTGAAAATTTTTGGCAATGGATTTTCTGTTGTTCCAATTGGTCGTGGCAAATATTTAGTACAATCTGTACCTGGTGAATTAAGTATGGATCATACGGCTGTTTTACAACAAGTTAGTTTATCGGGAAATGCTTATATTTCCAAAAGTGTATTACAAAAAGAACTCAAATGGGAAGATGGAAGAGCGGAAAAGGCTCTCAATCATATGGTTAAAGAAGGATTGGCCTGGCTTGATAATCAGGGAGAAGAAGAAATTTTATTTTGGTTTCCTAGTTTGTTCACTGCTTGTATTATGTCGAAAGCATAGCTAATATTTATATTAATAATTTTAATGTTATATAAAAAAGGTAAGTTTATTTTTTTTAAATAAATAATACTTTTGAACTGTACGAAATTGTATTTTCACAATAAAATAATAATAATAATAATTTTGTTAACGAAATATGTACAGTTTTTATGGACGGAATTTTTATTTCTTGTGAATAGTGTCATCTATTGTCATCTCCATGATCGAATCTATGAATGGCTTGAACTCGACATCTCACTAAATGTTCACGACATGATAGTAATTCTTTATTCAAATTATCATTTTCTTTTCGTAGAGCATTAATTTTACTCCTTAATTCTTTGGATCGTATTTGAAATTTAGCTGTGAGTGATTTCGCCTCATTTTTCCATCTACAAAAAAAAAAGAAAAATTAATTTTCAAATAATATAAATTTTAACAATATGACAGAAAAATAGAATTTACCTATTACTAAGTTGTTGATGAATTTCTACAAGTTGAGTTAATTCTTTAGTTTTTTCATCGAATTTCTCCTGAAGCATTTTTAATCGTAAATCCGTGTTTACATGGGATATTTTTTCTATTCTGTAAAATTAAATAATTTTTATTAAAGCATTGAATATAATAAAAATTACGTCACTTTTTGTATATATTACCGTTTTTCGATTCCATCGTCTGTTTTCGAATTGGTTGCTTTTCGTAGATCCTCTTGTAGATCACTGACTTTATTTTCCACAACTCTTCTATCTTGTTCCCGAATTTGCATTTCACGATCGAACATTGCTTGCAATGAACGCAATTCCTTTGATAAATTCTCCTTTTCTTCGAGTACTCTCTCTAGACGCTTTTCTAAATTCAAATATCTGTTTAAAGATTCATTGGATTCCTTCATACGATTTTCCAAATCTCTACAATTCTTTGCCTGTGGAAATAAATCATGTAATCCAGAAGTCGATAAACTTTGTTCTAATTCAATAATTCTTTGTTCGAGATTTTCATTCTTTTCACTGTATTTTTTCTTGTAAATTTCTTCACACGAATGTAATTTATATTCCGCGTCTTTTAATTTTAATTCAGAGTCTTTTAATTTTTGTTCTAAATCTAAAATTTTTGAATTTGATTGATGTAAATAATCATCGGAACCATGACGCATTTTATTTAATTCCTCTTCGAGTAATCTACATTCTCTTTGTCCTCTATCAAGAAGAGTTTCTTTTTGTCTCATTTCAACTTTTAATTCTTTTAATTCCAAATAATATTTCTTGATATTTCTCTCAAATTCATCTTTAACTTTGTTAACTTCTTTTTCTAAAGAAATTGTATATTCTTCAGTGATTGTATTTAAACGTGCTTCTAATTTTGTTTTTTCATCGGAAATTCGTGCTTCACGTTGAAGGGACAATTCTTTTTCTCTCACTGCAGATTCAACTAATTCAATTGCTTCGCATACTTTACTTTTAGCTTCACAATCTTTCGCGAGTACATTATTAGTAAATTTTTGAGAATCACTTAATTTTCTCTCTAAATCAGAATTGATTTGTTTTAATTTTTCACATTCATTTTTCATTTTATTTAATTCTACATTTAAAGAATCTACAGTCTTTTGATTGGCTCTCTCCAAATCAAGGATTTCACGCTCTTGTTGAGTAATTTGCTTTTGAAGATCTTCTTTGTCCTTTTTTAATTCTTCAAATTTCTCTTTATTCGATTCCCAGAGGATTTGGTGTTTCATGAAATTTTCTTTGGCTTGAATTAATTTACCCTCGAGAATATTAATGGCGTCAGAATAAGATTGTTTAACATTGTTCACTTGATCTTCATAAAATTTTGAGCCTTTGCCATCTTTTTGAAATGTTTTTAGCTCCTCTTCAAGAACATCTATTGCTTTCAATGACATTTGCCAAAGTTGAAACATTGAATCTTTTTCCATTTGTATAACGGTGAGACGTTTCTCGAGATTCTCTAATATTTCTTTATCGGGAAGATTTCCATTACATGTTTCCGATTGACAACGTGCAAAACAATCTCGTGCAATGTCACTTGTATTTTTACTTTCAGTGCGAAGTATTTCAAGTTCACGTCGTAATTCAATCTGTTCGGTCTAAGAAAGAAAAATTAAACTCTATAGGAAATTGAATATGAAAGAAAGTATGTATTGTTTATTTCAATTTTACCTTACAAACGTCTAATTCTTCCTTCAGAGATTCTACAATATCGGCATATTCTTGAATTAGTTGGTTATGATTTTCCATGCTAGTTTTAAAATAAATATTAACAATAAATTAAATTTATAAATAAAAATTATAAACAATGATATATAAAAGATAACCTTAAAACTCACCGGGGTTTTCTTATATCGGTTTCTGACTCCATTATTTTGTCTTTTAACATCACTTTTAAAAATTTAAATAGTTTATATTATTGTTACAATCATTGTAAAACAATTTTATTAAAAAAGCGTCATTGTACGTTTAATTTACATCTTTTTTTCCAGACGTAAACCATGGACAAAACACAAATACTGATTAAGCTCGTTTCACTTTCCAAGATGGCGGAAATAGTAACTAGGGAATTTTTTATTATTTGTGTGGCTACACCTTATCACTAGATTCATAGTAATACGTAAAATTCTATTTTTTATAATTTATATAATATGTATATTTTTCACTTGATTAACAATTATTATTATAATTTATTATTATTAATTATTATTAATAATTATTCATTTTATTATTATTAATTACGTAAAAGAAATTTAAATTTCCGCGCGTTTTTTAAATTAAACATTAAATCCAACACTCAACTCCAGAGGTCACTAGTGTCGATTGTCAACGACAACGGAACATCGGTCGCCATTCTAAATTGTTTTAAATTTAAAAAAGAATACAAAAATGATCTCATTTTTATTATTTATACATGAAATCATTTATTATTTACATAAATATACATGGTTGATATATAAATTATAAGTGGGAGTACTATATTTGTTTAAATAATACTACATATCAAACATGTACATATTCATAACCTACAAGTTTTTAAATATCTATAAAAATCAAAAGACCTCGTTGTGTGAGTGTTAAGTGGTGTAAGTGTAAAAAAAAGTGAAAAAACTAATCGCGAATAGCATAACAATTATAACAATTGTAATGATAAAGAAAGTCTTATCGAAAAAGGAAAACTTTCAGTGTTAATTGTCATGAAATTTGTTTATAGAGCACGTACATTTCAAACAAAAAATTTTGCAAAAATCCATCTTATTTGTTCACGAATATATCTAACGTGTTGGTGAAAAATTAAAAGATAATATACGTTATGTAGGTGTAAAAAAATGAGATACACATTTCTAATTGAGGTCTATTTTTTTATTGGAAGTTGAACATGACATGTGCCTTTGGTCTTGTCATTTATCGATTTTTTTTCTCAGGGTGGGTGGCATTGGCGTCGTGAGAGGGATTTCATCTATATTTCGGGGACGCCGGGCGTCGGTCTTTTGATTCTCTTTTTAGTATTAGTGTGTCCATAAAGCAGTGTTTACTTCCGCGGACCAAAACATCGATGACCTTGAAAGTAGATCACGTGGTGCCGAGACTTTTCGTTGATTGGTCTATAACGTTCTACAGAGGGAGCTCAGAATCGTCGAGTTTGGCGAGTGTGTGCAAGATCTTTGCTACAAGTGCGACAGAGAAATAATATCGTCAAAGAGAAGAAAGAACTGGGAAGCGTGCGTGTGCGCGCGCGTTGATTGTGTGGTTGGTGTTGTCCAAGATGAAGTCCGACTCTTTGTTGACAACTCAGGCAGAAAAGGCAAATCATTACAAGTAAGTTAAGCGCCCGCCGGGCGGGTCGCAAAAACCGATACGCGGGTTGTGGGCGAGTTTGGATCTTTTAAAGAAAGAGAAAAGAAAAAAAAAAGAGAGAGAGAGAAAGAAAGAAAGAAACCAAGTGTGCCCCAGTGCCTGAGAGTGCCAGAATACGAAAAAGAAGAGCCGCGCGCGCGATCAACGCGCGTGTGAAAACGCCACGAAATAATGTGTAGTTCTGTGGATTCGCATTCCAGATACTTGAAGGAATTTCGCGTCGAACAATGTCCCCTCTTTATACAACGCAAATGTACTCAACATCGGCCGTTCACGTGTTTCAATTGGCATTTTATGAACCAGAGGAGACGTAGACCGGTTAGAAAGAGGGACCGCACCTTCAATTACAGCGCGGATAATTATTGCAGCAAGTACGATGAAACAACCGGCATATGTCCCGATGGAGACGAGTAAGTCTTTCATTTTGTTAAGTTATTTTCAGTCTCGTATTTTGTCTAACAGGCGCAGATGTTATTTCATCCATTTCCTCCCCCCTTTGTCACCCCGCGACGCCCCGCGGGCTTCTTTCTTTACTGCACTTCTTTAGATTTTATTACGCCCTCAGTTGACAGCACCTTCCGTCAATCCACCTTGAAACATTTTTTACTTTTCATGTTTAAAAACAATATTATTATCTTTTTGTATATGTGGGAAAAAATAGTCTCTTTTTTTGTCGAGTTAACCATGTTTTGCTTACGTCGCAATATATAACGTGATTTTTTTCCTTTCATCGATTCCTCTATTTTGTTGTCTCGGAGAACGATGAGGTGTCCATCTTACCGACTGTGCTCTGCCTTTCTCTCAATCTCAGCCCCTTCCCCTCATTATTATCATTATTATCATCACCATCATCATCATCATCGTCCTTCCATGCCTTTTTTGTCTGCTCTCGAATATCATTTCCAATTCTCTGATGATCTTTGTTTACAATTTTTAATTCCATACGCCTATGTCTTTATTTACTTTGGAATTTATTTAAATATTAAACATTATTAATCATTTCATTTCTATTGTTTATATTGTAAAATTGTGTTTATTAAATTGATAATAATTAACTAGATAAAAATAAAGAAAAAATATTATTATAATTGACAAAATTTTTATTGTTTACATTGTTCGATTTTTACTGAAACTAAAAATATTAATTAACTGAACTTTGTTAACCCTATAGGAGATTAAAAGTTAAAAAATTTTTGTATACTTTTCCAAGAGAAAATTCAGAATTTATAAATAGCCTAATCTTTTCTCAGTAGAGTTTCTCCCTCGTCTTTATATTTCCCCCTGTTTCATTTAATTTAAATTTATTTTTATCTATCTCTAATTCTATAATTTCTTTATTTTTACCTTTTTTATTTTTCTCATTATTATTTTGTTCCTGTATATTTATTTCATGTATTTATGACATCTTTCAGGACACGAGAGGAGAGAGATAAAGGAATTAATTGAAAGTTTTTATAACTCGACAGGAAAAATTGTTCTCAAATATTTTTAGAACAAAATATAGAATCTTTTATATGAATATTATAAACGATATGAGATTCAAGAGGTTTTTAAAAAGAATTTTGTTTTTAAATTCAATATACTTGAAGATGTTGAATGATATTTTGCGTTTGTATATATCCTTCGCTTGTGCCGTTGACACACGACACGCGAATACGTAACGGAGTCGCGTGACGTTATTACCATTACCGACACTCGAAGCAAATAAGTAACGTGACATAGTGGGTGTCTTTTGAACCTATGGGAGCTGATTTATTATTTTTATGAATTGAATATATAGAAGTATATATAGGAGAGGATCAGATCGCACGCATCATTTCGAATCACCATCTGGTTAGATATAAAAAAAAAGCGCCGCCAGACGTTTATTTATTACGAGGGCTTGTTATGCAATTGGCAGACTGGCAGAGGGCAAACAACTATCAAAATTGTTATTCTTTATTATCCTTCATTATTCTTTCTTATCAAATTTGCAACTCCGTCTTGCAAATATCGTTTCGACAATTGACAAAAAAAAAATTTTTTTATTCATAATTTCTTTAACATATTTTCATTTCTGTTTATTCTCTCTTTGTCAGGAATTTATTGTTCTGAATTCTTTCGTTTGGGACTGTTCATCATGATCTAAATTCCTTGTTTTCAACTCTTTTTTCCCCTAAATGATTTAAATTCTTTATAAAGTTGTCTTTCTAGTGAATTCATCTTTATGAATTTGTTTTGCTAAATTTCTTTCTCTTGAACGATAATTCCGAATTCTTTCCATTGATTTGTTTGTTCTTTTGATTTGATTCTCGTGAATTCATTTTGATTATTTGAATTACTCGAATTATTTCCAAAAAGTCGTTAGCCGAATTTTATAGGGTATAATAATTTTTTTTCGCCATTGACATGAAAAAGTGTCTTTTTTGTGCCTGTTTTGGGCAGATAAAGTAGCACTTTTTAAGGCAGTTTGGGCCAACTGCCTAAAAAAGACTTTTTTAGGCAGCAAACTGCCGTATAAAGTCTTTTTTAGGCAGTAAACTGCCCTATAAAGTCTTTTTTAGGCAGTTGTTAATTTTTGCATAATTTTTTTTTTTGCTTTTATTTTATTTATCAATTTTTATTATTTTTTTTCTTTAAAATTGTTTCACTTTTTCATAACAATGGCGAAAAAAATAGCGTATGTGGCTCGCACGTAGTAATTTTTAGGTTCGGATGATTTCAATACTCGCTGTCTGTGCGACTTCGGTTCGACTCGGCTCGCTTTCGGCTCGACTCGACTCGCCTTCGGCTCGTCTTCATCTCACCTACAGCTCGCCTTCGTCTCACCTACGTCGCACTAACGACAGCTCGTACTGAAAATTACATCCTCACCTAAAAAGTACTACTTTACGTGCTTGCCACATAATATACTATTATTGAACCGAATTTATATTTACAAATTATACTTTTGTATTTTTTTTTAATCTTTTTGATATTGTATTTTATCGAAAATTTTTTTTTTTATTCTTTTTTAAAATACAATCTGTTTAAAATTAAATAAATTTGGAAATAAGTAAAGAACATTCACGAATTTTGTGCAATTTAAAAAAAATTTATTATTGAATTACAAATTATTGTTGCAAAGTAATTAGAAACTAAGAAACTTGAATATCAACTTTCACACAAGTTGCAATATTTCGTCTTAGTCGGTGGTGGTTGTGTCTGCTTTTGCAAATAATCGACCTTCATGACATTCACTTTATATTGTGAAGCATATTATAATACAGTCGCAGGTTGAATTCAAATAAAGAGATTTTCAATTTTTCATTGCCTTTTTTTATATATATATATCTTCAACTTGGTAATGTCTTTTTTAGACAAAACTTTATTCTTGAATATATAGTTTCAATATTTTATCTTCCAATTTCCTTTTCTGTTGAAACAATATAGTTAGGGCATTGAAAAAGATTTATGATTAACAAATTATTTATTTATATATATTTTATCTTCCTGAATCATTGAAATTCACAAAGTTTAGACTTTTTTTTTACTATCGTCTTCGACTTAAGTCGGTAATCGTGACCGGAGTATAAAACAGAACGGATGCAATAATGTGATCCTGACATTCTAATGTTTTTTTCTTTATTTGTGAAACAAAGAGACCATATAGCGTACATTATTTTTTCCAATTTTTAAGAAATATATACAATTTTTAATTTTTTTTTTTATTAAAACATTTATCAACCATAAAATTTATTATTTTAATTATTTATTAATTTTGTAAAAATTATTATAATTTTCAAAAAAAAATTCTAAGATATTTATAATTAATATAATTGATCAAACAGTAAATAATTATAAGAAACAAGAAATAAATATTATATCGTTACTTTTGCTTTTTAATCATTCTTTTTTGACTTGCAAAATATTAGTAGAAATATTTTTGAATAATATATGAGTATATTGTTAGATTATTTTTTAACTGATAAAATAATAATTTACATAAACGATTTGTATAATATTGAAGAAAAATGAAATTTATTATTAATTAAAAAAGAGAAATTAATTATTTTTGAATTAACGAATAATTTTTTAAAATAATTTTTTAATTAATATTAAATCAAACTCATTAATCTATAATTTTTTTCTAATATTAATAGAAAAGCAATTAATAATTTCTGTTAATTAGTTTTTTTCAAATGATTTTAATTGTATTTTGGCAATTTATTAAAAAGATAATTTTACATATCGTCAGTTTATCTATTTAAGCCTCGACTCTTTATGTGAACAGTTTGATGCTCTATTTAGAATTATGTAACTATGTATGAGTCATTGTTTACCTCTCGTCATGTTAGAAAATTAGTCATCTCAATAGAATCGATTTAAGGAAATGTTCTCTGACATTCAATGTTACAAATAGATATGTGTATAAATAATAATTTAAAAAAAGAATATACCTGCGAATTGTTTCTTCGTAAGCGTTTTCTTTTCTTTTCTTTTTTTTAGAAAACGATCTCTAAAAATAGATGTTATAACTATTTTTACTTCTTATAGATATATTAGGGGTGATATATTTTTCTTTGTTTCGAATTTTAAGGCATTGGCGTTTTGAAATGATGATTAAATTGCGTAAGTGTTTGCAATCTTTTCTGCTTTTGGTTAACAGAGGAAAATCGCAAATGCTTATGTCATTAGATTTTATGCATTGAGACTGACGAATCGGTATATACATATTATATGTAGGCAGAACTATTAAAACCGGATGAACATATGATCTTAATTATACATAGTGATTTATTTAGCATAAAATATATATCATTTTTACGCGCTTATGATTTATATTTATTTCTTTACTCGGACATAAATAAAATTATTTCATTTAATTGAAAGCCGAAAAATTATTAAAATATTAAATTATTATTTAAATAATGGATTTAAATTCTAAATATAAAAGTATTTTTTTTTTTTTTTTTTTTGAATAATGGAAAAAATGATAAAATTAAATTCAAATAATGTCAATATGCTTTTTATATATGAAAAATTCACCTTTTTGTGTGATTATTTCTTATCAAAAAGTAATGATTACAAGTGATTATTAAAGTTTTTTTGTAACAGTTTTATAATGTTGCGCAATATTACTAAATGGGATCCCTAGATTAAAAGTTTATTTTTTTATTTTAAATTAATTGCCCGTTTATAATTGAGGCAAACTTAATAATTATGAATATTTTATTTACTTGTGTAACAATTATATAAATAAAAAACAATAAAAAAATAATAAAAAATTATTAAATTATCTATTCAAATTAATTGTTTTTATTTTTTTAATATTGATTATTAAATTTCAAACTAATGAAATATATTTAAATGCAATTATTAGATAAATTGAATAATGAATTATTCACCATTTCATTAAAATACACTACTCAATTTAAATATAAATTTAATAGCAAGTAGAAATTTTATTGTTCCAAATTAATAACTTGCCATTCTCGGATGTATGTTGATTCCATATATGAAGATTTACAACATCCGTAAAGCTCATCGTTGACGATAAATTAGTGTGTGAATGCTAATTTTATCGTGTGTCTAATCTTGGCAAAATGAATCTCTACTATATTTATATATAAATTCGTCGCGTGTATTGGATATGAGAATTTGTTGGTGAAAAAATTACGTAAAAGAAAAAAAAACAAAACAAAAGAAAGGAAAAAAAAGGAAAAAAAAGGAACGAAAAACATGTACATATAAAACGTATGTAATACGCCATTCATATATGATGGTCTCTCTCGCGGGTGCTTTCCCTCCAAAATATATTCGGTGCTTAGGGAACCTCCAAACAAAGGAACTCGGGTGATATTGATTTTCTCTTATATACTAGGCACGCCAACAACGTAGGTTTCATGAGGTTTTCTTTGTCGTTTGTATTCCCCCCATTTACAATCCCAGTGAACACACCATGTCGTCCTGGCGCCTTTCTCCCTCTTTCATTTCCCTCCCATAAACTTTTACTATATACATATATTTATCCTTCTCTCATCTCCCATATAAAATGGCCCCTATTTTAGGATTTAGGTCAAAATTCCAATGCCAGCTGATATATATATATATAATATACTAATTGTTGGTCCTCTTTTCACACTTGACGAATTCACCGAAAAATATTGGTATTCTATAATAGAGACTATATATTCCACTTGACACGATGACGCAGTAATTAGATGCATTCAAATATTTTAACAGAATTTTTACTTAAACGAATTTTTTAATTGACTGAATTTCTATTTGTCTGAATAAACATTCGATAAAAAAAAACATTTTGGACGAATGCTTTTTCGAACAAAAGAAAGTTCTACAATTCGCGTAAATGAAAATTGATCAAATGTTTCTTGGTTTAAAAAAAAAATTGTCCTTGAATTTTCTCTCTTTTTTTCTATAAAAGCCATCACAGTAAAAAGAAAAGGTCTATCTACGCAGTATGGGAAAAGAAAATCCGTTTTTTCAGAATTTTTTTTATTTATTTTTCTGACGAAATAATTTGATAGATTTTAATTATTGAAATCTGATATTTGAAACTATTGATTAGTCGTGTCAAATAAAATATTGAATATAAATTTTAAACGATGTTTATGTATTTGCCAGTAATTATTTATTTTGATCATTTATTTCGGTGGTTATTTACTTTCCCATACATACTATTGTTAAAATGATAATTTTGTTGTGTCATTTATTTATATATTTATCAGTATTTGTCATAAAATTTAGGGGGAAAACGATTTCCATATTGCTTTCAAAATAATATATTAAGTACAATATTTCGGAGAATTATTCTACTTTACTTTCATTTTATAAAACACACTTGTTTTTAAGAATATGAATTTTTTTTTAGTTAGAATATTTAGTATAACTGATAAAAAAGAATGTTTACCTAGAATATTTTAGTCAAATTCTAATAAAAGAACAAGGTCATCAGCTGTTTCTGATCTCTATCCAGTTTTACGATAAATAGATTATTTTTCAGTTTTTTTTTTAAGAATATAATAAAATAAAAATCCAATTTCACATATGCTTCTTTCACAATCAAATCCTTCTGTCACTGGAAAATTATTACTAAATTTAAATTTAAATGTGACGTAAATTTAAATTGAATTTTTATATTTTATAAAACTGATTTAATTTCCAATCCGGAAATTTATTTTGAATTTAAATTAATTTTTGGTTGAAAATTTATTAATTTATTTTTTTTTTTAAAAAAAAAGATATAGTAAATTTTATATATAAAAAAATTATAATCAAATTAATTATATTATCCTGAGAAAATTCTAATGCTTTTCTTTTTTACGGCCTAGATGTCCTTATCTTCATCGAACGGCAGGAGATACTGAAAGGCGTTACCATCTACGCTATTACAAAACGTGCATGTGCGTTCACGATACAGACACACGTGGATTTTGTGTTAAAAATGGACCACATTGTGCGTTTGCACATGGGAATCATGATCTTCGACCTCCTGTTTATGATATTAAGGAAATTCAAGCATTGGAAAATCCAGAATCTGATCCTAATAATTCTTCTAATGGGCCCAATATACTTGACAAAGAAAGGAACTTAATGAACGAAGATCCAAAATGGCAGGACACGAATTATGTTCTTAGTAATTATAAGACAGAACCTTGTAAAAGACCCCCTAGATTATGTCGACAGGGCTATGCCTGTCCTCAATATCACAATAGCAAGGACAAAAGGCGAAGTCCAAGAAAATATAAATACAGGTGAGTTTTTTGAAAAAAAAATATACAAAAAAACGTTTTTCTAAATTAATTGAATTAAATTTAATTGGAAATGTAAAATAAATTAAAATATTGTAATTTTTTTTCTTTTTAGATCGACACCGTGTCCAAATGTGAAGCACGGAGAAGAATGGGGTGAACCTGGAAATTGTGAACAGGGCGACACCTGCACATATTGTCATACACGTACCGAGCAACAATTTCATCCCGAAATTTACAAGTCAACAAAGTGCAATGATGTCCAACAGGCGGGCTACTGTCCTCGTGGTGTCTTCTGTGCTTTTGCACATGTTGACCGTGAGTGTACTCCCATAAATCGTACGTAACATACTTAATTTAATTTGCCTGTGAGCTATGGAAACTCAAAATATGCATATTGCCTCTTATTGTGTTCTCTTTCAAAAGATTTCACTTTTGGGTAAACAATAGCTTTTTTTCGAGACGCATTGAATATACCCCCAGAAACTCATTGGTTCAAATTTGCAGTGGATCGAATTTTATAAAGTCGTGTTTTTTTTTATTTAGTTGAATTTCCTGAAATAGAGTTAATATTTAAATTTAACTTTATGAATTTCAAAACACTGGAAATTAAAATTAATGGTTTTTTAAAAGTAAATATTCATGCATCTCCTTTTTCGCAAAAAACGCCCCTTTGAAAAAACAATTTATATCTTAAATTTTATGTGTGTTTTTAATTATATTTTTTTTATTAATTTTATTTTTATTTATTTTTTATTCGAAATTTGTTATTTTATTTATTTTAAAAATGTTAGTGTCCAAAGATGACAATCAATTCTATTTTGCTCCAAGCCGACTAATTATAATAATAGAAATGAAAATTGCAGATCGATTTTAATTTTTTCTTTTTTTTTTTTAATTTCTTTGTACATTTTTTTGACACTTGACCGTAAATTAAATTGATTGTAAATGAAAACCGCAGATCGATATCAATACTTGTTTTCTCAATTTTCATTATACACTTTGAATATGTCTTGGCTGGAAATTAATTTTTTTTATATATTTAATTTTTACTATTTATTTCACTGAAAATTTAAAATAAAATACAAATTTAGCCAAAGATATTTTGCATTTTATTGGAAAAAATAGCTTTTTTATATTTTTATTTTTTAATTTTCGTTTTTATGCCTGATTTATATAGTGTTTTAAATTTCGAATATATATGTATTTCTATTATTTTTGTAGTCTATTAGTGAATGTTATTTTAAATTGTTGTAATTTGCGAAGTAAAATATATTTTAGTAAACAAAATTAAGTTTTTAAAAAAAAATGATATATTCAAATATTGATATTGGTGTGCTGATGGAGCAGTGTTGCCAACAGAAGAAATGAGCTTGGCGAGGGACATTCCGGTACCTATAGATTGTGGCACAAATTTGGCGGATATTCTAAGCAACGCTTTACCCCCTGACAAGAGATCTCATGATAAGGATAAAACTTTAAGCGACAGCAGTGTAAGTTTTTTCCCTGACACAACATTTTCACTTAGTCAAAATCAATACTTTTTTATTTTCAATTTCACACTTTTTAAAATTATTTTTTCTAAAATCAATTTCATGTTTTTAAAATCGGAAAACAATTTTTTTTTATTTTAAGACAACAAAATAAATAACAAAATTTTATAAAGTCAGAAAAGTCAGTCAGAAAACAATAGTTTTTTTTTAAAAAAAAAAAGCAAGTAGATTATAGACTGAATGAAAAATTAATATCGAATGAGGGTAATGACTTAATGTCAATAGTTGGCTGCATTACAGAATGGAAGCGGAGAAGTATCAGAATCCGCAAGCACCAGCAGTCTTGGCAGCAATAGTTCTCATAGTAAAGCGCCAGGTGCTCAGCTTCATAATTCAAATTCAAATTCCAACTCCCAGAAACTCAGTAATATGTTGTTTAATTCTGGATCTCTCATTCAAGTCGTAAGTAAAGAAAATTTATCCCAAAAAAAATTTACGATTTTAATTCTAAAAATTAAGATTAAAAACGAGTAAATTTTAGTATATTTGAAAAAGAAATATTAAGTAATCAAGAAATTTAAATATTTTATTTTACAGGGTGACATTCGAAAGCAAGTGGTAGCAATTGAAAATGATCCTTTGTTAACGAAAGGAGAAAAAGCCCAAAGGAAACAGAATCTTTATCTAGCATATAATTTAAATGGTTCCTTGGGTCATTCACTTGGCTCGTCGGTTACACCATTAACGAATTCTTTCTATACAAATGACACCGTTGAATCCGTCGTAGGTCAGTAAACACAATTCACTTTGCACATTTTTTGAAACATTTAAAAATTCATCCATTTTTAGAAAAACGGCATTTTTTCTTTAATTTTTTGCAATAGAATTAAAAAGAGGGAAATGGAATTTTTTTTTAGGAAATGCATTAGATGATTTACATTTAGACGATCCGATTAGTCTCGTGGATTCCATTCATAGAGATACTAATTCTCCAATTTCCAATTCAATTTCTGCTGGTCTGGCAAGCTCAGGATTACTTGGAAGCTCGGCTCCAGTCAATATTCCAGGAATGTCTGATAGATCCGTGCTCTCGAATTTTTCACCTTCAACATCCAGTCCTTTGCAACATTTACAGTCAGCTGGATTTCTCACAGGGTCTCGATTTTCTCATCAAGACTCGATAGAATCGGTAGGTTTTGAAGAAAATTGTGAAAATTAAAAATATTATTTATAAATAGTTGAACGAGTAAAAATTAAAATTTTTTTATTTTAGACTATGCCATTTATGAATACAGTCACGGATCCATTTAGTAATCATATCTCACAATTGAGTAGTTCAGCGTCAAAACTTAGTGGTTTCAATAGCAGTTTATTTGATTTTGCCAATCAGGGAATGTCACCGTCACGAACTCAACCTCTTCCAGCTTCTCCTTTAGTCGGTGCATTTTCAATGAGTCCAAATAATTCAGGATCACTTTCAGAAGTTAGTATTCGTTTTTTAACATGATTAAAAAAAATACATGAATAAAAAATAATTCTTTTTTTCAATTTTAGTTACAGGTGCAAAGACTGAGAGATGAATTGACATCGAGTCGCGCACAACTTGCAACGTGGGACGAACGCATCAATCAGGCGCGAGCTGCTTGTGCAGCCTGGCAAATGGAAAGTGAAGATGCAAAACGAAAAGCAACAATAGCAGAACAACAGAGGGATGAGGTCGGTCTTTTTTTTTTTTAATTTATAATGTTTCAACAATATTATGGGTGAATTTGTGGGAAATTGAAAATTTAAAAACTTTTAATCGGTTGTAACTAAACGGCTTTTTCAGTATCGAAATGAATTCCAGGCATTGAAGCAATTGCGTGCTGAGAAGGAAGCAGCGAATGGTGGTCCTTATTTGCACACCCTTAAGCGTACAAGTGAACTTCGATCTCTGCCAATCACAACATTACAATCAATACAGACACAACTGCGCTCGGATCTTGAAGAACTGGAAAAGGTGAAGCAAAATTGTCAATCAGGCTTGAACAACTGGGATATCGGGCGATTTTCAAACTATTTTTAAACAAAAATTACGAAACTTCATTAATACAATTGAAGGCACGCTATTTCGCAATCTCTTCACAGATTCGATTTGTGCCTAAAAGAATACCATTATTAGTGAGAAATATGAATTTATAATCCTTCGCTGTGAGTCGCACCGTAAAGTTCAAAATCAGGGAAAACAAAACAAAAAGTGGACATTTTATGGGAAAAACAATATTTTTTTTTGTTTCAAAAATTAGATCATAGAACAAAGGGATAATATGGAAACTTCAATTTTTAAAATATCAATTTTGAAAAGTAATTAGAAATTTAAAAAAAAATTTGGTTAAAAAGAAAATTCTATAATGGTTTGAATTTACAAATTGGAATTTAAAAAAAAAACTCCCATTTGAAGAGAACGTTTTGAATTATTTTAAAATCTCATGAAATGAAATTGATAGTTTCTAGATTTTACCCTTTCTTCTTGAATATATAATATTGTGGGGAAGTGTCTGTGAATGAAAACAGCATAACAGAAAAAAAACGAAATCGAGCGAGAAACTCGATACATTTTTGAGATCCACTTTGCACCAAACAAACAAAAAAAAAACAATTAATCTTTTCATTAACCGAATTAAAAATTTTGAGTAACAAAAAAAAAGGAAACATTGGGTAGCTCAGATGTTGCCATTTCAGGTGCTGTACCGGGAAAAGGCAAATAGGTGCATGGTATGCGAGGATCAAAATCGCACTGTAACCCTCTCGGCGTGCAACCATCGTGTAGTTTGTTCAACGTGCGCTCCCAATCAACACGAGTGCCCGTACTGCCAGATGGTCTCAACAAATTAGGTCGGAAAAAAGCAAAAAAAAAAAAAAAAAAAACTCGATCTTTTCAGTTTTCCCACATTTTTTTAGCACCAATCAACATGGGGACAAGTATTGCATTACAAATATTTTGAGTACTCGGACATTTTTTAAAAAAAAAAGACAATTTTTGTCTCAATGAGAAAGAAAAAGAAAGAAAGAGAAAAAGTAACAATGAAAGACAAGACAGAAAAAAAGGAAAAAGAAAACTACGTCCGAGACTCCACAGTAAATGATAAGGTGGATGTGATATGACAATTCTTATACATTTTTTCTCAATATTTTAGAATCTATTTCTTTTATAAATTTCGTACCGGTTGCCCTCCCCCCTGCCCCTTTTATTATCTGGTCATTCCGAAAGCTTTTTTTAGTATCAAGTTATTTAATTTAAATTTAAAAAAAAAACGCAACACTTTTAATATAGTTCCAAGGGAAAAAAGGCTGATGGAACTTTTTTTTTCTAGCGTAATCAAGCTGAAGATTGCATTTATATTTCTATATAATATATATATATATATTTAAAACTATATAAGTAGGATTTTTCAATTGACATTTAAGGATATCCATAGTTATTAAATGAGTATTAACAAATATTTGTAAATTAATATCTTATTTTCAAAGACGTGGTTTCTCAATCGTTAATTAATTAATTCGGACATGATAATAAAATATAGGAAGGAAAAAACGAAATTTAGGAAAAGAATAATTTTTTTAATACAAAAAATAGAAAGGGAAAATTTTGACGAACTTCTATAAATGAATTTAATAAAAAAAAAAGATACAATTTTTTAAAATGGACACTTAGAGAAAAAATCTCAAATTTTTCTATCTTTTCTAAGAAAGCCAAATCACGATAATGAGAAAAACCTAATTAGATTTAGCTGCACGAATAGAGATGAAATAATAGTCGTATAGCTTGAATTTTATATGAATAATGCTTCTATTTTCATAATTGCAATTAGATTTAATATAGATTATAAGTAGGAAATACATGAATTATGTATTTGATTGGAAAAAAAAACAAAAATCTATGATAAATATATAATAAAATAAATATTATATGGTTTTCAAGCGTATAGGTGAAAATATTAACTTTTCTTTGTTAAGTGTAGAACACAAAAATAAGCTCTGTATTTAAACAAGAAAAAAACATACCTATTTGAATTAATTTAAAATATAATTGAATTTTTTAAATTACAGATTAATTTTAAAATCTAAAATAATTTTTAATTTAATTTTTAAATAAAAATAATTAAAATGTGAAAAAGAAAAAATGAAAATAATATGACGTAAATGGTTCGACTCGTTTGTGTTGTGACGTTTATTCAATGATATATAATTGTATGTTAATAGGAAAACTTAGGATTTTTCAATTTATTAATCAAAATATGTATTTAATGATCGTGAATCTTCAGCTTGGTTGCGCGCCGGTACATTTTTTCCTCGAAATTAAACGTTATTTGGTGATTTAATATATATAAACAAATTGATATTCTATAGTTGACAGGCACTAGAAATTCGTTTTCAATTTTCTATTTTTTTTTTCTCTAAATACTACTAAATAATAATAATAATAATAATATTGTTAAATTCTATGACAAAGAAGGACTATAGCATTCGTAATTAAAAAAAAATATATAAATATATATATATATATTATATTCTCTAAGATACAAATTAATAGGATAGATAGGACGCTATCAAATTTTTTTCTTAGGTATTAAAATGTTACAATTATTAGTTTTTAAAGTCGAGAAACAACATTCTCAGTCCTTTAAAATTATTATTGAATGAATTAAAATTAAATAAAATTGATTTATTAAAATTAAATTAATTACATTTAATTTTAAAAGGCAATAAATATTCTTTTTATATTGTGCTAAAAATTTTAAGTAGATTTAATACTACTTAATATTAATTATCATTAAAGTAATTAATTAATATAATCAAGGACTGAAATTGTTGAGTCATTTTTAAAATTTGTAATAATACCCTGCAATTTCTTTTTCTTTTTTTTAAAGAGTGACGTTTTTTCTTTTTTTAAAAAAAGAATTAATAAAATTCTTGCCTCAAGAATAATAATAATAATAATAATACATAGTAATAAAAAATATAATGATAATAAGTAAAATAACAATAATGAAAGAAGGATCGCAGAGGGTATTATAACAGAATTTACACAAACGAATCAATAATAAATGCGCAATTCAATAATGTTAATTTTTTCCAGTCTTAACAAAAGAAAAAAAAACAAATTTTTTTTTCTCAATTCTTCATAATTTTGTATAAAAAAAAAGATGAGGCCAAAAAGAAATGTTTTTTTATTAGGTCAGTTTTTTAGATAAATATTAAAATATTAATACACGTTAACAAAAAAAAAACAAACAAACAAAAAAGTATGAATTTATTAGCTTATGGTATGCACGATTTATGAAACGATATATATATAGAAAATTTAAAAAAAAACTATTGTATAAAAATACAATTATTTGATTTCGTCTATAATCGTGTCCTGAATATTCATGCGAATAGAGAAAAAGAGAGTGGGAGAGAAATAAATTGTTATCATTACAAATTATATATTTTATAGTAAATCATACGACGAATAATAATAATAAAAAGAAACATTAATTTTCATAAATAATCGTGCATATCATGAGATAAATATATTCAAGATACTATCTAGGTTTTAAAAAAAGAATTTAGCATTACGATAATGCATTTTTTCAATTTGCCATTGTACATGCATTTTTTTTACGGGTCCTCGCGTTAATAAAATGATAGTATAAAAAAAGATTTTGATGAAAATAATTTGAAAACTAAAAAAAAAATTAATACTCGAATTAGTTTTTTATCGGATACTCGTAAAAAAATTGCGTTTACGATTAGTGTATACGCTCGTCGTGATCGTCAGTTTACTCGTGTGTGTATGTGTGTTAATTAAATTTCCATATAATATTGAACTGATGAATCTTTATAACAATTTAGCTTTATCATTATTTAATTAATTTGTTTTGCAAAAAAATGCTATAATCCTTGTATCAAATACTTTTATTGTGCATTTCATTGTTTCATATATTTTATAATCTTATTACATATACTATTTTTTTATATTTCATGAAATTTGTCGTTGAATACAAATTTATCATTTGTAAAATGAAAAAAAAAAACTATTTTAATTTGAATTACATTAATACGAAAAAAAAATGTTTAAAAAATTAATTGGGTTTAAAAAAAATAGTTGATATTAATCTCGGTGATTTTGAAAAGAATTTAATTTAATATTCCGATATGAAGTATATTTTTTATAAAGTATAATTTATGATTCTATTTAATTTTTGAAAAATAACAAAATTCTAAATTAAAATTCTTTTTTGAAAAGAATTTTTTTATTTTTTAATAATCATGTTTTTATTATTATCATTAAAAAATGACGTATTATTAAAGTTAACTTTCGATCACGCTATGCAAATGAAAGAGTTTAGAAATGATATTTCTGATTAATATAATTATATAAATGAATGAATAAATAAATATATATATATATATAAATAAATATTGTAAACAATTACATTCATATTACGCTATTTTACTTATAATAAATAATATACTACGATCATATTAATAATTATGAAATTAAATTATTGTGAGAACGACAAATTTAGCTACAAATAGGTTAATAGGAGAGTAACAAAGTGAATGATTAGCTATTATTACTTATCCAATACAAACTTACACAGTTGAATATTTATAAACAAAAAAAGATAAAAATTCTGTCCCCTTTATTGGTTTCTTTGCTTTCGTAATAATTTTTTTAATTGAAAATAGAAATAAAAAATAATTGATATATTAATATATAAATTATATATGATTAATAATTATATACTAATAATTATGTATCAATAATTAGATATTAATAATTAATATATATTAATTAATATATTAAAGATTTTAATAATGAAAAAAATTTCGATAAAGAGCTTAAAAATGATTTTATTCTTCATCAAAACAAAGACAGCCAATAATTGGGCAGACAAAATTAATAAATATTATATATTATATATTTTTGAAAAAAATCGTGAAACAATACAAAAAAGCGACGTGTAATGGCCTGTTTGTGCGAATGATTCTTCTCTGATTTTTTAATGCTTTCTTGAAATGATTTTATTTTTTTATTTTATAATCGAGATTATATAAATTTACAAGGCACATTTTTAATGAACAATGTAACGATAAAAGAAATTTTATTAAAAAAAAAAAAAAAGAAAACTCGTTAAACAGAAGAATTATTTGCACAGTACAGAAAATAAAATAAACCTACACATAATCACTAGGCTACTTTGACGATAATAGATTGTGTAAAAATAATAATATTGAGGAACTTTAAAAAATATATATATCATTTTTATTACAAATTTGTCGATAATAATTGTCAATCCAAATCATCTGTATAATCAATTGTAGTTTTTGATATTCGACCTTTCAAATTTATTATTGTAATATTATCTATTACTTTCACTTTCTGACATTTTCTGCTGAGCGAATACTTTTGCAAAAAAAAAAATTCATTTTGCAACTCAAGGATTTTTTGAAAAATTATTATGGAATTTTGTAATGGAAATTGTATTTCAAACAGAATTTTTTGTAATTTAAAAGCATTTTTCTATTTTACAATATTTTCTATTTAAATCTTTTTTTTATCACAGACAAAATTTTCTATCAGAATTTTGCATTTTCAATCAAAGTGTTTTGTATTTTTCAAATGAAAAGGTTATTAAGGGACCAAATTTTGTTTCATTTAATGATTTTCCTTTGTGAAATTTTTGTAAAGATTTTACTATTTATTTTACTTTAAAAAAAAATCCTTGTGCTGTGAATAAAATGAAAAGTTTTAATTCAGCATTAAAGTCATTATCGCAGAATTAAGAAAGTACATACTATAGTTATCAAATTGATAATGGAAATGAACTGTTACATATTTCGATTTCTATTGTGAATTCTGCATCTCTGTAATAGTTGTAACGTTTTTAAAGTTTTTAAATATCTCCCCTCCGAAGATATGAAGAAAAAAAATTTATTTCAACAAAGATAGAGAGAAAAAAAAAAAAAAGTTCGACGGGATTTAATGCATAATGCAGAATCCAATAGAAACGCGCCTGTTAAAAGAAGCGTTTAAATATTTTTGCAATAAATATGAGACAAAACCGTCTTCCGGAACAATAATTCAATGTTTGCGTAGCCTAAAGAAGAAGAAGAAGAAAAAGAAAACACGTCTATGGTGAAATCGAAAGATGAATAAAAGACAAATGTTTATAAAAATAAATAAAAGTATATTATATAAGCTTGATCTAGATGTCACTCTAAAAAAACAAGGATGAGAAAAGCAAGTCATTTGACTTTATGGGCAAGAAAAGAAAAAAAATATACAAAATATATTCGTATTAGCTTGCGGTGTTAAAACAAAATGTGCTATTTATTATATTTAAAAAAGAAAAAAAAACAGATATTCCACAAATTTTAATCTATATCATCATGATTACTTAATTCCATCTGAAGAAAGGACATCGAAATTTTTTCGTAATTTTATCATTATATTTGTAAATGTCTACTAATGGATAATAATTGGCTTTGCTGATAAATAGAATTTACAATTAAAATATCTAGTACAAGTAAATAATGGATTTTTAAAATATTTAAATTTCTAAAATGAAAAATTTTAAACTGAAAATTTAGATGATTCAAAAATACAAAAATCGTAAATAAATTTAAAAAAAACTAAAATTAAAATTTAAAAAAAAAAATTAAATGTTTAGTATTTAAATGTGTGTCAATTTTATATTTCTCCTTTCTTGAGATAAATAAATTTCAAGACTATAAATTTGTGGATCATTCTGAATCCGAACAGAGTGGCTGAGAATGGAAAAAAAGGAAAAAAATATCAATTTTCTAAAAAAGTTCTTAAAAAAAAGGACACTAGTCATTGTGAATATGAAATAAAAAAAAATATAAAATTAACTTATCAATATTATTATTTTGGAATCTTTCCGTGGCCACTCTGTCAAATCGAAACAATAAATAAAATATTATTGAATTATCCGTAGCATGTAATACAATATTAATGATAATAGACGGTATTAACAAATTTAATAGATTTTCAAAATGGTCTGTCGTTCTGGTTGTGGTTACTTCTTATATGTGTGTGCATTTTATATGTATACCCGAAAGGATTCTCAACTCATATCACCGACTGTTTGGTATAATTATAATAATAATAATAATTGGATTTTTGTACGTTTTTAAAAATCTTATATAAATGAAGTAACCGCTTTGAGCATATTGTAATTATTCTTTTATAATACGTAAAAAAAAAAAAATTAATAAACGGTCTGTAATTGAATTTAAAACTCGATTTAAAAAAAGCATTGCACATATGTAACTCAATCATATATGTAAGTTAATAATTAAAACAAATATATAAATATATGATTAAATATATTATATATATTAGAAATAAACTACAACAATATACGACTTTTAAGATACCTCAGATAAAATTTTTCTATAATGGTCTGAAGACTGCGATTTCAAGATATAACACATGTAAAATAAATGACAATGCTTTTTTTTCTCGAGACTTAATTCAAGTTAAGAGAATCGTCGATAAATAAAAGCTCTTTTTCTTACCTATATGTATATGTATAAAGCGCAAATCGAAAGGGCGATAAAAATTCGTATTTCTGTCAAAAAAAAAAAAAAAAAAAAAAAAAAATTTCACTGTTTGGTGTCTGAATCACCGAATGTATTGTATGCGTGTCTTGCATCTAATAGAAAAAAAAATGAATAATAATATTGTGAGTTTAATTAACTCGATTCGTGTGGGACCTCACAGTTATTTTTTTAATAACAACAAAATATGACAAGAAGTTCAATTTTAGATTATTCAAATAAAAAAATGTAATGAAGGTGGCGTTTATATTTATAAGATTTTCAACTGTGGTTTGTCTGATTTTGTGATGTCACTGATATTTTCATAATACATGCATTTAATTTTGTTTATCATGCGTTCTGCGAGGCTGTACACAATTTTTTTTTTTTCGTCTTTCTTTTTAAAGACACAATTTTCATGAGATCTCTTTCTTTTTTTTTTGATAATTTAAAAGAAGATCTCTTTTTAATGTTAATTTTTTAAAAATCTTTTTCATAATTTTTAAAAAAGAATCTCGTTTTTTGAAAATAATTTGCAAAAAGTATAAAAATCATTTTCTTTGATGAAAATAAAAATATTAAAAAAGAACGTTTCAATTTCAAATTTAATTTGATTTAAAAACTATTTTTGAATTTTTTATTTCTTATGAAGAAGAGATTTTTTATTCTTAATCCAAGATTTTTTGAATTTAGTGATAACAGTAACTAGGTAGTTGTTTGTCTTTTAATTTTTTTTTTCTAATTGCTAATTATGTCATTATCAAATACAAAAGCCAAGATCGCATTATAAGCGAATTTCTTGTTTTTGAATATATAAAAGTCTGATGCTGCGTACAAAAAAAAGAAAGGTATTGTTCTAAGTGCAAAACTCTCAAAGAATTTTCGGTACGTGTACAAATTATCGAAATGTTTTTTAATTAATTATCGCTTAGATTGTTAAATAAGAGAAAAAAAAATAAAAACCGGCACAAAAAAAGAAATTAATTACTTTTTATAGAAATAATAGATATGGGCAAAAAAAAAAAAGATATAAAACAACTTATTATCTTGACGCATATTAAAAAAAGACTTAATTTTCAAAAATAAAACTTGTTTGTTTTTAAATTGTAAAATTCTACATAGTAAAATGTAGTGAATTCTAATAAATGTCAGTACAAATTGAATAGCAAAAAAAAAAAAAAAAATAAATAAAATAAAAAAGAAAAATTGTGAGCAAATGTCGTTCGAATAAAAAACAGAAATATTTAAAACCGATATTTTTGGCAAGAAAGAATTAATTAATGAAATTAAGACCGAGATAGTTTAGTAGCTATTGTAATCGTTAAATAAATTTTGTTCTAATATTTTTTTGATGACTGAAAGTTTATACATTATAGTAATGATATCTTACGACGTACATAATTCGTAGAACGAATTTTCATTACTGCTTCTTATGCTATAATTATAATAGGTAGTGTAATATAATAAAAATAGGTATTGTAAATCAATAAATTGAAATTATTAAATATAAGAGAATACATTATTTAATTCAATATTCATTTTAACGAAAACGAATTTTTTTAAGAAATTATTTCTGAATCCTATTTTATGAAAATAAAAGAAAAGTTTTTACCTTATTTACCAATTTTCCAGTATGTAACGATTTTTTTTTTAATTAAATATGTTTTAGTAAGTTGTTAATTTTATATCTTTTCTTATTATATTGAGAAATAGGACCGTAAAATTTGAATTTTACAAATTCAATTTTTTGAATAATGAGAGATTTTCTATTGGTTGATGGAAAAAAATTGACTGCGCAAGATGGAAGTTTTGCAATCTAACACAGTTAACTACTGGCGCTAATGAATAGACTTCCGGTTCATTTTAGCCAATCAGAATGCGTTTTACTAAAGTTGTTGTTTTCTACCACCAGAGCGCGCATCAGTGGATATTGAATAAAATCCGTCAGTTTTGCATCAGCCGTTGCAAGTGAAAGTTGTGAACTTTGTTTCAATCAACAACCGTCTTCAGCAAATTACTAAAAAGGTAAGACCAATCAAACAAGATACGTGTATTTTCATAAATTATTGTGATATTTATTGAGGGACAATAATTTTTATACGATATTTTAATATTTTGTGTCGCGATAATTAACGTAATAAGAGTTTTCGCAATAGCGTCTTTTCATCTTAAAGTGTGACTACATCCGCCATTTTGATAATTGTTCATGTTCCCTGTTGGAGGGAAAGCTGTAAATATTTATCAATATTGTATTTTTTCCATGCATATTGTCTTTGATTTTTATTGTGAATGGAAAATTACTAAATATATTTTTAGCTTGTTTTTCTTAATAAAAAGAAGGTCGAAATTCATATGTTGGTGATAAAATCTAACATTTATATAGTTAATGAAAAAAAGCGGGATTTCTCTCATATCGCGTCTATTGACATGATAGTCCCTCCCAGTTTTTTGTTATATACCTTTTCTAATTTATCTAACTTAATTTATATTCTAGTCTATTTTTTAAATTTATTTTATTATTTAAAAAATGTCAATAAACGTTTATCTGGATAATTTATCTTGAAATTTTGTTTTTTATTAATTTCAGTTATATTCAGGGCATTGTTCATCCTGAAAAAATTTGTAATTATATTCTCTTGAAAAAGTGAATAAGTTTTGGTGTTGAATTTTATTTTATTCATAATTTTGATTGTATAAGAAAATGTGTGTTTTTACAATAGAGAAAGCTGAAGGATTTATGATTATATGTATTTATTTTTCTCTAGTGACCTTGAATCTTTTATTACAAGCAAAAATATTGTTTTTCAGTTAAATTAGCATTAATTTACAAAATATCTTCATTATTGACGCAGTAATTACAATTTTTTTTTTTTAAATTTAAGTAACTTAATTGTTTAATTTGTTTGATTAATTATAAATTAAACAGTTTTATTAAAAATAATTTATTTTACTTTATAAAATTATTGAAATAACTTTTTTTTTAATCAAATAAGGTTTTGGTATATTTTCCGAATTTAAATGAATTTGATATTTTCAGAAATGGCTCGTACTAAGCAGACAGCGCGTAAATCTACGGGAGGAAAAGCACCCCGAAAACAACTTGCCACAAAGGCAGCACGTAAAAGTGCACCATCCACTGGAGGAGTCAAGAAGCCTCATCGTTATAGGTAATTATCATTAATTTTTCTGCGATAAACTAACTAAATATCTATTCGCACTGTCATAAATGTATTTCATTAAATAATTTTAATAAAAGTAATTTTATACTAATTTAATTTATTCGATTACAGGCCCGGTACTGTTGCTCTTCGAGAAATCAGAAGATACCAAAAGTCCACTGAATTGTTGATCAGAAAATTGCCCTTCCAACGATTAGTTCGTGAAATTGCACAGGACTTCAAAACTGATCTTCGTTTCCAAAGTGCGGCCATTGGTGCCCTTCAGGAAGCATCTGAGGCATATTTGGTTGGTCTTTTTGAAGACACAAATTTGTGCGCTATTCACGCTAAGCGGGTAACCATTATGCCCAAAGATATTCAATTGGCTCGACGAATTCGTGGTGAACGTGCTTAAGTTTTCTCTTATTTTTCTCTTTTTTATTATAAATTTTTTTATTTTATCGAACATTATTTTTGTCAATGTATCACGCGATTTCTTTGCAAAAATATGTTTCTTTATTCTCTGTCCCTCACTGCCAAGCACTCCTAAAAATTAAACCTAGACAAATTCTTAATGAAATGCAACATTTGACATAATTTTTTTTTCATTTAATTATTTAATAAATAATTCAGAACATGTAATTTTTATTTTGAGTAAAAGATTGCTTTAAAAATTGAGTTATTTTTGTACGTTTATATTTTTTAGAAATAGCTTTTTGTTTAACAAGAAGCTATAATAAAAAAATTCTTAGTATAAATCAGGTTTTTCTTACACAACTGCTTTCAAGTAGATGTTGACTTTTTTTTTTATCGCGATGCAAAGAATTTTTTTTAACTTTTTTGATTAATGGAATAACAATGAAATATTCATTTTTAAATTCCTGTTTCAACAAGTTTAAATGATTGCTCTTTCATTGTGATAAGTTTTCCCTCCCCTTTATTAAATAGAAGAAAAATTGTTTTTGATGTATAGTTTTGTCAAAAATGATTTTTCACATTAAAAAAAAATAGAGTATATTTAATGTGTAATTTTATAGGTTAGCTTTTAGATAATGTAATATTTAGAAAATGTCAATTTCAAATACAGTTTTTTGCCATTAAATTTTGGCTACTTATTGTATTTTCTAGATGACGTAAATTTGTATTCACATGAAAATTTACGTAATTCTTGTAGACTTTTGTTTTATAAAACAATTGTCTACTTGTAAGTTCGTAAATTTTTGATGTCTAGGTTTAAGACTTGCACTATTGTAGTTAAGTGTGATTATAAATGAGAAGATGATGATAAAGATGATGAAGAAGAAGAAGAAAAAATTGCAAGAAATCGAAGATACAATATGAAAAATGAATAACATTCACTTATTGTTAGTCACAGAATTCATCGTACAATTAAAAACTTTTTATTTTATATAATATGCTAATTAATCCCTAATTCAGCTGTCATTTTGATCTCGTTATTCGTTTTTCATGTATGTTAATTTTTTAAAGATTTTAATTTGCAATAATCACTACAAGATATCTTGAAAAAAATGTATTATAATATTACTCAAGTATTTACTGTAAAAATTAGACCCATTATTTTTTACTTTTGACAAATCTTCTTGTACTTGTATCAACGCTGCTGTTGTGAAATAAATAGTCTTTTTTTTAAACAAAAAAAAAAAATTATCTAAGAAATGGAAATTCACGATTAAAAAATAATGTAATAATACTACATTTGTAAAACTATTTAGTATCTTTATTATCGAGCCAATAAATTCTGCAAAAAGAATATTTGTGTGTTGATACTTTATTTTATATTTAAAAAATTTATTTTATTTATTGAAGAAAATTTTTATTTTACAATATTAATTAATGCCACGTTACTATTTTTAATGTACTTAAAAATAATTAATATACTTTTCTGTAATTTCAAGACTGACTTCTAATATTAAACTTTTAGAAAAAATGTTGTGATAAAATTAATTTCGCGCTCTAATTGCTGCGAAAATTCTATTGTTTAAAGGAATTATAAGCTTTTTATCGGTCATAATAATTTTCCACTAATTACTAACAGTAATCGAACTGTTATATTCATAAAAAGTAAATTTAATTTACAATATATTATAAATTTTATTTTATATATTACATCGTTCATTTCACGTTATTATCTGAACTCTAATTAGTTGATTAACAAACGGATGTAATTATTTTGTCATTTCATTATTTATGAAGAAAGGCAGTTAATCGATCGATGTCTGTTACCAGCCAGAAGTCCATACGTGGATTTTCCTAGACATTAGGCGAGATACACGCCCCCCCCTCAGATAAAAAGGGGGGGAATGCTTCTTGAAATTTCTAAAATACGGAATTAAGAGTAATGAAAATAGAATTCAATTGAGAAACATAGACAATTGTTTTAGATCTTTCTTTGAAAACCAATCAATTTGGAGGAAATTTAAATTGTCTCTAAACTCAGCTTGGCAATTGGTTGTCAACTATACTATTTAGTTTCTAGGGGGGTTTAGTTAGGGTAGGGACAAGGGAGTTATGAATCGGTAGATGAGAGCGGTGAGGTGAGGAGAGCATCCACTGCCATCCAAGTACAAGGAATCGTTTGTGTAATACCTCCGTATTTTTCGTGACATATACCTGGAGAAAGGTGAGTAAACAATCGAAAAGTTGCATTAAATCTCGTAACTTGATGCAATTAACGAAAATAACGATTTTTTAGTGATAAATTTGTGCATAAAATTGGAAAAATTAATGGAAAATGCTATACGTTTTCGCGGCAAAGCATTTTGGTGCCATCGCCACCATTTTGTGTGATTGACGTTATATGTTTGGAGGGAATATTGTTCTGTGCGGTTGACGTCTTTTCCGATAACAAGAGCACATGTTGTATTTGTGTAATTTGATAAATTTTAACAAAATTTTCGTGAAAGTGTGACAATTATTTTTTTTTAATTGAATGGGCAACGCGAAAAATTAATAATTAAGATTCGAATTTTCATCCGGAAACACGTCTCTCTCTTTTTTCTTCTATAAACCATTGCAAGAGGAACGAAAGTTTGTGCATTGCGCAACGCGATGGCGTTCCTTGGAGCGCGATTCCGCTGCATAAGTCTTAACCGGGTTTGACTCCCACCATTCGTATTATTTATCTCCCACTTTGATATTTGTTTACCTCCCCCCCACTTTTCTCTTTCTCTCTCCCCCCCAATCTCTTTGTGTCAGAAGAAAGGAGCGCAGAATACGGGGTTTACGATCGACTCGCTTGTCTGTGGGTCTGTCTGCACATCGCGTTTTTTAGAGGGGGATTGTTGTGTTTTGGGGTTCATCCACCCTTAGTTTGAACCCACGCTTTTCAAGGTTTCAATGTCCTTTACGAATTTAATTTAAACTTCATTGAGAATTTTTTTTTTCTAAAATTTATATCTTTTTTTTAGGATAAATCATGGCTCGTACAAAGCAGACCGCGCGTAAATCTACCGGAGGAAAGGCTCCCCGAAAACAGCTCGCAACAAAGGCAGCACGTAAAAGTGCACCTTCCACCGGAGGAGTCAAGAAGCCTCATCGTTATAGGTAATAATTAATTTTTCTGTGATAAAATCTTAAAAAATTTCTTCAAATTGAATTTATTATTCAAAAAACTAATTAATAAGAATAATTTTAATAAAATTAATTTTATACTAATTTAACTAATTTGATTACAGGCCCGGTACTGTTGCTCTTCGAGAAATTCGAAGATACCAAAAGTCCACTGAATTGTTGATCAGAAAATTGCCCTTCCAACGATTAGTTCGTGAAATTGCACAGGACTTCAAAACTGATCTTCGTTTCCAAAGTGCGGCTATTGGCGCTCTTCAGGAAGCATCCGAGGCATATTTGGTGGGTCTTTTCGAAGACACTAATTTGTGCGCTATCCACGCCAAACGAGTGACAATTATGCCGAAAGATATCCAATTGGCTCGGCGAATTCGTGGTGAACGTGCTTAAGCAGCCTAATTATTACATTAACGATTACTATTACTACCTATCGATATGATTATCAATATTCGTAAAACAGTGGATATGAGAAACACTTTTTTCATTCCCCTAATTAATAATGTTTCATTGCATTTCACTATCAAAAAAAATCGTATAGCAAAATCATAATTAGATGCATAGATTGCAAAATAGCTTTTTATCAAAAAACAAAAAAAAGAAGGAAAATTCCCATGGAATCTCGTTTTCGATTTATTAATAACATGTTATCAATTTATATTCATCAGCAACCCTTTTTGGAATCTCATTCTAATTACAGTAATTTTAAATCTTTTTTGTATTCATCAATTTGCTAAATTTAAGTTAGTACTACTATCGCGGTGTTAATTGACAAAAAAAACAAACACTAGTTTCATTGATAAGATTTGTGATATGACAATTTGATAAACTTTTTGAAAGAAATTGAAAAAAATTTATAAAAAATTGAAGCGAATTCTCTTAAAAGGGTTTTTTCAATTTCTCATTTCCTTGTTTTTTTTTTTTTTTTAGTTAACTGACAATTTTTGTTTATGAAAGTCAGTCATTCGTTTTTTTCCCTCGTTGCTCATGATCGTTCTTATAATTGTACTTGTAACTATATAAACAATAGTGAGTCCTTTTAGATAATAAGATGTTTCCTATAGTTTGATCCAATAGTAAAAGAAAAATAGCAAGTAACTTTAACACCTGGTTGTATGAAAATTATGTTTAATTGACTCTGGGACCTTCCTAGTTTTTGTGTGACAAAATTCCCTAATTTCTTAAATAAATATTAAACACACAATATTTTGTTTCTACTTTCATTTATCTTCCTATATCTTTTAAGAGTGCTCATTTAATTTGTTTTTTTATACGATTTATGATTAGAATTTTCTTTCTTTGAAGTGATTGAAAACTACTATTTCTTTTCAATTATTTTTAACAAATAGGTATTTTGCATTTGCAAAACGTTAAACATTTCTAACATATTTGAACAAGTTACACTTTTCAAAATGGTACTTTCAACGTGTTAGGTGGCAGCACATGACGGAGACTGAAGAAAAATTTATTTTTAATTTAGACATCATATTTTTATATAAATTTTAAAGTTGTACGCAAATAAAAGTAGAAAAAATCAGGAATTTGCGTAAATTGTTTGATTTTACGAAAATTAATAAAGAAAATCATTTTAAAAAATAAGATTAGGAACAGGCGGTCATTTTCTTCTTGAAATAGATTTATAAAAATCATTTTGTAATTTTTTAGGAAAAACAATTTTATAATTTGCAATTTTTATTTATTTTATAAATGATTCGATATAACATACAACTAGAACTGATGGAGCAACTTTTTCTACATATTTTAATGACAATACAATTTTTAATTCAGAGTATATCACAATTTGGCTACAAAACTATATTGTTTTGAATATATTTGAGGTATTTTCTGAGAAGTCAAATATATATGAACCCGCGTTATAGAATTAGGTCGAAAATTTTATTGAATATATTTTTATATATATATTTCTTTTTTAAAGTATACATAATAATATAGTATAATTATTATATTTTCTTTTGCAATAAAACAAGAGATAACAAATAATTTTAAAATTGAAAACAGAATAAATATTTTTTTTTTAACTTTATTTGTTAAAAATTATGATTTTAAAGCACAAAGTTGAAAAAAAAGTTGTACAATTCGCAAAATAAATATGAACTTAATTCTAGAATAAATATATTATTGCACTTTTTTTCAAAGAAATAAATTAAAATTTTGCAAAAATAAAATCAATTAAAATATTAGTGACAATTTAAATTTTGTTAAATAAAAAAAATTTTCTTTTAATCTCTGCTTAAGGAACGAAGCGATTATTTAATTTCTCTGAATATTAAAATTTATCCTAAATCATTGTTTTTTTATTTAAAAATTTTAATTAATCATATGAAACACCAGTTTCATGAATCATCAGTGATTATAATTAAAATTGATAATTAGTATACGTGAAAATAATCCTGGGAATACGAAGAATTTTTTTTTTTTCTATAAAGCTATCATTAGTAATAAGGAATTTTGAATTATAAAAAATTATTATCCGTTGTACATTTTGATATTTCTTTTTGTCAAAAAAAAAAATTCGATTATCAAACTCACAGTTCAAAAATATTCAGTCACTCATTGTAAAAATACTTCATTCTTTTTTTTTTCATTCTGAATAAATCTTTTTGCTGTTCATTCTTCTCCGCTATAAAAATTTTTTTTTTTCTTCACATCATAAGAAACAAATAATTATTGTAATTCTACAAAACTTATAGAAAATTAGTTAATCAATAAAATGTTTTTTTTCTTCGGGGACATTTCATAATTATATATATCTACAACACGAAAACAATTAACTCTCAAATTTACAAACATCTTGGTCTTTATAAATTAACGCTTATATATGTATATAAGTATATTTACAAAAAAATTCTACTCATTTGCTGACTGTTAAAAATTTTACAAAAAATTCACACAAACAACAGTATAAATCATAAAATTCTTGAAAAATTTTTTAACACAAAAAATCTATTTCCTTTTCTAAACTGTTATTGTTAAACTAAAAAGAAAAACACAATTTTCTTGATACAAGTTATAAAGAAATTTACAAAAATAAAATCATATTTTGTTTCAAAATTTATAAAAATTTCAAAACTTAGAAAACTTATATTGCAGTTTATAAAATGAATAAATTTTCTATATTTAGAAAATACAGAAACTCAGTTTCAAATTCATTTTTGCAGAGAAAATTGTCAAAGAACGTTTTTTCTTTTTGCTTTGTCAACAATTTTTTTCAAGCAAAAAAAAATTTACAAAAGTATCAATATTCTTATGAATATTAATTTTTTCATTGGAATAAAAATTATGAAATCAATTTTTTTTTTTAATTGGGCAATTAGCAGAGGAGTATTTCAGTCACGATTATTAAAATGAGGAAATAGATAAATAGAGAGTATAGTTCTTTCTTCCTATATCTAATACAAGATCGTCATTTCAAGTAAAATGATTAAATATCGTTTGATGCATTCAATGATGATTATACAAATGAAAAAAAAACTGCTAACTCAAGATGTTGTATATGAAAAAAAAATTTCTAGCTCACATTTCTTTCGTACTGTGATCGGAAGTTGTTTTACAATCGAATATGATTGTTGTTGCCTGTTGCTAAGCCTCGTACTTGTCTTCTTGTCCTAAATCGAGAATAAATGCAAAATTTTTCAATATTCATCAGAAAAGATTTTAGATTTTTTTACGATTCACAGAACACAAAAATACATCATGCGAATGCAGAAAAGAATTTTCTTCCTTTTTTTTCTTATTTAAAATAAAAATTTTCAACCTCAACACAGAACTTATAATAAATTTGAATTTTCATATCTTTCAATTGCAATAAACAATAATCTTTAACTTCGATCTTATCACATTGTCTGAGAAAATTTTTTAATCAAAAGCCTTGCAAAGTTGTGCAATAAAAATTTAAATTACTTAATTATAATTTAGTATTACCAAAGAAAAATTACAAAACAAAGACAAGCACATTGACAAAATAAGAAACATTTATTTCAATATAATAATTGTCGATAACAAAAAAAAAAATCTTAGACTCAATCTAAGATTGTCACTTAATAAATTACGAGAAGTACATTTTAAAAAAATTATTTAAACATTTTTTGTTCATAAATTTTTTCGAATATTTTTATTATTAATTAATAAATAATAATAAGAATATCATAATAAAATTATTTGATACTCGATTATTTTTATTATTAAATATTATTAACTAATAATAATCAATTAAAATAAAAGCCTTAAAAATTGTACTTTAAAATTTCTAAAATCTTCGCCGACTTTAAGACGAAATAAAACAAATGAAATAAAAAAAAATAGTCCGTTTTTTATAAATTGTTTCAGTAATTTCAATAATTTACATTAGTACCTAATAATAATTTTTCTAAAGCAGTTATGAAGTATAAATTAAAATTGTACTCGTGAACAGGTGAATTGCACTATACACCATATTTTTTTGGAATGTACACTGGGTATAATTTATTCCTGTTTCTAAAATCCCGATAGAAAGCATGTATTAAAAATAATTTTTTCATCATTCCGTTAAAATAGATATTTAACAATAATTAAAACATTTTTTTTATAATTTTACTTTCTATCTGGATTATTGTTCGCTATTCTTAATATAATTATTTAAATGATAATGTCATAAAAATGTGGTGCATATTAAGTATAAATTAAATTTTCAATATATGTAAAACAAATGAAAATTAGATAGTAACTATTATTGTCTAACGAATTAGCGTCATCAATGACTTCTTTATAATTTTCCTTGTAAGAGAATAAAAATTCTTTTTAGGCTAAATTTCATCATATATAATTATTAATTTACTACAGTAAAATTAAGAAAATTAACTTAAATATTTTTGAAAATTTTAAGCTTTAGGTTCTGAAATTAAAAAAAAATTAAATGAAAATCGTATTATATTTTTAAAAATTGAATATTTATTTTTTTGTAAATTTTGTTAAAATATAAAAATAATCTGTAAAGAGAATTATACGAAATTATAAAAAAAAACTGATATCAATGTTTTAGTAATAAATAATAGTATTTAAATAGTGTTAAAAAAATTCTTTCTCAAAAGAAAAATTATAAAGGCTTATCAAAGAAGTATTCTTTCTTCTTTGTTATTTTATAAAATATTTTAAAAAAATAACTAGATAAATGAAGGCACTGATTCTATTTTCCAAAAAAAAATTTTTCATAAAATCAGTGCCTTCGAATAAAATAAAAATTTCACTAATTATACAAAAATAATCTAAAATAGTGATAATCACTAATGAGAGGAAGCACAATGACTGTTCTATACATGAGAAGCGAAATAAAAAAAATGATAAAACATCACTATATATATAAGCTGTATACGCGCACTTTTGACAAATAATTTGCTTAAAATGAAGCGTTTCAAACGCATTAATTACTGATAATTTACAATCACAGAAACATGCATCGAGGATGATCAATACTAATTTACAATTTTTTTTTATCCACACGAACACGACATAATTAAAAAAGACGACACAATCCTAATTATTAATTAGTTCATTAAGCGTTACCTGTAGAGATCTCTTACAGCTTGATCCTCCCGTGAAGCATTACGACAAGTATTTAATTTATTTTCCAGTGCCTGTAAAATTAATAATTTCAATCAACAAACTTTCAATAATTATTCTGTTTTTAATTTTTTCCAAGTTACAAGTATTTTTTAGATTTTAAATAAAAATAATGTAAATTTTACAATTTTTACTTAAAAAAAGAGAATAAATAAGTAATAAAATAAAACTTTACTTTTTTACATTGGATTTTCTTTGAAATATAGAACAATTGTTAATTAGTTTAAGGGAGAATCCCACAATAACGAGATAAAAAAAAGGCTTCCGTTTTATTTATATTCTTTAATTAAAATAAATCAAATATAAGAAAAGAAAATTTTGATGAAAAATTACTAATATGATAATAAATTATGTAATTAAATAAAAAAAAGGTGATTAAATTACAATAGATGACCACGTTTATCCAATAAATATATGTAGTTAGTTTGCTGAAATTTTCAAATATTTGGTGTTTTGCAAAAGAAAACTTTGATTTAATGTTAAAATTATAATATTAGAATGAAATTAGAAGATTTTGTTTTAGGACAATGACAACAACAACAAATAATAATTAATGGAAGAATAAGCAAGACAATTTGGAAAAATTTTGAAAAGCAAAAAAACATCATGCAAACATAAAAGAAACCAAAATGAAAAACCTGCTTCGAAGGAGATTGGGAGGGTCGTAGTGCAAACGATCAGCTTTTTGTTGGTTTAGGTTGTTGTCTTATACATTGGAGCGATGCATCTAATTGAATTGATTGTGATTTTTCAGTTGTTGATTGTGGATACGTCTTTTTTCCACTTGGACATGAGCACTTCACCCTCCTACAGTCTATACAGACCCACCTGTCAAGCTATACCAAAACACGAGCTACATCACACCAACACTATATATACTAAAATAATAACGTTCACAAAACATATTTTTTGGAAAAAAAACGAGCAATTCAGGTTTCTTTCAATTTTTACTATATATGCAAACTGAAAACTAAAAAGGTATTTTGAATTAATTGTATAAGTAAAATAATGGGTCACAAATATATTAAAGATACGATACACAGGTATTAGTTGAATTTTGGGAAAAAAAAACATCAATATAAAGAAATCTTTTACAATATATGTATAACAATTAATCCAAATAGTTGGGAATTTTCATTTTTTTGGTTTCAAATTTGATTTTAAAGATATACGTGGTCATATTCAGTGATGGACCAAATTGGAAAATCTTAATTATTTTAATTAATTAAAACTGTATTAAAAATTTCTATTAAAAAACAGAAAAAAATTGTTATAATTACCGAGATAATAAATAATGAATAAAGCAATTAATAATAAATAATTGTGGCCCATCTCTGATATAAATGTCGTTCTACAAGCCGAGAGAGAGAGAGAGAGATCGTGCGTGTCTCTCACGTGAGAATATTATTTAACGTTTAGATAATAAAAAAAGATAAATTCATTATACTCACCCCAACTTTTCTCATGAGGTCACCAATCATGTTCATGGCTAATATTCTCGTGCATGGTGCCAAGGGGGGATTCATGTTGTTATTGTTGTTGCCAATCACGCCCCCCACGCCATTTGCAACTAATAGCAAATACGATAAAATTAATAATTATTTAATAATTTATTTACCCATAAATCAAAAAATAAAGTTCATATATTAATTATTAAAACAGAACATTTCATGTTAGTTATATTTAAAAAAAATGTAATTTAAATATTATAGATAAAAATAATAATTGTAATTCAAATATAAATAATAAAAATTAAAATAATAATTAGAAATTAAATGAAAATAAAATTATAAAAAAAAATCATATTTTTATGAAAAAACGTCTTTATTCACTTGTCATAAATAATAATTAACAAAAAAGAAAATAATTGTAACTTATTTCGAAACAAAAAATCAGTGAATTAGGTTTTTTTTCTAAAAAAGACGTATGTACGTAGATATGACGAAGGGTTACTGTACAAATACAATAATATGAAAAAAAAATAAATAAAAGAAAATCCCTAATATTCACGAGGGAATTGTAATTCTGGAATTGATAACGAGTTACTTAAATTTGACAAAGAAGATTTTCTCCTTGAATTATGAGACTCGTCTATTTGTTTCGCGGGAGTTAATTTTGACGATGAAAATCGTCTCTTTGAAATATGTGTTAATAAAACCTTTGTTTTACGTAGGACAGAGTTAATCTTACTCTTAGTTTGAGGCGTTGATGAATTGACGGTTGGCGTTAAATTTTGAGTGACAATTGGACTCGAGGGCGGTGTATGTGATTCAAGTTCAACTTGAAGTTTGTTGCTGTCAACATGATTGCGAACACGATCAGCTGCTGATTTATCATTGTCGGGCTGTCGTCTCTCTTGTACTTGAATTTCTTGTTTCAGGTCTGCAAAAAAAGAGAAAACATATTAATAAAGCTAATAATTAATTTAAAATAATATCATTAAAAATATTTACTATATCGCAGACCTTTCTTGATAATTGAATAACCTTTTTGATAAGAATGTTAAAAATACTCTTAAGGCCTTCAGTAAGAAAAAAAATAATTGTCATTTTATTTGAAATTTATTCAATTAAAAAAAGAAAAATTACCTCTTATTTCGTCCATAAGTCTCTGTACAATTACTTTCAAACCATCCTTTTCGTCCAATTCAGATTCAAGGAGCGCATTTTTTTCTATTTCAAGATTGAATTTCGCCTCAAATTCCTCTTCTGTCGCTTTACTTATTCTATTGGAAATATTTTTTTTAATTATTTACAGTATGTCTTAAAAAAAATTTAAAATAAATGAAATAATTATATTACCTGTGAGCTCTTTCGAGATCATCATTTTTTTGCTCTATTTCGCGAATATATTTGAGTTGTTGCTCTTGAAGAATTTGAAGTTCTTGAGCTCGTGTTTGAAACATGGCACAGTCAGCAGCTTGCTGATCTTGACGAACCCTTAATTGTTCTACTTCATTAACCAACCTACAATTTCTTTGTTGTAATTCTCTGATAGTTTTTTCTGCCTGCTCCAAGGACGTTTCCAGTTCCTTTTCCAACATTTGTGAATTTTCTTGGAATTCTTCCAGTTCACGTTCAACATCTTCCTTTCTAGAATTTTATTATTGCACAACAAAATATTATTGACTTGACCTTGCAAATAATGCGGCAAAATTTATATAAAATTGAGAAATTATAATAACAAAAAAAAAATCAAATGTAATAACATTTAATTATTTATGTTATGCAATTTTTAATTTAATGAAAAAAAATTACAGCTAAAAAATTATTGAAAAAATACCTTTGATGCATTTGATGGGCAAGGTCCATCCAAAACTGGATTTCTTCATCTTTGCTGGAAAAATCTGGAGTGTCGATATCCATCATTTTGATACGATTTCCACGCTCACTTTCTTTATCAGTCTTTAAATATTTTGTAGTTTGCGAATGGCTTCGCGAACTATAATCACTCACTCATGAAAACTACAGAAACTTTCTTCTCATGATCCACAGGACATTTTCTACAAGCAAAAGATTTGACACTTAAAAAGAAATCTGTCAAAACAATACCAGTTACTTTTATCAACTTCTGTTTAATTAAAACTATTTTTAAAAACGCGTTTTAAAAAAACAACACAAGAAAGTATTCCAAAAACGTAAATGTATTCACTAACAAAAATAATTTTATTAAATATATGTGAAAAGTAATAAAAATAATGATGTTGGGATATGAAAACTTCTTAAGATTACGAAAGTAAATAAATATATCCTTGATTAATTGCGTAGGAGTAAAATGTATTAGGGAAGGACACGTGTGTCATAAATGTCATCAACTAATTAATTCAATTCCTTGAATATGTGTAAGGCAGATTTTTTTTTCACGTAATAAGACATGAGAGCCTTCCATTTGTGACGCGTCAAGCAAAATTGGAACTCTTTTTCACATCGTCGGTATTATAAGAATAAGGCGTCTAACGAGGTTATTATAAACGCATATAATGTAAAAACACTGCAAGAACTTACGTTTATCAAGATCACAAGGTATTCCCGATTAAAAATATGGTATACGAACAACAAAACAGTAGAGACTTGAGAAATCGTTTTGAAGGGAATTAGTAATAAAAAGCTGCTCAGCATCAAACTCAGTCCACTTTCCTCGGGATTGGATTGCGTACGATCAATTGTAATTATTTCAATCTGACGTCATCTTCCGTCGGTCAAGTTAATTCCTGAATTTACTGTATTTGAACAATAATTATAAAACGTATTAATTTGACTTACAAGTACGTAATAACTGAAGTAAATACTTGTATATTTAAATAATATCTAAAATTTAACTTTAAAATGGAGTATTAAACATTGCGGATACTGCAAATATGTTGTAGTTTACTAAAGTGCCGGTAGATGTCCGATCGTCGTTTTTTTGAATTTTTTAGCGCGAATTTCAAATCTGAATTTATAAAAAATATAAAAGATTCAATAAAATGCGAATCAAAATTTACAAATTTAAATTTCATTTAAAAAAAAAGGAAATACTTTTTTAATATTTTAAATAAAATAACTATATCAATAAGAATAAGGAGTATTAATATTAATTTTTAATACTTGTTTAAAAAATGATCACTTAAATTAAAATTACGATTGAAATAAAGAAAAGAATATTTAAAATTTTTTTTGTTTTTATTGACAATCATACAAAATATGATTTTACTGTGCCGCAGCTGATGTAGGAGCAGCGGTTGCAGCTTGTTCCTCGCGGATGCGATCCTTCTTAAGTTGACCCATGAAGGAAGCCTTATCAGCAGCAGTTTGGAAGCGACCATGTCCAAATTTGGAGCTGGTATCGATGAACTTAAGGTTGATCTTCTCGAGAGCTGCTCGTTTCGTGTGAACCAAAAGAGACTGAAATTTGAAAAAATAAACGCTTATTAATTATTTTATTAACAACAAATTCATTTTTTAAAAAAAGTATAAAATTATCAGCCCTATCATTTAAGATCACAAATTGTGTCATACAGAATATTTTTTGGCTCTATTCTGAGTTCATCATATTAACGTTTTAAATAACTATTCTTCATTTAAAATAATTATTAAATTAGTAAATATTGTACCTTGCGAAGAGTGAGAACACGTTTTTTAGGTCCTACACAGCATCCTTTGATCATGATGAAATCGTTGTTGACTTCACCATAATGAGGGAAACCTCCCATGGGAGTGATTGATTTTTCAGTAAGATCGTATTCGGTGGATGCATTGTTCTTCACAATCTAAAATAAAAAGACAATAGTTAATTAAAAATATCTTAGGTATTAAATTTCTAATTTTCTTTTAAATAAAATCCATAAATGTTGCTTGCTCGGGAGTCCCAATCAATATTTAATATTCGTCAGGAACTATTTACAAGCCATTTTAATTTTGCCTCTTTTGAATGGATTATTAAATTATATCTTTTTTTTTAAAAAATACAAAAGATCAATTTAAGGATGAGGCTTAGTTTTCCCGAGAAATCGTCAAGATTTTCTTACCTTTCCATCCTTGGTATGAATTCCCTGTCCAATTCTGTAAATTTTCTTGTTCATTTCGGTACGATGATGATAACCTTTTTGACCAGCACGAGCAACCGTGAAGGATACTCGACTTGGATGCCAGGCTCCGATACAAGCAACCTTTCTTAAACCCTTATGCGTCTTCCTTGGGAGTTTCTTTGTATGCCAACGAGAAGTAACACCTGTAAAGTGATAAATTTTTCTAAATTTGTGTTCCCAAAAAATTTTATTTAGAAAAAAGGAATAATTTTACACATAAGCTTTTTGAAAGCTTGGACATCAGTAGGAAGGCAGCATGATGTTCACATCAGAGTCGTCAGACAATGCACATCATGTTGTTTCATCATAAGTCCAAAAAAATGGTAAAGAATATATTCTTCTTCACGATATTTACCTTTGTATCCCTTTCCCTTGGTTACACCAATGACATCGATCATTTCATCGGGACTGAAAACATTTGTAACTGGAATTGGTTTTTCCAAATGTTCACGTGCCCACTGGACCTTCTGCTCGATTGTTCCACCGTTCAATTGGATTTCCATAATGTGCGCCTTCTTCTGTCTTTGTCTCAAGAGTTTCATCTAAGTAAAAAAAAAAGTTTTAATTTCAAATTTATAAAATCTGTTTTTCTTAAAATAAAAAGATATAAAAAAAAAATATTCAAATTATTTAAAAACTGTGCCAGACATGGTTTATCTCATTGTCATTGTCCAATGGACTTGCAACAAGTTTAAGGAATATGTCGTGCTCTCATCACTCCTACTTTCATAGGGGACAAAATTGATTTACGACGCTGCAGTTAGGAATATACCGCACAATATCAAACAGCTCCGAAACCGCTACCAAAGTCAGACTAGAGTATTGCTACTCCTATCCAACAATGGTAAAAGCGTCGATTTTAATTTAAATAAAAATAAAATTTTTAAATAATAATATCTTCATTTCAAAAAATAATTTACCTGCGTATGAGCGATAACGCGCACGACTTTGCAGTACTTGACGATTTTTTTCAAGTCTTTCTCGATGGATTTACGGCCAAGATCATCTTGCCATTTCTTTGAGGCCTTAGAGAAAGCCTTCTTCTTACTCTTGTACCTTTAAAAGAAAAATTAACTCCATTTTGTTTTATGTCCCTAACGAAAAACCAGAGTGTCCAGCGAGTTTTATAATTCAAAATCTTTAATTTGTAGAAATTAATACCCTAATTGTAAATATAAAAAAAGATTTCAAATTTACCAAAAATTTCACCAGACTCCATTCTTTGTTCGCTGCACACACTGGAAAATACGCTGGTTTCTTCTAATAGAGCGGAAACCAAACGCAATTTTGGAATAGCCAAATAAAAGTCATAACTTTCAAGACTAATTTCCAATTTTACTCTCATCTTAATGAGCGGAGAGATTAATATGGAGTTTGTTAAAAAAAATATTCCCCAGATCATAGCAAAGATAAAAAATAAATTAAATTATTTACCAGTTTTTGTAAAATCGTCTACGACAATCTTCGGACAAATGTTCAGCCCAAACAGTGGTGAGAGCACGAAGACCATGTGGAGTTTCGATGTAACCAACAACACCGACAACGACCATTGGTGGAGTTTCCAAAATTGTGACTGCTTCGACAATTTCCTTTTTGTTGACCTCTTTAAAAAGAAAATTTTCATTTCAATACAAATATAAAAATAAAACGTAAAAAATGTATAATGAAAATGAAAATTGTACTCGACATGGTTTATCTCATTGATTATAGTCCAATGGACTACAACAAGTTTCAGGAATATGCCGTGCTTTTATCACTTCCACAAAAAATGGTGGACAAAATTTCTTTACGACACTGCAGATAAGAATATACCGCACAAAAATCAAGCAGCTCCAGAACTGCTGCCAATTCCGGACTAGTGTATTGCTACACCTATCCAAAATTAGCAAAAGCATCGAGTTTTTCTAATTTATTTGAATCACCGAATATTCTAAGGAATATAATTTAAATAAAATAAAAGTGTACAAATACTCACTTGAACCAGGTCTGTCGGCTTCCCTCACAACGTGGGTCATACCAGCTTTGTAGGCGATATATGCCGTTAAATGTACAGGCTTGTTAGGATCATCCTTGGGGAAGGCCTTTACTTTACCACGATGACGCCTTGATCTTTTCTTGGGATAGAATCCCATAGATCCATGTCTAGGAGCGCTAAATTTTCTGTGCGACTGAAAGTAAAAAAAATCACAATTGTAAGAAATCATAAACACGTGGCATAAAAGTGTTTAAAGAAAAAAAATAATCTCAGACCGCCCTAGAATAATATCTTCATGGTTAATCAGTAAAAACCATAAACTTTAATTATCTAAATCATCATTGAAGTAAAATTAATATTTATCATCACGTGGCATATAGTATAGGCGTTAGAAAACTTTAATATTGAGGTTAGCTTTTCTCTACGTACCATATTCTACAGAAAATGTAAATTAATCCAAAAAATGTCGATACTATTATATATAACGTGATAAACAATATTAATTTTTCAAATTAATCTTAAAAAATAATGAAAGATGCAATAAATAAAACGAGATTATTTTTAACACAAATTAACACTTACCATAGCGCTTTCCTACAAGAAAATGGAGGAATTTACCTAGTGACATTTGCTTTTATAGCACAATGGCGTCTTGCATGTTTACCAACATAAAACTGGAAACATAAGGTTCAACAATATAATAAAAAAAATAACCTAGATTTAAATATAAATTTACAAAACAAAAAAGTCTAAGAAAAATTATTAAACATAAATTACAAATATTACGTTTTATTAATATATGGAGATATTTAACGATAAAATAATAATAATTATTAAAAGAATTATAATTATTTAAAAAAAGTAAACATAGTGAAAAAAATAGTTTGAAAATATACATAAAGAGTGCGCAAGTTTTATCATTTATCGTCCGCTGGAGAAACATTAACATTTCGGAGTAAAACTTTGTTTTCCCGAATATTTTGTTAATAATTTTGTAAAAATGGATCAAAAAAGTCCTGTTGAACGTGTAGCTGATTTTTTACACTACTGTTTTGATAGACCTGTTACAATTTTTCGAGGTATTACCTAATCAATTTTATAGGTTATGACACTTAAAGTGATCCTAATTTTTACTTTGTCAAACTTATTTATTTCATATTAAATAAGTAAACAGATTTTAAATAATAATAAATATTATTATTATAAATTTAAAAAATATAAAGCAATAATATGCTTTCACTAGAAATTTTAATATTATTAATTCCTGTCAATTAGTTTTTTAATTTGCACCCTATTGATGACAATTTTTTTTTTTTTAGTCAACAGAAATATATAACAATATTTATGTTTAACAGAAAAAATCGTTGAACCGAATCAACAAAAATATCCTTGGTATCATCAGAAATTTCGACGAGTTCCTACAGTCGATCAATGTTATACAGATGATCGTCTTTGTATTTTTGAAGCTGATGAACAATTTAAAAGAGATAGGTGAGGACTTTTTTTAAATATTATTTATTATTTCAATGATCATTTAATCATTTTTAAACTATCATTCATTTTGCCGGTTAAAATTATTTCAATTCAAAATAGTTTCAGTTTAATTGTTATATACATTGTTTTATATAATGAATTTCAGGATTAAAGAAAAGATTTTATTGGTCTCCTTGAATCCTTCTTATAATCAAGTTTCCTATGATCCAAATCTTTAATCTCCAGATATAGGTACAACAAATTAATAAAATTTTGTCATTTAAATTTAATTTTTTATTTTTCACTATCGATTCCTTAAATAAATTATAGATGAATTCTTTAAAAGAACTTTGGAATTGAACGTATTTTTAAAAATAAAACAATTTATTTTGTCATGCAGAATTGTTGACGGTGAAATATGTGACATTTTGAAGCAACGTTACGAAGATTGTGTCGTTTATCAAGGCGAAGCAGACCAAAAAAGATGTCAACCACTTTTGGATGCCTATGAGTACGCAGCTGGAGCTTGGTTTTCAAAATGTATGATAAATAAACATTATTCAGTAGTAAAACTAAAAATAAACGCAGATTAATTTTCAAAATTAATGAAATAATTAAAAGATAATTATTATTTTGTGTTTATTGAGATTTTAATTAATTTTTGATTTTTTTTATTATAGATGGAGATGTTGGTGTGTTGCCCAATTCAAGAAATGCATTAATGAAACAAAAACATCGTATGGTATGGGAACGTAGACACGGTAAAATTGGTGTTACACCAAGAGAATCTGGACCATATCCTTATCGTTGGGCCGAATTTGATCCTAATATGAATCGTGGCAAGAGAGTTCCCGACAGCATTCAACCTACACCTCAAGATAAATGAAAAGTAACATGTTATGTATATTATTGATTTAGTAATTATAGGCTTATTGAAAAAAATTGTTTGTCTGCAATAAAGGGCGATTGTTATTTAATTCATTTATTTTCTCTTCATTCGACAAATATTTGTAAATTTTTATTAATCTTCAAATGCTCATTAATTTATTTCAAAATTCAATTAAATTTAATTTTTTTGAATTTCAAATATTGAAAAATTAAAATATTCTCTCATTTAAGAATTAAGTACTGATAATTAAATAATTAAAAACATTTCAGGGAGGAAAATAGAAATAAAAAAAACTCCAATTTCGTTTGCAAAAAGAATGTTTTTTTTTTTACTTTTGCTTTCAAATTCATTCTCGTTATTTGCTTTTCACATTTCATAATACAATATATAAAAATATCTACACCTATTGTACGCAAATATCAAATTAATTAAATACATTTCATTAGAATCCTATTGATTCCTTATACACTTTACACGATAATTTTTTTTTTTATTTTTGAATTATCTTCGAAAGGGGGGTTATAAAAATAAAATAACGCAGTATATACGAAAGACCGAGATTGATAGAGACTTTCATCTATACATAAATATAATAATATCGTTTTTACATTTTTTTTTTTTTGTATTTTTTCACAAAATTAAATTCAAATCTCTCTGGGCATAGATTTGAAAAAAAAATGAATAAAATGGATCAAAAAAGTTTTGAGTGGATTTTCAGTGCCAAGAAAAATGAGGGGAGAGGGTGGGAGGGAAAAATTAAAATTGTCGACAAAATGGAATGTTCGGACAATAAATAAAAAATTGTACAAAAAGAAAAAAAATGATACCCATTGGGCAAAAAATGATAGTCCTAAAAAATTAGCGTACTAATACACAGAAGAATTGCGTGGGATGGAATAATTTAATCGTGGAATCGCGACTTACGAGACGTTTACGTAAACTCTGTTAAACTAAAAAAAAAATCTATCAAAAAATGAAAAGAGAGCACAATAAATACGTAATAATTATAAGAATAATAATAATAAAATAATAATATACTTAATAACAAAAAGGCTAGGCATTAAAAAAATAAATTAAGAAATTTGAATATTTATAGGGGAGAGGGAGGTAACAAAGAAAATTTCTTTGTAACTCGATGATACCGATACGAGATCATCGAACCGGCAAACCATTGTTTCTATAATGGCAACGACGAATTTCCACTTCTAATTAGTTGAGAGATTTCGTATTTTTCTTTTTTTTTTTTTTTTTTTGTTTTGTTTTTATATACAATTATATGCAATGTAGCCATTTTGAAACACGATCATCAAGTTTTTTGTATTTACAATGTCGCATTCACGATTCGAAACATTAAATATACGCCTTTCGTTTTACTAAAAAAAAAAAATTATTCACAAGTACAAATAAAATCATTGAGATCATTCGAGATTGTTGACATACATCTCGTCGTGCAGTTATCATTGAGCACATTTATATCTATCTATATATATATTATATTTATAATGAAAAAAAAACTAATTTCTAACGCATAAAAATAGAAAAAAATTATTTTTTTCTTTTTATATTAAATATCTGCACGAATTTAGAATCGAATATTTAAAAAACGATAAATCTAAATAGAAATGTGATTTATACGCAATTTTCTTTGTCTTTCCTGCTAAAAACCCAGGACTTCTCAAAAAAAAAAATTTTTTTCGAGTTACTAAAAAACGGTCCTTATTTTATGGCAAATTTTATGTAACACAATCACACTTTTTAGCTTAAACGTTAAACATTAAATACGTTTCCCAAGAATAAAAACAAATTTTTTTTATGCCTCTTTCGATTTTTCATTTGAAAAAAAGTTCAATCTCAATCTTTCTTTTATAATGATTAAAATTTTGCCATAAAGTTTTTCTTTTTGAAATTGAAAAATAATTAATAAAGAAAATCAAGCTTCACGCTTTGTAAAAGAGAGAGATAGAGAGAGTGAGAGAGAAAAGAGATTTTCCTATTTTAGTCGACACTGATAATACTTATATTAAGTATGCAAATCATTGCTTGAGTTGCGAACAATAAGAGCGCGACTTCTCGGACCCGATCTAGATAATATTAAATCGATCAAATTCATTTTTCTAAAAAACAAATTCTATACACCATAAAAAATTTTTTTTTTGCATTACTTTTTCATCTTCACATATTATTATTTTTTTTTTTTTTGAAACATTTTTTGATCGGTTCGAATCTAAAAATTATTGAATGATTTAGATTGAACGTGAATTATTTTTGTTTAAATTGTCATTTGAAACAATTGATAATTGATTATGCTCTCCATATTTGTTATCACAGTTTGGACATTGCTGTACAATCTTAATATGGAATCATCGAATTTACAAGGATATAATAATGCCATTTAAGCATTTTATATAATTATATAAATTCGATATTTCGCATTATAATATTTAGATCGTGAAATTTCACTCGATTGAAATTTTTCAACTGGCCTGTTACAATTGTAGCGAAAAAATACCTATTTAAATGTTTCAACATTCTATGATAGGTATTTGTTCCAGTTTTCAAACGCGATCTATATCGTAATATTATAATTTGAATTTATTTCTACGCGATAAAATTCGTGATGATATTGGGAGACTAGTAAATTATTGGGCCTCTAAATTTTTATTTTTGGTCTTTCGTTAAAGATTCGTTGCCCGAGAACTGCTTTCAAGAATCAATTGGTTGATCGAATTGTGCTGCCAAACGACGTTTTCCAGAGAACGCTATATGAAAATTTAAATAGATGTGAAATTTTAAATTACTAATTACATCATCATTGATTAACTATTAAAATAGCTTGAATTTTTTTCTCTGTGTTTAAATGAATAAAATTTAATTATTAAATAAAAACTGACTTACAGCGTTTAGTTGGAGTTGTATCAACTCTGTCTGCAGTTTCGTGTTCAAATAAACCGCCACTCATTGAACTAGTGGGACTCATATTATCGGAATCATCTTTTTTTGTTGTAAGTGAAACAGAAGGACGTGGTAGTGCCGAGGGATGTGGGGCAATAATGACATTTTGATTTGATGAATAAAACGTCGATGTCGATGGATTTAGAGGATTTGCTGAAGCTGATAGTAAATTTTTCGTTGGTGATAGAAGATCAGAAGTCTCGTCATTTGTTGACATTTCATCCCAAGCTGACAATGGTATTGAAGGCACCTCAAAATCAGTAAGCTGTTGATTTCTTCGGAATGAATAATTTGGCGGTGATGACCAAATGGAAAACTTCCAAGATTTATCCTTGTCTTGTTCATCTTCCGGCTAAATAATAGTTTTTCATTTAATTATGTCAAGCTAAATTTTAAAGAATATTTAAAAAAAATACAATTTTAATTATTTTAAAATTAAAGAGTTAACTAACGAGTTCAATATTTTCCGGCTCAGGTGGAGGTGGTGGAAATTCATTATTCAAAACTGGTGTGCGCATAAGACTCTTTAAGAAAGTATCACCACGATTTTGCATAGTTGGCCATTGTTGATGTTGATTGTCATTTAACGACATTGCTGACATTGCTGACCATGGAGATGTATTTTTCTTTGGCCAATTCATAATATCACTCTTTTGTTTCCATGAATTATTGTCACTCTCACAAGTCCAATTTGATGATTGCTCCTCGGGTTTACTCGATGCATTTGAAACATTAAGACGTGTCGATGAATCCATTTCAAATGAATCAATTCCCGATTCTGATTCTTGATTCGATGTTGAAAATGTCGATGGTATTGGAAAACCTACAGCTGTTAAAACACAATGAATTAATCAATTTAGTTATTTATAAATTTATTTTTATTGAAAATAATTCATGGAGAGAGATAAAAAGAATACTTACAAGCAAGTTTTTTATTGAGATGTACAATCTTCTTTTTGTTACGATTTTCCTTTAAAATCACTGTGCAAGATAGCGATTGAAGAAGTGCCGTTAGAGTTGGATATCCAAATTGTGCAGCTCTACAAGCAGAGCCAATGACACTCAAGTAAGCACTTTCGAATTGTGTTATACTCAAAGAACCGCCGTAATTCATTAAAACACGATAAACATTACAGGCGAAACATTGTATCGGTGTGAGTTCAATTTGTTGAGTATCATTCACATTGACAAACTGTAAAAAAATGTCCGTTAAAATTAATCAACAAAATTTAATTATTCTTTAATTTAAATAATCAAATTGTGCCTTACTCGCACAACACTGCTGAGTTCTTTCTTGATTTCTTCTAAATCGCAAGATCGATGATAAAATTGTGAATAAAGTATTTGAAACTTTTTCACTGGCATTGAACAATTTAGTTGATCAATCAATACACGACGGCATTGCAATGCCAATTGTTGTAAATGCGTTTTATTCAGCGAAATAACAACAGCTCCTGCTTCCGTATGAATCACCTGCAAGAAATTGTTATAAAATTAAAATAATTAATAAAAAGACAAGAAATTGATTAGTTTCGTATTTAAAAAATTTGCTATTTACCTGCACTGTATTATCAATTTTTTCCATAAGTTGTAAGACGGAGTTACAATTAAATAATTCGGGACGAAGTGCATAGCCGTAAAGTTGAAGAAAAGCTTGTGGAACATTTGAAACATTTAAACTACCATTGGAATGAGCTATTAATTTGGATATTTGCTCATCGAGAACTAGAAGACTTTCTTTTTCCGTCAACGAAATACGTCGTTCGCCACCACTCACATCTTCGATATTAACAATGTCGGGTATTGATTCAAAAAGTTCAATTAATTTTGTGAAACCATAATCAGAGACACGACATTGATGACCAAAATGATGATGATACGAAGGCACAAACTTATTGAACAACATTCGACATTGAGGTGCATGACGCAAAAGTTCGATAACCTGAAAAAAAATTCAATTTTTGAATATGAGATAGTAAAATAAAAAAATATATCTTAGTTTTTTCTTTTACCTCGACAGCGAATTGTTTTGTTCGTTCAATTTCTTCCGGCGTTTGTTCACGTTTTGGAATAGCTATCAATTGATCGTTACCATTAAAATTCGTGACGACGACAGTATTTTCGGAAACTTCTCCAAGAATGTCTTCAATATCGCAAACTCCATAGTCCACAACATCCCAAGGTTTTCCTAAAAAAAAATTGGTACATTTGTATTTTGTTTTGATTTTGTCTTAAATAAAAATTATTAAATTTACCTAAGACTCTAGCGTAAACGCCAGGAAATTCCGAAAGAGTCACTTGTTTGCTAGCTTGAGCTTTTAGGACACGCAGCAAATCAGAAGTAAAACGACGAACTTGAGCTCTATGAGAAAGAGTCACAACGCGCTTATTTCCTTCTCCCATGACCTAAAAAATTTTCAAGGTAAAGAAATGTTTATTATTTACTCATAAAGTTAAATTTTATATTTTTTAAAATTTATTCCTAAATTACAAAACAAAAACCGTTAATAATTACCTGAATAGTGTGTGTAAGAGCTTCCAATAATTCAATGAGTTTGGTAAAACCATAATCAGCGACTCGACATTGTCTTCCGAAATGATGATGATAAGCTGGAATGAATTTATTGAATGACAATTGACAATGTGGGGCAGTTTTCAAAAGATCAACCAATTCACGACTAAATAGAGCCAACTGATTAGCTAAAGGTGGGCTGACGCATTTATTTTCTGAAAATATTAAAACAATGTTTTTAACATTCTAAAGAAAGTTTAATTCTTATTTAATTATTTTTTTTAAATACCTTCGTGACTTTCATCGTGTGCTCTGTTCCCTGTCCATATTAAATGCTTGACACTACCGACTCCTTGTTTCAATTCGACGGTTGACAAACAAGATATTAAATGCTCTAAGGGAACTCCATTTTCATCGACAAGCAATGATTCTTTAAATTCTGCCTTGTAACAAGTGGGAAAGCTAGAAATTAAATTGAAAAATTTAATTAATTTATTTGTTATAGTTTACAATTTGTAATTTTATTAATTCGATTTACTTACCTTGGTAAAGGTAAACTACCATTGTGCGTCGAGAGCATTTGATTCACTCGAATAGAAAGAATTTTCAGCGATATTTGAACGTTTGGTAATGAGGCTAATTCCTGTTCAGCCCATCCCTTATCGGACCACGGTTTTTGTGTGTGTAGAGTGCAGAATGGAAACTCCAATAACTGTCCATCCTATAGTGGGTAAAAATTTATTATATAAATACAAATAACAATTGATTTCAGAAAATATTGGAAAAAATCAAAATCAGATGAAAATAATCGCTTGGGAGTATGATCAAAGTTTTCAAGCACTGAAAGGAACACGCGCTCAACTCTCAGTGCGAAAACTCAGACTCGGTCTTATGTTTAGTCATCATATTGAAAAAAAATTCATCAATTAAAATAATTTAATTTGAAATTGATTTTAATTTACTAATTTAAGTAATTATATTTTATTAAAGTTAATTTGATAATTAATTGAACTTACTGATGAAGAACTTCCAAAGCAAGGTGATGGAGTGCTTCTATGATCAGGATGTAAGGACACCATTCGACCTCCAGGATCTTCAGTGATAATGCAAACGTCCTGTAAATATTAAAAGATTTTATATAAAATTAATTTTTTTTATACTAAGTATGGAAAAATATTTTTTCTAATTTAATTTAAACACACCTTGAGTTTATAAATTTCTGAAACGCTAATTGAAATCATAAAACGACTCTCATACATTTCGCGAAATTTAAAAAGAGGAAGTTTATGTCCAGGAACTTCCTGTAAAAGCATGACGATTTGAGAACGTATTAGTTGAGGATTTGGTCCACCGGTGTGTGAATAAGAAATAAGAATTCGCTTATAGCCTATTTTACGGCGATGTAATTGTGAAATTGCGTATTGTGCTTCATGCAACGAAGGTACTTTAACGCTCGCTGCAAAATTTCCATCCGATTGCATAAAGACAGAAACATGAAGCACCTACAAAAATAAAATTTATTATTTAAATTAAATGAAAATAAACGTCATTTTTTTAAACGAATACAAAAGTAGATTTACCATAACGTGTTCCATAAAAATAGACGATAATATGCGTTTCATATCTTTGGGATCAATATTTTGATCGAGATTTGTAACTTGTAATTCAATTGGTGTGTAGGAACCATTCGACGAATTCATTCCATTTCGACTGTTGATTGGATTAAAGAAATTCTTGTGGGGAGAAAAAAAAATTAATTAATCGATTAACAAGATGTTTAATTTAATTAATTTATAAACTCACCTCAACTTCCTCATTTTCAGCATCACTGTGATGATATGGCGACATACGAGTCAATTGTTGACCCATTGGATGAACGGAACTCATATCATATGGTGAAGAAGCTCTTGCAGTACGCAAAGGATTTTGATGCTATTTCACAAAAAAAGTCAATAGATTAATTTACCTACTTCTATTTTTCAATTAATTAATTAAGAGAAAATTATGAATCAATTTGAAAAATTATATATATATAAATTGCTACCTGTCCATTCCAATGGCTCATGTCGCGCATTTGAGACTGGGAAAACATTGGCAGTGGACTTTGCCTTTTGAATGACTGTGAGAAAGCTGAAAAAAATAAAACGTTTATTTTAATATAATTTCTATCAAGAAGAATTTATTTCGTTTTATAAATAAATAATTGAAAATATAATAAGTATTAAATTAAATTACCATTATGATTTCCATTGTGAATTGGTGGAGCTGGCCATGAAGGTCTTTGGCTAGTAAATTCGGAATGTTGACCGAAGGAACCATGAGTTCCTCTAATTCTACGAAGTCCTTCGGTTGTGCGATTCATTCCCTCAGGAATGATATTATCCCCAACTTGTGAAATATGAACTCTTTTACCTACAGCTTTTGATTTCTCCTGAAAATATTTTAAAAACAAATTAATTAAATATAAAATATCTAAAAATTACGAGAAAAAGAAAAAGAGAGTGTATAAAAATAAATATTTAGAAATAAATTATATGTACCTTATAATGATCATCCCATAATCTGTTTAGCGGTTGAGATCCAGACATTTGCCAAACATGAGGTGATTGAACTCTCGAGTGCTCCGAATGCGATCTGTTACAACTGCCTTCATTATAAGAAAAGCATTTTCCAATAAAAGAAGACGCTGAATCCACAAAGCTAAAAATATATATTTAAAAAAAAATTCTCTAATTAATATAAATCAAATATTGAAAATAGTAAAAGAAATTAGTAAATTTGTGTCAGATAAGATCAAAGCTTCTTTCAATCACAGCCCGAATCAGTAAGGATTTTCATCAACCTACGACTCAAAGGCTCACTCTCGGTAATCATCATTTTATTTTTTTTATTGGAATTTTAATAAATTAAAAATTAAAAAAAAAACACTTTAATTAAAGAATTTAAATGATTTATTATTATTTACCCGGTTTGTGGATTAACAGAGGAGCAATGTAGTCCATTCCAAGCTGAATAGGATCCAACTATTGGAGAACCGGAATGATAATGAGGAGTGACGGGAAGACTTCTAGCACCCGCTATCGTTGAATTTGCTCCGTACATTACTCCTAATGGTGTATTTACAGCTTCGGATTCACTCAAAGTATGTTCCCTAACACAAGCGTTCCCTAAATAAACAAACAAACACAAAATTAAATTATAAAACTCAATTAAACATTAATTTAAAAATTCATTTTAAATTTTACTTTTCAAAACAACAAAAAATTAATAAAAATTATTATTATTATTGAACAAAATAAATAAACTTTACAAATTTAAAATAAAAAAATTATTAAAGCAAATCAATTCAAAAAAAGAGATTTAAAAATTTAACCGAAAATATAGAAATTTGTAAACGTAAAATTACATCAGTGAAATAAGCAGATTTCACAAACAAAAATAGAAGGTCAAACTCAAAAGAAAACAAGACGCAAGGGTACATAATAGAAAAACACAGATTTAAATTTTCAATTAATTCGATTTTCTTACCTCGACTACTATTCTCGTTTGACGATTCTTTTTCCTTCAAAAATTTGACAGAAATTTTCGAATCAAAAACGTATTCTCCATGCATACGTTTTTGAGCCCTTGAAAAAAGAAATCAAGTTTATTATTTCCAGTTTTTTTTTCTTAGAAGAATATAAAATGTAAACCGCTTTAAATGACCTTAGCACGTGGCTAAAGAATTTTTTTTTCTTCATCCACTTTGTAAATTTATCACAATCACATTCTTTTTTTTTTTCTTTGGAATTCTATCACTTTCTCGATATTAATTGATGTTTCACAAACATTAAAAATTAATTCACTAATTTATATAATTTATTACACTAGATAGTCTCTTACCAGATTTTATACTTTGAGCAGAGTGAATTCGGGGGGGCTTTTTTTAAAATATATTATAAACTTCGAGTAAATAAATAACAAAATAAATAATTACAATTGTTAATAAATATTAAACTATTAACCTACAAAACTAGTAATAAATTAATGACACAAACAAAATATATATTAATCTTAACAAATGATTAATTATATTGAATTAATTTGAAACACTTAGTCTGCCGGGCGTGCTTCAAAAATGGCCATTACTACATTGCTAATTTTCGTTTCAAATAGAGATAATTTATAGACTCATCCCCACCAAAACAGAAAAACAGGAAACGATTTTAAAAGTGTGTATTCAAATTAGAGCGCGAGGATTTAAAATTTTCCCCCAAAAAGAGTAACAACAATTATAAAATATTATAGTTAATGTAAATAATTAATAATTATTGTAAAAACAGTTTTTTAAAATTGAAATTATTATTTCTTAATTAAATTCATTTTTTTTATTGTAATATTTTGTAATTAATATTATATTTAACCTATTAATTGAATATATATTTACCTGTCAGCGTACTCTTTGGAAAAAAAGCGCACAATCGCAGCATTTGATTGGACCTCAACAACTCGTCCTCCACAATTGTTTGATAGTCTCTTAAGTCGACGTTTAATTCCCGTAACGTCTTTATCCTCTGGAAGATTGCTAATGAGAAGGTCAAACGATTCACTAACCTACAATCGAATCATTAGAATATTAGTAATAGTATAGTATTATTAAATCGTGTCAATAAATTTCATTCATTAATGAATCAATTTACGTTTAAATTTTCTTAATTTCATTCAATTCCATTACTTTAATTAATTAATTGATTAATTCTTAATTATTTATAAAGAAGGGAAATTACAATTTTTGATAGGGGAAAAAAAATTAATATGAAATTCACCTTAATTGGAGTTCTGGAAGGCAGTGGTTCCATAAGTTCAGTAAAGTCATAGTGTTCATTTGCACATAAAATTAGTGCCTCTGATGTATTTTCCTTATGAAGAAGAATAACGTGAATTTTTTTCCTATGCCGCAAATCACTCAGGTCAGCTGCAAAATTAATATCGCCCGATATTAAAATTATCGCTGCTGGACTACCATGAATATCTGCGAACCTCCTGATCGATTGTCTTAATTTTTCATCGGCAGCATTTTTACACGTCGCTGCCACGTGTATTAAGTTTACCTAAAACGAAAATTTAAAATTTTTTATTTAACAATATTAAATATATTTTTATAAATACAAATATAATTATAAACAATTTGATTATAATTTTAAATTCAATTATCAATAAAAATAATTTGAAATCTACCAACCTGAGCGTCATTTAATTCTTGTATAATTTGTTTATTCTCTTTTTGTACATCACAGACTACAATAAATTCTGCCTCTTTATAACCACTAAAAAATTTATCTCTTATTTTTTGAGTTACTGCTATGGCGGATCGACCTTTAGGGACCTAGAGAAAAAAATTTAAATTTATAAATTTTACATGAAAAATTACCAAATCTTTTTTTGTATGAATTTTTCAAAATGACGATTTTTAATTTAAAAAATACCTACTTGACAATTTTCAATGTCCCAAAATACACCGATCGGTGGTAAAAAGTTGGGCAAATGTTTTGATGTAATTGGACTGCCATGATGAATGTAGGAATAATCGTATTGATGTCGTCTTTGGTCCAATGAACCAGGTAAACTCGCAGAATCCAGCAGTGATTCGGTATCGTTATCAGAATTAGTACCAGACAATGAACGTGTTTTCTGATAGTCAATTGGAATTGATTGTGAGGGAGTTTTTAGCGTAGAAAGTAATTTAATTAATTTATAATTTAGCTCTTCTTCAGCTTCAACATCGCAATCGGCACCGGATGTAAAGTGCTTTGGAGGAAGATACGTGTCCGCCATGTGATTCGAAAAATGTCTTACTCTTCATACCAGCAATTAACCTTGATAAAGACAAAGCAATTTTTCTTATTTTCACATATTCAATCTTATCTTGATTTCTCACTGAAATATCATCAATGAAAACGATAACGATATATTTTAAATGTTGAAGTAAAAGATATGAAACAATAACATAAATTGAAATATTGAAAAATTTGATAAAAAAAAGTAATGACATATCAATGAGTACAAAATAAAACAAAATTTATTTTTATTTATATTTCATGTGAAACGAAAAAAAATTATATTAAGAGTGTAAAAAGATAAAAGCAAACGAGAGATAAATGTTATATATTTTTTAGACAAGAAATAAATCATATTATCGAAATTGAATGCTTACCTTTGAAAATAATAATCGGTTTTTGAATAACCATATAAGATTTTCGTAAAATCTTGCATATGCGACGAGCGAGAAAACAATATTAAAAATCTAAAATTGAGGTTATGATTCGAGTCACTGAATTCGGAGTAACCATATACTCGATCGTCGAATAATAAAAATTTTCTAGTAAATAAAAATAAATGTGTTTACTTAATCACCACATTAATATATTGTATAACCGATCATTCAAAAAATAACAATAAAAGGAAGTATATGTCAAAGTATACATTTCTCTCGTGGGCCGCCACAAAGAAAATCTAAATTTTGCGTTTTAAGATCGAGGGGAGACAGGTTGAGTGTTTTTGTATGCGCCCAAGCAAGGTTGTTTAATATTTTGTTGTTTGCCTAATTTCTGATTCGCACACAACGCTCAAGTTAAAATTGTCAGAAACCAATTAAATTTATTATCTTTGCATTTGCGCAGATTTGAAATAATTTAAACACTTTTTAAATTATCGAATAGAAATTATTTTAGTTAATTATTTATAATTATTTAAGTACTTTTAATTAGTATAATTATTATTAATCTCAATTTTGTGTACTTTATCAGGATTTATCACACCAACATTCCGACAGCAGAGCAGGGTTGGGACGTTGCGTAATTTTAAATTCTTGAAAAATTTGTCCATTATAGACTTAACCTGATTGGCTGTATTGAAGAAATTGCAAACCTGTGATACCGCTTTTAGGAAAAAAACTTACGACTCAACCCTGTGATTAAGTAAACAGTCGTAAACAGTTTTTGATTGTTTTGAATTGAAATTTTGTATTGTTTATCTAAGTTTTGTAAAATAGTAATTTTTAGCTATGAATTATTTCATTCTACAATAAGGGATGACAACAAATATAATTTTTGGGTTTTATTTAATTAAATATCAATTTCATATTTGCAAAACAGATGTTTATTTGAAGAAATGAACTTATGAAAAGTAGCAATGAAAGATGAATAAATTTTGTTCTATAAAAAGTAGAAAAATAGTTTAATTATATGAATTTCACCAATATGTGACACAAATTCATACCAATTTTAGTGTTTATATTCTATAAAATACACAAGTATTCACATTCTAAATTAGATGTAATTTCTGTTATTGTGGAAAATTTTTAAATATTTTTAAATTATGAATTTGAAATGTTACATTTCTATGTATCCTTTTATTATAATAACTAAAAAAAAGAATATAATTCGTTAAAAAAAAATGTTGAATCTCTGGAAAAAAAATTCGCACGAAAAAATGAAGCAAAGAAAGTACAAAAAAAAATACAAGTAAGTGTATAGATAAATTTTAGTAGTGTTAATCTTTTACTTTCAATTTAAAATAAATAAAAAGAAAAACAATATTGGGAAATTTCTTAAAATATAATCGGCTTTAGATACTTCTACTGTTGGACCCTTCTTTTATCGCATGAGAAAGGAATTTTAATACTTTATGCTATATGTTTGTTTATCTTCCAAAGATCAGTTTGCTGTATGAAAAAATAAGAATTATCTAAAATTGACACAACTTGGACAACAGAATTCTTAAAGAGACGAGAATTATAGTATTATATCTTATCAGCAGCTTTAGGACCTTTCGACCTCCCTATATCCGTTCAAATCCGAGACACTTGGGACCTTTGACTGGCACATGTTCCATCGCAGAGAGATCGCATCACATTTAGATGAAGCTCATTCTCTGGGCTTGAATGATCCGAACAGGAAGTACTTATTTAAGTGTTAGTAAACGAATCAGTTATTGAGATCGGGTTGTAATTTTTTTCTCAGTATTCTTTTTTATTAAATTTAATTCTCATTGTTTTTCTTTTTTTTTTTTTTAGTTTAAAAAGTGAAAAGCTTCGTTACATTTTGAACTCTTGAGTTCTTCTTACAAAAATAATGAAGAGGCACTGTTTATAATTGACAACAATCATGCACTTCAATAATATATTTTTCTGCGGCATTCTATGGACTATTGCTTTTGCATTTGTTGTTAATGGAGGTAAGTGCAAAATTTAATGAGGAATTATCTATTTTTTAAAATGAAGTTTATTCCTTATATTAATAAATATTTAAATTTATTTATTTCAAATTACAACCGGGTGATTAAGTAAATGAATAATTTATTTTACACACGATAAAAAAATAGCTTTTTATATTTTCAAAGTGTGTGAAAAGAAACGACTTTAATTTTTAGTTATTTTATTTTGTGGCACTTTATATAAAATAATTGTATAAATAATTAGGCAAGAAAAAAATAATACTTTTCATTAAAATATTTAGTTAAAATTTGAGTATTTTAAAATATAAATTCAAAAGCTCTAATAAAAATTTTGATCACTAATGAGCAATATAATATGCGTATCTTTATCTTTTATGTATTATGAAATATTTCGTCAATGAAAGTGAAGATATAATAATTCTTTTTTGTGTTTAAATTTTAACAAGTGCTTCTTTTTTTCAAAAATTACTTTCTAATATAAATTTTCAAATTAACGAAATAATGCATTTTAAGAATTAAAAAAATTTCTAAATAATATTTAGAAAACCCATTAAATTTATCATTGATATTTCAAATTTTTAAAATATAAACCCTTTGATATAGAGGATTTGCCACATATTATTAAGCCTTCTTCATGACATTCGTTTAAGTGAGTTAGTCACCGATTTTCAACATCAATCAGCTTCTTTCAACTCATTAAAATAAAGAAGTTTATGGAAAACATCCTGATTTTTTTAACTATAGTTCTCTTGAGAAAAATTATTTTATTTATTACATTAATTTAATAATAATAATGTGATAATATGAAAAATATTTATTAAAATTCTATTCTGCTTGCAATTATTAAAAAGATAGTAAATCTTGTTTATTCAGAAAGTGTTTTAATAGTTTACACATTTCCCAATATGCTTATCTCTCGACTAACACATTTTAGTGATCTCTTTAGATTGATGCAAATTTAACAGAAAAAAAAAATCAATTTCACTAAATGATAATATTATTGCGAGTTTTCCTCAATGATCAGAAATTTACGTTTTGAAATACTTTTTTCTAAGAAATCGATAATTTTTTTTCTTTTTATTAATGAGAAACAATTTTTTACTTATTCATATTATTTTATCTTTTCAGATATCAGCAAAAATTCATCATTATGCGGTCGTATGACATGCATCGGTAAGTTTATCTTTACAAAAAAAAAATCCGAAAGAAGATATATAGTTTTACCAAAATTAATCAATTCCTAAAATTAAGATTAACAAATACGGTTTTATAATTTTTAACTTAATTTTTGTTTTCTATTTTTATAGTTCCTGCAGAAAGAAAATTTAAGTATGATGAAAATTTGTTTTATCAGTATCAATATAAAATCGATATCAATACAAATTTAGGAGAACAAGATGGTAATAGACGAGATGAGTCAACATTATTCATTGATACAATAGTGACTTTATACTTCACATCTCCTTGCGAAGGATATTTGAAATTAAATAACGCGAGTATTAGTCACGATAGAAGTCATTATCATCCTGATTTTCCCGATCGTGCTGGCGGTGAATTTAAATCGAGTTTGGAACGTAATATCTTGCGATTTGCCTTTGATGATGGAATTGTACGCGAAGTTTGTCCAAATCTCAATGAAGAAATATGGGTACTTAACATTAAACGCGGTATATTGTCAATGTTTCAAAATTCAATGTTAAGATTTGATGTCGATCGTCGTGTTGATGAGCTCGATGTTAATGGAATATGCGAGACCCATTATCAACTTCAGGAAGCGAAAAAAACAAGTCTTCTCATTAGAAAGTTAAAAAATCTCGTTGGTTGTACGCATAGTGCAAAACATCTTTCCATTATACAATCGCAAACCTATCGCAGTCCATTGTCGCAATCGAAAATTTCACGTCAACCTTTACTTAAATCATTCAGCGATTGTGAAATTACAATTGATCATAATATTTATGAAAAAGTTGTTTGCAATGATTCACATCAATTTCAACCGCTTTCGAATGGTGACAATGCGGGTGTTCGTACAGATGTAAGTGTAAGTTTACAATTACTCTCTGAATCGGCAAATATTGATTTAGATCAATTATCAAACGATGATGATAATGACGAAAACAATGATAGTAAGGAGAAGGCAATTGATACACAATCACATCATATTCATACAAAGAGAACTAATTTACTCTATGATCATGGTAAAACGCCGAAAACAATTAGTGGAGAATTACGTACATCGCGTGATCTTTTAAAAAGTATGTGTAGGCATGAAACTTTAGAGGAAGTTCAACAAAGTTTCTCGGAATTATTCACAAAATTTGTACATTCGGCAAGAATGTTGGATTTTTCATCTTTATCACAAATGTTTAGCAGAGCAAACAGTATTTGTAAAACCAGCAGGTGCGAAAAATTTCTTTATTTTAAATTTATTTTATTTTCAATATTTAATTATTTTTTTGATTTACAGAGATCAAATCATCAAAGCTTTACCATTCATTGGAAGTAATGCAGCGGTGAATTTAATGAAAGATTTGATAATTAAAAAATATATCTCTCAAGACACATTAAATACCTGGATTACTGTATTCGCCTTGATACCACAACCAAATCAGGAAACAATTGAAACACTCGCTCCTTTACTTGATTATCGTGAAGAAATGCCAAATGCACAATTTATTCTCAGTTATTCAGCAGTAATTCACGCATATTGTTCAATGGAGAATAATTGTCTCAATTTGAATGCAATTTCAAGTTTTCTTTCATATTTGGAAAATAAAATTGAAAAGGGATGCTTTCCACGACAACAATCATTATCTACACTTAAAGAGGTTTATTAAAAAAATATTTTTTAAGCTTAAATTATTTAATAACTTTGTTTTAACTTTTTTCCAATGATTTTAATTTTTAGACTTTGGAAGCTTTAAAAGCTATAGGAAACATGGGCGTTGAAACTGAAACATTAGTGAAAAAATTACGAGTATGCATTGAAGATTCCAGTGGATTTTTACCAATGGAATTACGTTTGGCTGCTATTGATTCACATCGAAGACTTCAATCTTGCGAGGCAACAAGAGATGATTTTTTTCTCGAAAATTATCGTAATTTAACAATAGACTCAGAAATACGAATTGCTTCCTACTTGCAAGTGATGCGTTGTCCTGATTATCGAGTGATTAAAACAATTAGACAAATTTTAGAAGATGAAGAAGTAAATCAAGGTAATTAATAAATTTTTGAAATAATAAATTATTTTATTTAATTTTTTTTTTCTTAAAAAACAGTTGGATCATTCGTTTGGAGTCATTTACAAAATTTACTCTCATCTTCATCACCAACAAGAATTGAAATTCAAAGTCTTTTGACGGATAAAGATCTTGGCGTTAAATTCAACAGTGATTTAAGAAAATATTCACGCAATTATGATAATTCATTTTTTTCCGAAGAATATAATTTCGGTGGTAATTATCAAGGTAATTTAATATTTTCACCCAAGTCCTATGTACCACGACAAGCGACATTTAATTTTACTCTCGATTTATTTGGCGAATCGGTTAATGCATTTCAAATGGATATTAGAATGGAGGGTATGGAATTTTATATTGAAAATCTATTTGGACCAAGTGGACCATTCAGTGGTGAAATAATGGGAAATCATGTGAAACAATTTTTAAGACAATTTAGATCTGCTCCTGATGAGGAGAAGAAAGAAGACTATTGGAGACAAGTGAAAAGATTACCTAATGTTATTGATAATAATTTTGATAATCCAAAAATTAGTTTAGGCTATCGTGTATTTGGCAATGAATTGAAATTTACAATGTTGGAGGGCGATGAAGATATACGTAAAACATTGGCTTCTTTTAATCCGTTAACTAAAATAAAACAAATTTTATCGGGCAAGGAAATTCATTATGAAAATACGGCTATGCTTCTTGATTCGTCGTATGTGATACCAACAACTTCGGGTGTTCCGGTTCGATTGGATCTCACAGGATCGGCGGCTTGTAATTTTAAATTATCAGGATTACTAAATAGTAATCGTTTGAGTATGGGCGAACTTGAAATGATTGGCAGTATTGCTCCAAGGTAAAAGACAAAAAATTAACAAAAAAATAAATAAAACAATTTCAACAAAAATTTCAATTGTATTTGTTGTCAATTTTCAGTGTGAGTCTCGATATAACTGGAACAATGACGGCAGATTCATTTTACAAAAGTGCAGGAATTAAATTAAGAACAAATGTTTATTCAACAAGTGCCGTTGAATCGCATGTGAATATTAAAGGTCCAAGACTTGTTCATCTTGGTTTAAGTTTACCGAATCGAAAAATGGAAATTTTCACCTTTCATTCAAATGTACAGATTGTCAAAACAAATGGTGCGGAAGTACATGAGAAAGAAATTGGTCGTATAATTTCTCAAGATGAAAAAAATAAATTGAATCAAGAGTCGAAATCTATTGAAAATATCGTTAGTAATACTACCTGTAGTTGGCCGTCACTCGATAGACTCATTGGATTAAAACTTTGTACTGATTATCAATTTCCAAATATTTCGAGAAATCCAAAAGCTGCTTATTTTCTTCTCAATGGTCCAACATTGTTAAAAGTATCTGTAATTAAAGCAGATCCAACTGCTAAAAGTTATATTCTTGAATATCGAATGGAGCGAAATGCAGTATGTACAAATTAATTTTATTATTTTCTATTGATAATATAATATATTATTTTGTAAATTTTATATTTCTGTGTAGAATGAAAGTTTTGTAAAATTGGCATTTGACACACCTGGATCACAAATGAAACGAGAACTAAGTGCAACGATTACATTTAATGTTCACAGTAATAATGTGACATTAGCTTTACAATCAGCCAGCAATTCTTTTCTAGCTAAAGGTAATTTTAATATATCTCAATATATTAACATATTAAATAATTCTTCTCGCAAATTTTATTAATTTACAATTATTGTAACAGGTACATATAAAAGGACAGACAATGAAACATTCATAAATGTAGGATTAGATATTAATGGTACAAAACATTTGGATGCTAGTGTAGGATATTCTGTGAAGAAAGTGAATTATGGCTTCACTTACACGCCAAAATTATATTTAGCCATAAATAGTGAAAGAATAGCTGAACTGTCAGGTAAATATATATTTATTATCCTTCAATGATTGAATAATTTTAATTAATTCATTCTTCTTACAGGTATGATACGAAATCAACAGAAAAATAATGTCTCACAATGTGATATTTCCCTTTTGTTTCAAACAAAAAAAGTTTGGAGTCAAATATCGGGCTATATTATGAAACGAAATATCAGTATATCGGGAAATGTGAAAATTGATTATCAATTGCAAAAAATGCCTAAAAAAGAAACACTTCAAGTTGAAGTATCATTAATAAATCGTTCATCAAAAACATTGACATATAAAGCGGCTAATGTGAAATTATATTCCACTGCTTATCCACAATTAAATACAATAATATCATCATGGTATCAACAAGCAATGGGTCATGTTGAACTTCACGTTGAAGTTAATTCAAGTCCTCATTTACAAGACGATCGACATAAATTAATTGCACAAGTTGTTGTCACATATTCAAAAGCCTATTTTCAAAGTCAAGGAGCAAAAATCAGTGCTTTCGTTGCACTCACAAAGCCAATACAAAATCTCGATATTAAAGTGGGTGTAAATTATTTTGCCATTGGCGATGAATCAAAAACAACATTTTTAATACGATACGGTCCAGGTAAAAAATTATTTTTTTAAATTAATTGTATGATGAAATTTGTATTAATTATTTTTTTTAACAGGTAAAGAAATAATTTTCACTTTAAACACAATAATGCCTCGTGGAAATATGTTTGCAATTGAAGGACATGCAAATTTAACAATACCAAATTTCAATTCTATGCTGATTAATGCAAAAATTAACGAAAGATCACGTAACGAGTATGATCTTGAATTATCAGGAACATGGTTCAGTGGACACAATATCACGATACGTGGAACCTATTTAGATAAATCGACATTATCGATAAAAAATTATAATTTAAAACTTGTTTTAAAATCACCAAGTTTTTCACGTGAAATATTGGTTAATGGCAAATTTTACTATGATGTGACAAATCTTCGTTTAGCATTCTATGTCGAACAATCGGATTTGGAAAAATATGCATTATTATTAAATTACACGGCATTATCATTGGGTCGTCTCGATACATATCTTGAGGGACGTTATAAAAGTAATATTTATTCGATTTTAACAAAAATTGATAGCGATCGAGAAATTCGCATTGAAATGCATTTAGATCGTTGGAGGGATGTTCATTTAATTGGTACTGCTATTAATAAACCAAATAATAAGGAACTTGGTTTTGAAGTGAAATGGGATGCTAATCGTGATCCAGCTCTTAAATTTGCGACAAGTGTACAATTAAATAGATATAATGCAATTGATGACGAAAATGGAAAAAATGTTAGTGCTTTAGTTACTGTCACATATCCTGGACGTTTGGTCACTGCTTATTGTCTTCTTGCAATGAAACATTCGAATAATTATATTATTGATTCACGTATTAGTTGGAGTAATGATAAAAATATTGAATTGACAATTGATGCCGATTATGTTTGGCTAAAATCTTTAAAATTTGAATCAAAATTGCTTTCACCTTTTGAAAATTGGAAGAAAACTTCTTTAAACGCAAAGTATGTATAATGATCACTTTTTTAATATTCATAATTCTATTAACTGTGAGAAATTTTTTGTTCTATTTTTGCAGTTATTTACAAAATAATTCGAAACTATTATTGAGCGGAAGTGCATATTGGCAAGATTCACAACATGTTTTAGTAGATTTACAAGCTGATTCAACTAATCGACCGGAATTTATTGAATGGAATGCAAATTGTGGATTGTCGAGTACAGTTCATTCAATTAAATGGGTTTCGGCAAATTTCACACATAAACAATTATTCGGTCATGGAACAGACACTTGGATACGAATTAAATATCATCCTGATAAAGTTATTGATATTAAAAGTATTTGGCAATTACAAAAAGGAGAGGCTGGTACATTTAATTTAACTGGAAATTTACTTCTTGTTTCGCCGGTGGTTAATTACAGAAAAGGAGAAATGAAATGCCTTTTGAGTTTAATGCCAAATTTGAGATTTTTGGGAGGTGCAAATATTGATTTAGATAAACGAAAATACACCGCTCATATGACGGGAGATTTGGCTCAATTTCGAGAATCGATGGTAAAATACTGATAATTCATTTTAATAGGAAATTAATAAAATAAATATTAATCATTTATAATTATTTTTTTCAGATACAATTTAATATTACGACTCCTCACGAGCGATACGCATTTGTACGAGGAAGATTTGGATTATCAGAGAAAAATAGACACATTGTGGCTGAAATAATACGACCAGCTGGACCACTTGGATTTGAGGGAATTTGTCAAATTCTAACGAGTGCCTATGATTTTAATATAAAATTATTATTAGCGACACCAATTGAATCTCTTGAAAAAGCATTGTTTATTGCTAAACTCAATAAACAAGAAGCCGATTTTCGTGTCTCTTATAATAATATAACAGCGGGTTTTCAAGGTGTTTGGTATTATGAAGATATCACGCATTTTGATTACACTTATATTCTCTATACACCGGTCCATGGATTACATGAAATTGGAATTATCACCAAATTAGTTGTGACTCGTATCGAACCTGATGGATATTTGGATGTTGACACGGAATTTTCTTTACGACTTGTCGAATTAAAAGCTGGTTTTCGTGCCAAGGGTGGACCAAAACCGCCATTATTACACATTCCATTGAATACAAGAATTAGAACTAATTCACAAATCGAAACATCTGGACAAGACGCGGATAATGAAGAGGAAAACGAGGAGGAATTTGAAGAAGATACTGAAAACTTCTTCTATTGGAAAGGAGAAATTGAGGTAAATCTTTTTCTCTTTTTGCTTTTTTATGATTATTCGTTATTAATTAAAAGATTTTTTTGCAGTTGAATATGGTAATAATTGAGCCAATCACAGGTTCACTAGATGTTGATAAGGAAGGCAATAAATATAAGATTTACAGTGTCTTAAAAATACCACAAGGTCGAATAACAGTGGATGACACTTTCTTTGTGGAACATGTTTTTAATATGAAAAATGATTTGAGTATTGAAACACCATTTAAATATGCTTCAGAAATTAATTCAGCTTATGTTTTCTATGTTGAAGATAGTAATATTTTAATGCAAATTGATTTAAATGTTGCCAATCAGAGTTCATTGATTGAGGTAATAAATTAAAAAATTCTAATAAAATAAAGTGGAATAAAAAATAAATAAAATTAATTGTTCTATTCACAGACTGGATTCTGGATGAATTATACAGTTCAAAAGGGTGCTATCGACACGTGGAAAATGCATTTATTGCATCTAACTCTCAAAACTCCTTTACAATCTATAAAACATGTTGATTCAGTTATTACTCTGGAAGTTGATGAAAATGACACTAAAGCCAATATGATTATACGAAATTCCGAAGCTTTTATGAATATTTCTGGTCTTATGGAGGTAATTTTTTATACAAAACATTTTATAATTATCCGAAAAAAATAAATATTAAATACTTTAATTTTTTATTCACAGGTAGAAGAAGGTTTTCTCGATTTAATTACCATCGTTTATGTAAATACTTCTGTACTTTTTGTTCCTCAAACGAAAATTTCTCTAAAACGAGATTTAACCGATAAGGAAAAATTAATAGAATTAGGCTTCATTGTCGATAATGGAACAGAAAAAATTGTGAGTATAAAATTTGAAATATTGTCAATTTAATTAATCTCAGATATTAATTTATAAATTTAATTAAAAATAATTCTAATTTTTTACAGACAAATTTAAAAGCATCGTGGTGTGTGGAGAATCAAGATTTTTTGAAATCCTCCATCATTCTCGACACATGGATCGAAGTGATAAAACATATTGAAATTGATGTTTTATACAACAATACAATGAAAATTGATAATAATTTAAAATTAAATATGTCTCTTAAAATTCCATCCAATGAAGAATATAAATTAATCAGTGAAATGAAAAATGAGAAAATGATTGCCGATTTACATATTCCTTTTGGAAAACAACATTTACAATTTCAAGGCGATTTGATTCCTGTTAATGATAATTCATATAAACTAGAGGGTGAATTAAAAAATCACGAAACAACATATAAAGTTACAAGCTCTGTGACACTTGAAAAAGATCAGTTATCAATAATTGAGACAATAATAACATCCGTGAATGGTACAAAATATTTCATAAATTTGAAAAAAGAAAAATATGGTATAAATCTCAATATCAAGAGTGACACATTAAATGGAAGTATCAGTATGAATTGTATCAATGCATTAAATTGGGATTTACGTTCAAAAATTGAAACATTAAACACAATGAATAATTATGATAATTATCAATTAAATACATTTATGAATGTACAAATAAATGGTAATACGACATTATACGTTTATATGAATACACCGTGGAAAGAATTAAATACTTTGACAATTGATGGAAATTTATTATTATCTAGTAATAATGGTGGACATATACGTTTAAATCAACAACGAAATAGTGAGACAAATTTTATTTTATTAAATTGGAAAATGGATTATTTGACAGATATGTTTATAAAAATTATTGCTAATCAACATCAAGATGATATTAATACAAAGGACGTTGTTGTTCATTTATTTTTGAAAAGTTTGAAACAAACTATTCAAAGTATTAATACTGGTTTTGATATTAATATTGATCGAGAACTATGGCGATTGGCATCAAATGCATCGATTACCATTTTTAATCAGGAAAATTTTGACTTTGTATTAAGTACCTCTTTACCGCCGCCAGAAAAAGATGATCATCAATTTTTAATTAGTTATCATGCGAATAAAGGAATTCGTGATGCGTCGTATATTGTTAGTTACAAGACTTTACGAACTAATGTTAATTACGCTTCAGATGGCTCGGTATGTTTTTTTATTTATTTATAATTTATTATTATATTGTTAAAAATAACTAATATTTTATTTCTGATTAGTTGAAAATGATTTCGCGGGATATTGATGGACATTTACGATTGACTTGGGGTACATCATCTGCACAGACAATTAATAATTTCATGAATGCAACGTTTGATGAAAAAGGAATGAATTTGAAATATTCTCTCTATACTCCTAAATATTTACAAGAAGAAACGTTTGTTCTTCTTTTTTCCTATGATATTGCACAGGAAACGTATACTTTGATAAATGCCGATTTATATTTACCAGCAAATCAAAAAATTGGTTCCACTAATATTTCATACGCAAGTCTTGTCAATGTTAATGGCACAATAAATGCAACAACTTCTATACCGAATTTCGCTTATGTTGGTTGTGATTTCATCGTTTTGACTACACTGTGAGTATAAAAATTGAATTAATTTCTAAAAAAAATGAATTAATTTAAAATTCATTTCTCCATTTTTCAGAAAACAAAGTAAACGGCTTGTGAAGGCATTTTGGCCAAATAATACAGCATTATTAGATTCCGATTACGTTTATCATAGCGAAAGATTGGATTCAACTTTAGATGGTCATTTACATTTGCAAGTTCCATTAAATACACGACACGAAGGTCATCTCACTTATGGTTACAAGAAACGTCCTCAAGTGACTAATGGACATTCGAAATTATTTTACAATAATCAGGAAATATTGAATGGACAATATACATCGAAAAGTGAATCAAGAGCCGGTTTTGAGAAGGATGAAATTAAAATTACAGTTGAAAATATATTAAAGCCTATTGGTATTTTTTATATCAATCAATATGAATATAGCGGTGGTTATGAGGGTACAAATTATCCAACAACTGAATTGAAAAAAGTACACATTTATCGACTCGACAATAGTTCAAGTTTCAATGTTAGCGGTGAATCGCGAATACATACGACACACGATGGACAGGAAGTTTATTTAAAAGCAGTTCATTTTAATCGTACTGTACAATTGCGAACCGATTATAAAATATTACCAGGTGAATTTGATCAAAACACTTGGTTAAGTTTAGCCGATGATGCATGGGCATCGTATCATATCAATATTCTCAATAAATCTGTTGAAAATATTGAAAATCAATTTATTGTATTTGGATTAGTTTATCCAAATAGAAATTTCACAATTAATGGTACATATTTGATAACGAGTGATGAATTACAATCGGAAGCGCATCTTATTTGGAAACATGATCAAACAATGAAGCCGCGTATTTTAGGCTCATCGTTCCAATGGAAAAATATCTCGTCAAATTGGAATTCATTGCAACAGCGAGCTATGTTTAGTTTAAAACATCCAAGTTTTGAAAAGGATATGACAATGATTGGTCAAATTATTAATCGTGACGATAGAGATTTATTTAATGCGGCATTCATCGTTGATTATTCGCGACAAAAGAGTAAACTTCTTAATGTATCGGCAACAATAAGGGATGAAAGTGATTTACCATTTGATCGTAAATATACCTATACAATTTTAGGTAATCATGATGAAATAAATTTACATCTTGATTTACGTGGATATTTACATCATCATTCGCCTAATATTCTTGAAACGAAAAATAATGTTATTTATCAACGTGGTAATTCAGAAAAAGAAACTGGTGAATTATTTGGACGTATTAATATAGATAATAATGAAATTGAAATAAATCGTGAAAATACTGATTCACAATATTCAAATAATATGAATGTGAAATATCTTTGGGCTCGCTATCATGGTGATTATCCTGTTTTTACTGTTAATGGAACTGTTATTAATACACCGGAAATTAATTGTACCGGTAGTTTATTTATGAATTTTAGTGAAAAACTCACGTGGATGATGGTGAATTACACCCCTGGTAAGATTGTTTATTATTTAAATTAAGTACAAAAATATTTAATTAAAGAACGTTTTTAAAAAAACAAAAAATATTTCAGATGCTGTAGAAAGTTTAAGGATGTACGGTGATATACCTGATGCGAGAAATGCTAAATTTGATATTTGGAGAACATACGATGACGATCTTACTGTTTCGGACGTTACTTTTTATTTAAGATTAAATCATTCCCGCCTTGTTACATCAACTTTACGTTGGAGACCTGAATTAAGAGCAGACATTTCTGTAAGTTTACAGTTTAAAAAAAAAACTTTTTTGATATTAAATTAAAATTTTGATATAAAGAAAAATATTTTGAAAATTTAATTTAATTTTCAGCGATTTATTAAAACAACTTTAAGTGATATATATGAGCGTATGAATAGCGATGTTGATTTTTGGAGGCATACAGTAAGATCCGAGACTATTAACGTTATGTCTCAAGTTTGGGACAATGCTAAAGAAGACATGGATGAATTCCTTGATGACTGGAGGTAAAAATCATTATTAATAAACTTTGAAAAAAATATATATTTAAAATTTTATAAAGAAATTTTCAAAACTTTTCTTTTCAGTGAGTTAAGAATTATAGAACAAGATTTTGAAGCGCTTAAAGTGTATCTAAATAATTCATACAATGCAAATGATTTTTATGTAAAGGACATTGTTGCTTTTGGATTTTACGTGATAGATGAACTTTCATTGAGAAGTCACATTCAATCGCTACCAAATCTTCTAAATGAAATATGGGAAATAATGGGCGAATCCGGTGAAGCAATTCGTAATTCATTACTTTGGATTATTGAAAATATAAAAAATGCTTATCAAAAATTATCAGAAATTTTGAGCGCAATTTTAAAGGGTGATTCAGTATCACAAATAGCTCATATTGTGGAGAATCTTATTGAAAAATATGATTCATTCATAAAAGATCTTCACGTATCATTTATTAAATATATTGAAAATCTTTGGAATAAAATATCGCATTCAATTTCACAACAATGGTATAAATTTCTCCGTTTACTTGAACCAATGTTTATACGTTTAATACATTATTTAGAGACACTTGTTTGGAAAGCAAGCAAGGAAGTATTGGATTTTCTCTACGATCGTCGTAATGAAATTATAACATCACCTTATTATGATCGTTTTACAAATTTTACACAAGATATTGATAAATTTTATCGTGACATTAAAGCAAATGATATTATAACAAATATTCAAAAATATTCAACTCTAGTCATACAATTTATTAAGGAACGTTATTTTACATTTGTACCATTTGGAAAGGAATTGAAGGATGTACTTGATGAAATTCTCATGGAATTGAAGGAATTGAAAAAATTACCATCTGTTAAATATACACTCGATAGAATAGAACAAGTTTATGTTAAAATCAGTGAGATTTATGAATATTTTCAAGTTAGAAATAAAATTGAAGCAACGATTCGATTAATACATTCGAAATTAATGGATATTAGTCAAACGGCTTTACAAGCTGAAAGTCGATATCGTGAAGCAAAAACTAAATTTATATTTGATCCTAATCGTGGTTTGATGTGTTTCGAGCAAAAACTTCCAATGTCTTGGCATGCATTTAATCAAACACCAGAATTTCAAGAGATACCCGAATATAGATCAATCACGGATATGGGATCGTATTTTGCCACATCAAATGCTACTTTTTGGACTTTATATTATCAATATAAACCATACACGGAACCTTCTAATTGGTTCCCGCCATTCAAAGGTAAATTTTTTTACTAAATTACTTAAGAAAATTATTAATTGATTATAATTATAATTTTATTTTATAATTGGTTTAAATTTTTCAGCTCAGGGAATGATTGTTGGTGCACAGAATTTTGTTACTTTTGACGGTCATTTTATTCAGTTTGCTGGTTCCTGTACTTATTTACTTGCTCGTGATTTTGTTCGTGAACAATTTGCTGTTTTAATTAAATATGATGTTAGCTCGAATCCGGAAAATATTACTCATCAAATATTGGTATTGTTTGGAAAAAAATCAATAGTTGTGGACTTATTTAAAGACGTAAGTTTAAATAGATTGATTATAATTCTTATTAAATTAAAATTCCTAAGATAATAATAATAAATATTTAAATTTTCAATCGTTTCTTAGACTGTTAGCATAGCAGGTACCAATGAAACACTTCAATTACCCGTGGAACTTGATAATGGTACCGCTTTTGTTTATCAAGAAGAAAGTATTGTGATTATTGAACGCCAAGATAAACAATTTAAGTTGGAATGTAATTTAAAATATGATTTTTGTAAACTCGAATTATCTGGTTGGTATTATGGAAAAACGGCTGGTATTCTTGGTACAATGAATAATGAACGAATGGACGATCAAATGGCATCGGATAATACAATTGTGAATGATATTGGAAAATTTGCTCAAACTTGGTCGGTGGATGGAGAACAATGTAATAGCGACAAGAATTATGCAATTATTCGTAATCAAGGACCAATGGAATTTTGTCAAGATCTTTTTGTTAATAGAAGTTCAGATTTTGGTTCATGTTTCAATGTTGTGGATCCAAGGCATTATTATGAAATTTGTTTAAATAGTGCAAATGAACAAGAGGCTTGTACAATTGCAATGGGATACATGCACGCTTGTATGTTTTACGATTCATATTTGAGAATACCAGATAAATGTACAACATGTTTTATGAATGACAATAGTCATGTACCTGAAGGAGAATTTACAAAACTCGAGGGTACTTCAGTTCTTAAGTCCACCGATGTTGTATTTATCGTTGAAGCCAAAGACTGTAATGATGATATTAGAAAAAATCGTAGTTTAGATTATCTAATAACACAAATAAATAAAGAGCTCAATGATCAACATTTTATGGATAATCGTTGGTCACTTGTTATTTTTGGTGGTGATGGAGTATTCGATCAACCAAGAAGTTTGATTCTTGATAGTCAAATATTTACCAAGAATCCATTGCGTTTTGTTGATTATTTCAATAATATTCCAATTGGCAATGGCAATCAAGATATATTTGCTGCACTTGGTTTTGCATCGCAACTTGTTTTTAGACCAGGTGTTTCAAAAACGTTTATTTTGATGCCTTGCACACATTGTGAACCAGAAAATCAGACGGTATGTTATTTTATCCCTTTTTAAATTAAATAATTACTTGTAATTTAATTAATTTTTTAAAAAAATTCAATTTTCAGTTGGACTATTCAGTTTTACATCAAGTATTACTAGAGCGTGACATAACATTGCATATATTAATGGATGGGGAGTTTCAATTTAATAAAACTCGATTAAATAAAATGTTTTATGGCTTGGACGCCACAAAGTCATATACGAAAAAGGATTCGCGAACTTTAATGGGTGACGTCGATTTAAGGAGACAAGTGAAATTACCAAAAAGTGCATTGGGTTATTGTACACCATTGTCCTTAGAGTCAAATGGTACAATATTTAGCGGTAATAAATTACGAATTGGCAAAATTCCATCGTTAAAAAAATTCGTTACCGTTTTTGCGAAAAGAATTGTCATCTCAGCGGAACCAAATCCTTGTCAACATTGCGAATGTATCGCGGATAATGATGGTATCACAAAAATGGAGTGTACTGCATGTGATTATCCAACGCCTGTTAATGTTGATTACGTAAATGTGAGTAAGATTATAAACAAATTTTGTGATTTTTTTGTTACAAAATAAAATTTAATATAAAAAATGTTCCTTGCAGGAGACCTTTGACGAGGAATTTTTATCAGTCCTTCAGCCATCAGACTTGGATTATGATCAAACCGATTCTGATGATGATTTATAAGGTATAGCAAATCTACGTAAATTTTTTTTTATTATTTATTTAAGAAAATTTTTCACTTCTTTTATACTTATTAACTGTAATTTCGTATAAGTATTCTTAACGTGACTGTTTATAACTGTAGGTACTAGTCTATTGCTCAATTGAATATTAATAATAAAAAGAAGAAAAACAATTTCAAATAGAGATTAAAAATAATTATTTTCAAAATAAATAAAATCGTGGAACAATACAAAAAAGTACAAAAAAGATATATAATATTTTATAAACAAAAATCGAAATTTGAATTCGCTGGTTGAAAAAAATTAACATCATTAAGATTTCAAATTCAGAGATTGTTTATGTTTTTTTTTTAATATAGGTAAGACTTAACATTGGCCATTTTTTTTAGTTAACAAATGAGTACGATTAAACTTGTACAATAATATTAGTCGACATTGAATTTCGGAAGCAACAAAAAAAAGTTAGACTTACACTTATAAAAAATTTTCAAATTTCGAATTTGAATTACATTGATTTCATTTTTTTAAGGAACTTTTTATCATTCGTACAAGTTCCTAAATTCATTGTATATAATATATATAAATCGATCTTTTAAAAATATATCTTACACAAGAAAAAGAGAACAAATCAATACAAATTTTCTTTTTTCGTTTTTACTTAAAGAGACTTTAAAAATGTTATAACAATATTAAAAAATGTCAACAATTAACCGACTGTAGTAAAATATGGTCACCTTGAATCACCTTGTAAATGATTGGGAGCATCAGCAAATGTGAATTTTAATTTATAGGCTTCAGCAACCAAAACTCCAATTTCTGAATCCGTCCAATTTTGTGTCGGTAGATTTTGAAGCATTAACATTAATCCCTAAAGTAATAAAAGGAAAAATATTAAATATTTTATTTTTTTAAAGTAATTAATATCAATATTTACTTGAAAGTCTGGTTGAAGAAGGAGATGTCGCCTCCATCGTAATAGAAAAGCTGCACAAACATAAAGTTGAAAAGATGCAAAACGATCAGATTCAGCCAAATATGTGTCCCAAAGGCGAATTGTACAATGTAAGGGAATTTCTCTTGTTAATAAATTATTCATCCAGCGAAATGAAAATTGAAGATAATCAACTCCATGTTGATGTAGATGCTGATGTAATGGAGCTGAAAATTATATTCAAAAAGTTTATAACCAAATATTTTTTTTAAAGTTTAAAATTAAAAAATATGAACTTCTGAATACCATCGATTCTTTGTATTAATTCTTTCAATTGATTAACTTTGTGCTGAATTCCTAATTGAGCAAAGATGTAATTATCTTGAATGCCGTCTAAAAATTTAGACAAACACCAGAAGCTATCGGCTTCTATAATATCACGTTTTTCTTTAGGCAGAGATTCTACAACGTAATTTTCAAGATCATGCCACGCAGATCTTGGAACTGCTTCTTGAAGGAACACAAGAAAGAACGGAGTCACTAAGTCATTCATACCCTTAAAAAAAAAATTTTTTATTATTAAAATGTAAAGAGAAAATTGAAAAAAATAATTACCTGTACGTATCCCGAAGCCGGATGTCTTATAGCCCATATATATAAAATTCTTTCGAAAATCATTTGAACAGACGTTTGTTGAAACAATGAAATAAGTGGTGACATTCTTGGAATATCAATATGTATTTGTCGATATGTATCTTGAAATCCTTCATCTCTTTCAACATCATAATATTGTTTCACTAAACTCCAATAATCCATTCGTTTTCGTTCCAATACCTGTTGTCTTCGTTCCAAATTTGTTGGAAGATATTCCTAACAAATTTATTTTTCATTACAAATTTGGATATCAAATTTAAAAAATTTTCTTTCAGTTTTAACAACTTACGGAAAGCAGTCTCCATGTTACAGATCGTAATTTGGCAGGTATACCAGACCAAGAGAGTTCACGTAATTCGTTTAAATTAAGTAACGACGATTCCAATAACGCTTGGAATTTATCTATTTTACTTTCACCATCTAAAAATTAAAATAATTTGAAAAAAAACAATTTTTTAAATTAATATGAAAATTTTTACCTTGGTCTTTGGACGCTATATAAAATTTATTAGTGGCATTTGTTTGTTTTAATGGTTGTGGTCTTCCTGGAAATTGTGAATGTTTATGATGTGGTGAAATACTAGATTTTATTGCTATTTGCTCCAAATTATGTGGATTTTGACGACTTTGATTAATAATAGCCGTTCCTAAATTAGCATTTCTTAATTGCAATGGTTGAACGGCTAATCTTTGTAAAGCTTCGATTTTCTTTTCTTCAGGTATTATTTGTTCTCGTGGACGATCTTTTAAATTTATTTGTGAATCTATACATGTTGTGGCAGATCGGTGACTATTAATGACACTTAACGCAGCAGATTTACTGACTCTTTTCGATATTCTCACATCAGAAACGGTACAAAATTCATCGTCACCTGAATCCCATGCATCATCGACACTCGATTGAAAATCTTGAAAAGACGTTGAACTTGAGGCACTGCCACTGCCAGTTGCACCACTAGAACTTCCTAAATTACTTGCATAATTTGATCCTGCACCAATTATTTTACCATGTTTTGCATCTTGTTTTGGACTAGGCCTAAAATTATATAATAAAATTAATATATAAATTATAATATTTTAAAATATTAATATGACAAATTTTTTTTAATAGTTACTAACCTGCCTGGAATAGCTCGATTATTTTTTTTCCAAAACGACTGATAACTTTGGTGAGTTTGATGAAGGCGATTTTGATTTTCCATCTTCTTTTATATATATATATAAAATATCACATAAAATCAGTTAACGCATGTTGACTGAATTAAATATTCGTTGCATTTGTTTCACATTACTGAAAACTATTATAGAAAATTATTTACAATTAAAATAATTCACAATTTTTCTTAATTTACTAAAAAATAATTGTAAATTTTATTTCAGTTTTAGAAATTAAATTAATTCAAAAAACAAGTATTGACAAAGTATTAAAAATTATCTTTGGAAAAAAATAATTTTAGTTTTAAAGAAACAAGTGTAAACAATTGTAAAATGTGCATAACTTTTATAAAAAAAAGTGATAAGTTTAAAAAAACAACTATATTTCATTATCAGCTAATATAAACACGTCATAAAAAGAATTTTAAACAAAGAAAAATTATTGAAAAAATATTCCCTAAAATTCCTTTTTTTCGATAAAAAAAATTTTTAAATGCATTCTTTTATCAATTAATTAATTATTAACGCAATAATCACAACATGGATAGTGATAAGAATAAAATAATGACCCAAAGGGCATATCGTGCATTTAATTACAGTTGATTGAGGTTATGTTTTTGAAATAAGTATATATGAATTGACATACGCATATCTCTACCATAAATAAATGTAAATCATTTTATAATTAGAAAAATCTAACAATTTATATGATTTTAATTATATGGATTAAATTTAAAAATAACATTAATTAATTACAAATAGAAGCAATTAATGGAGTGTTTTAAAGTAAGAATATTTTTACTGTTTTTGGGAAATATTAAAGTACAGTAAATGTTATTATAAAAACAATTACCAGGCATGTAATTTGATGAAAAATTGGTTACAAACAGATCAGTGGACGTGACAATTTGACAATTAATAATAACAGCTTTGACTGTGGGTGGTGGTAGCAGACGTGTGACAAATAGTTAACAAAGTAGATTTTACCGTTATCGTTATCGATAACAACAAAAACATTTTTGTTGTTAATGTTAATTCCTACGTTTACTGTATTTGCATTGTGAACGTGACTTTAAATCAGGGTTGGTTCGTTACGCAATTGATTTTTCGCGCGCGCGCAGTATGATACAGGGCTGGGTTACTACTGAAAATAAACTTTTTGTCTCCACCTGGTGAGAAGAATCGCAACAATAAAAAAGTTCATAGGAAGAGATGGAATGATTACAATTGTAAAAAGAGTGAAAGAGAGATAAAGTAACAAGTGAAATTCATAGTTCTGCACAATGCAAAAAGGTAATATTTCTGAAATTTCTCATAAATAGTCATTTTTTCTATCATATTCACAACCCTGGTGCTGTCAAAATAAAAATATGTCAAGCAAAAAAAAGTTATTTACTTTCTCATTTTTGCTAACAAGAAAATATAAATTATGTTATAATAAATAATTTAACAATAAAGTACAGGTAAAATAATAGTTTAAAAATAAAATGTTACATTAAATAAGAAAAATTTGGATAACCTCAAAAAATCTCATTCTAAGTTTTTATTTTAAATCGTATTTTATTTCGTGAACATTTTTACATTTTCATACAATCACATTAGGAGATATTGGAGGTTTTTTCTTTATCACTTTTATGTTTTTTTTTGTTTCTTCAAATTTTGCGATGTTTTTAGTAAAATATTTTTAAAAATATTTTAAAAAAAACTTGTAATTGCACAATCTTGCTAAACTTTCTACTTTTGAAAGTAAATATATGTTATATATATTTTTTCGAAGATTATTTCTTGCTTACACAAGTGTATATTGTTTTTTATTATCATTGTATAAAACACAGTTTATTACATAAAATAATTATAACTCAAATTGAGTATACGTATTTTTAATAAAACTTTGAATTCCTACGTAAGCCGCTATACAAAAACCGGACAGTTACACTGTTTTCCATTGCCAAATCTGACATCAAGAATATTTTTCCTATTCAGATTGCTAAGATTAATACACCTGTCTAGATTCAAGTTTCTTTTGTGAAGTGGACTATGTTTTTTGTTTTTTTTAGAGGCGTTCTAGTCATTAAGAAATTTGACGAATTATAAATGCAAATAAAATTGCAAAAACATGTTAATGATCATTCTACATGTAAGCATTAGTTTTTATTGATCATTAATCATGTTTGAAAATTATAGGATTTAAATTAAAACATCTTAAAAATATTTTGAATGTTTATCGAATCTTAAAAATATTTTAGTAAATTAAAAATTTTTTAAAATATAAATTTAAGGAAGCAATAATGTAATATTGAAAGAAAATCACAGTAATTTAATGTACGAGTTTTATCAACTTTTGTCAAACTCTTATTGACTTTAACGTAATTTAAAAAGTAGATTAGATCTACATTATATACATTAGTTATTATGTGTTTTTTCTAATCTTAAATCGCTTAAGTGATGTTTTTCGACTTTTCGTAATTGATATATGTATATATAGAAAATCCAATAATGTTAAAACTTTGTCGACGCATTTTATGTTTTTTTTTGTTTTTTAATTTACTGTCGTTCGCGTTATTTTTTTTCTCTTAAATTATTTAAATAATTGTCGTAGCAAAATAAAAATCTCTAAATAGATATTGCTCAATAATTACACGTAAACATATTAAATATACTATGGATAACAAAATGTACTCAAAAAGCCTTCCCCGAACAATCTTAATTCTACTGACTTATAACTTAATGTTGTAAGAATATTCTCTGCAATATGATTACAAGCGTTAAGATGCATTAATTAAAACATATTTTATTTTTTACTCACTATAAAATCTTTCTGATTTTATTTTTTACAGATTTCATCAGAGAAGTATTCATTCAGCATTAAGAGAACGGCCAGTGTTATTATGGAATAAGAGTGTCACATGATTTCAAGGTGAACATATTTCAATATATTTTTAATTATAAAGAAAAAAAAGTCGAAAAATATTTTTTTAAAAGTCTATATTATAATCCAGTTATAAAATTTAAATTCATTTTTAAATTAAGATCTAATTTTAAAAATAATTGTTTCAAATTACAAAAAAAGAAACAGAGAGAGATCGATTATTTACACATAAAATATGATCAACTTACAATAAAACTGCAACACCCAGTCTACATATGTGTTTGTGTGTGTGATCGTGTATCAAATTATATTCATCATATATATATATGATACTATATCAATAATATATGTATATATATATATGAACTATCCTTCGACTTCGATTTTAAATTCACACTTGGCGATAATATTTAAGTGGTTGGATGGTAGGAATTAATTAACGCAGCATCAACAGGTTCCAAACATGATGGACAAGTTAATGAACGTAAAAGCCAATCGTCGATACATACCGCGTGATAAGTGTGCATACACGGTAGATAACGTACTTCTTCGCCAATTTGCAATTCCATCATACATATTACACATTCTCCTTTTTTGGTACCATCAAATTCTCGTATAGGTAAATGCTGAATTAATCCTATGCGTTTAGCTATTCGTACTTGTTGTTCATCTTCATTTAAAATGCCAGATACTCCACCACCTAAAACAACTCCAATTCCAATATTTCGACTGATACCCAATTCTGTTGACTGTAAATGACGTTCCCGTGTTGTTATCGGTGGATAATAATTTCCTGCCTAAAATACAAATTTTTTTAATTAATGTTAAAAATACGAATAATAAATTGTTGTTGATAACTTGACAAGTTAATCAATTTTTTAAAATTTGTTTAACTGAAATCAGACCTTGAAATTTTTTTTGTTAAAAAATAAAGATAAAGTAATTAAAAAAACAGTAAATGAGTAAAATTTTAGTAAATTAAAAAATTACACTGTAGGGTATAGAAGATGAGCCAAAAGTATCCTGGGAAGTAGCACCAGTCATTACTGGGTCAGAACTGCTGGTTAACAATGTCGTGCTATCTTGTTGACCTGTAGCTCGCTTTAGGCAATTTCCCATGTTTACAATTTGAAGTTTCACGTCACGTACACGAAACTGACATTAAAAAATAAAATTCATCTATTTGTAATTATAATAATTCGTTCAGTCTTTTGGATCATTATGCACATTCATCTTTGTTCTCCTTTTAAATTTCACTGGAAATTTTTGCGTAGATAATTTTTCTTTTTAACATGTACGAACTGTGTACTCTATTGTTATGACCAGGACATCTTTGTAATCACGTACACACTGTCAATTTGATTATATATAGACTATATTTGATACAATCAAATTTAATTAATACAATCTAACCATATCGATAACTATTGGATTGGACATTTACTGGTAAATTGTATTTCATAAATACATAATGCATATGTAAAATCAAATGTGCAGATAATTTATTACAATTGTCAAATTTTCGAGACATACAGACGATGTATTGTCTCTTTAAACGTAGTGAGATCACAGATCACACTGATGTTTGGATATCAATTTTAGTATTAACACCACTGACACTGTCAAACATTTTTATCAATGCACTAATTAAAAACAAAGAAAACTGTTTATTACATTGTGTACAAAAACTGAATTTTTATTCCTGTCTGACAGTAGTTTAATTGGCCTGATCAGAAAACAGAATGAAGGTGAAGACTTGAACGCAAAATTTATTTTTATTTCAATGTGACGTCAATCTCTGTTGGTAAAATCGATCCAGGGTTGGGTAGTCACTATAGCACGATTCTAGTCTCTGATTGGTTGGTAATATGACTGGAAATATTACCATCCAATCAGAATTGCATTATAGTTTAAAATTGTTTTCCCTATTATTATATAAAAATTTTAATTATTATTTATTTAATAGAAAGTTTTTCCTTTCTTTTCCTTTCGATTGTAATTATATAGAGTGTTCCTATTTTCCAAACGGTAAATTATTTATTATTTATAAAATAAAATTTAAAACATAATTTTTTGATAAAGGAAAATGCGTTTTTAAATATTACAAAGTTTATTATTACACTAAAACGGTAGATAAGATAGAGAGACAATGCACTTTTTTTTTGTTTTAGTAACAGAGAAAATCTAGTTTAGAATTATTTTAATGTTGTCATATTTTTTTTTTAATAACAAACAACTAATTTCTGACGCTGACTTGAATTTCTTTAAGTTTTCCTAGTAACAAGAGAAATTTCATTTAATTTCTTGTTTTTCCTAGTTGTTTTTAATTTATGTAATGAAAGCTACTATTATAGTCTTCTATAAATTTTCAAGTCAAAAGCGTTTTTGAATGGTCAGTCTTGGTACAATAACGGGCCAGCCACTATGAGTAATTAATTATAAATATACTGCCTTGTACTCTACAATTCTTTCGGATTCCATTAAGAAATATATAATATAACATTCTATGTATTTTGTGGAACTGTTGGAGCACGTTGTGCCGGTGGTTGATAAATCGGTTGTGTGCTACGCTGTTGTCCCCTTCTTCTATATCCTCCTTTGATACCTGCTCCACCTCCACCTCTTCTGAATTCCATTCCAACTTGAAAAATTAATAAATATTTTTAGTTAAATTGTTTAATTAAATATATTCAAGTTCGGATTGATTAATTTACCATTAAAGCGTTCGTTATTTTGTTCCTGTCGCGGTGGTCTATTATCTGGGCGATAATCCTGTCTTTTATTACCCTCTTGTGGTGGTCGTTGATTTGTTCGATTTTTCGCATCTTCCGTGACGGGAAAGCAATCCGTTTGTAATACTTCTTCATAATTATCAAAATCTCGGAAACGAACCACGCAAGTTGTTTTAGATAAATCGGTCACCTCTGCATGGTAATACTGAAATATAATAAAATAGAAATAAATTTAATATTCATGTTTTTTTTAAATACAAACTCACCATATTGTCTTCCCAATATTTAGCAAAACACATGTCTCCTTTCTTCCAAACCCATGGTGCACTTGACGTGCTTTGATTTTGCTGCTCACTATTGACATTGCTGCCATTTTTTTGATTATGTACATTATAATAAGCATAAGTATTATCAGGAGTGTTATTTTTAAGCGTATAATTTCTCGAATTTCTATCATTTTCATTGGACGATGAAAATTCTTTACGATTTGTATCTCGATTATAACGATTTTGAGGTGGATCGAAATGTTTACTCTTTGTATCAACATCGGATTGATATTGATTTCTTGTATTATCCATTTTTCGTTGATCTTGCTGGAATTTATTGTAATTTCCCGATGGTCCACTTTTATAATTTCCTCCCTCAAAACGTGATCCTGCAAATGAATTCCTCGTATCGTTTGACTGATGTTTGTTGTAATTTCCCCTATAATCTCGAGGATTGTTGTCAGTTTGAAAATGATTGTGTGGCTCGGGATTTTTTTGAAATCTTGGTGGTTTATTTTGTGCAATACCACCATTTGAATTGTAGTGAGAAACTTGAGGATTAAATGAATTGCTATTTGACCATTTATTACTTTTTGAATCGTCATAATGTTGTCTTGGTGTGTGTTGATAACCTTTTCCAAATCTTTGACCTCTGAAACGGAAAATTATGAATTTTTGATAGAAAATGAATTATAAATTTATTTTTCAAAAAAATATTACCTTGAACCACGAGTTGAATTATGATGATCATTTCCTCTAGAATCATATTCGACTTTTTCTTTGACAACGAAATCATTTGTATTCTGAGAATAATTCGCTTCGGCGACTTCCGATTGGGCTTGAAGTTTATCTTCGAGGAAATCAAATAAGGAGACTTTTCCACTACTTGGTTTTCCAGTCTCTTCAATTTTCTTTTCGAAACGTTTGCCTTTAGGTTCTCTAGGTTCACGAGTACTAGAAGTAAATTATAAGAAATGACATTATTTAGAAAAATTTCGTTCCTACGCTAAATTTAAATACTACTTACTTGTTTTGTTTATTTTCATTCTTTTGTAAAGATTTTAAAGCTCTGTCCAAATTATTTCTGTTTACCCTCAAGGCAAATTCGGCTTGTTCAATTGAAAAGCCTTGATCGACAATTTTTTGTACTCCATGATCCAATAGCTAGAAAATTCCAAATTGTAACTTTTGTTTTTAATTAACTTTAATAGATAATCTTACCTGCTGATTACCACCACCAAATATTTTTTTATTTCCCTGCTTGGCAGCCTCAGCGATGGCATCTTTACGTTGTGCCTCAAATTCTGTATTTTCTTTTGTGCTCTTTTCTTTATCGGCTAAAGCTTTGAAATTTTTCCCCTGATCTATAACCTTCATAATTTTCTTTCCAAACGGAATCCATGGTGGTGGGCCTCCATCATCCGCGGATCTTACTCTCGAGTGTACTGCTAATTTCTAAAATATTACAATTTATATTAATTTACTCTATATTATTTTAAATCAAAAAAAATAAATTTAAAAATAATACTTTATTTAATTCCCATTTCTCCACAAGGTTTGCTACTTTTCCTTCGTAAACGTATCCCACATTTAAAGGACGCAATAAAATAATACCATGTGTGGTTGATAGATTTTCTGATTTTATTAATAATTTCGTTCCGGGAGGAGTATTAAGACTGAAAATTAAAATTAATTAAGTATTAAATATTCCAATTGGCATATTAGACAAAAATTTTTCAGTAAAATTATAATTATTTGTACCTTAAAGAAGCAATATACTCAATCTCAATAGCTTGAAAATTATTTCGACCATCTGTCAATGACAATTTTAACATACGAGGAGCTGCACGTGATTCTTCATTATTTTTCGGAGCAGCCACATTTCGTAGTTTTTGAATTTGTAAAACTACATTTCCTTGATTAATATCGCCATCACCACTTCCAATTTCTTTTAAATCAAGCTAGAAAATAATAGAGAATAAATAAATTTTTTCTTTCCATAAAATAAAAAAATAAAAAATTACAAATACCTCAGCTGCTCGTTTGATTATTTGCTGAATTTCCACTGTATTGCCATTATTGCTCGCAAGATTGTAACCACGTTCTGATAAATACCTGCATAAAAAAAATATTCAAGCATTGCAAAAAAAAAAAAAATAGTAAATAAAATTTAATACCAATATAATCAATAAATTGGAAATGATCAAATATTTACTTACCATCCATGGTTTTGCAAATTCTGTATTGCTGTCATGACTTTTTACTATGAAAATAATTGTTACTAATTTCTCGTTTAAAGTGTCAATTAAAGGAGCTAATTGTTCTCTATATTAATATTTCCTTTATTTACTATTTATACTAATTTTGGGCATTATTTATTTACTATTTGTCTATAAACAATTGTCAGCTGCTGAGTTGACAGTTAAACAATGTATTGAATATTTTATACATCAAAGATAAGTTTCACGTTTTTGTTTCCTTGTATATTTAACAATCATCAACAATCACAATACTATTAAATACTTAAATGTCACAAAAACAAATATTTTATTCCTATTTTTATTATTAATTTCACTAACCGCACCTATACGCACGAAATTCCTATAGCTCACGGTTTTTAAGCGGCCATATTGGTTCGTATTAGTTCGCAATAAAATATGTGGCGGCGCTGTTGTCAAACTATTCAAACGACTAAAATAGTTTATTTAACTTTTCAGTTGTTCTAATTATTCAATTAATTTATATCAAATAATCACAATTCAAAGTTATTTTCATAAAGTTGAGATATAGTTTAATACATTTAATACATTTTAAAGAAATTTAATACTGAAACTATTCTAGAAAAAAGTGATTATAATGTTCGTGACAATTCCTGTTTTGACTTTTAGGTTACGTGTTTTCGAAAGAAATGAAACGTTTTATTTTAATCTAAATATTTGTTTTAAAAAAGGTATGTACCTAAACAAATATTGTTTCTTAAGTTAAAATTTTGTATCTAGTATAAATAATCTTGATTTGATTGATATAATATTGATTTTTTCTGTAGAAAAAGTACTATTTTGAAATTCTCTTTGACCACTAAAAATTACAATAATTTTGTCAGCAAATATATTAAAAATATTTAAAAATAATTTTCGCAAATATTCCATTCTGGAATTTTCTTTAAATTTATTATGTGACCCGATTGAAAGTTAATGTTTACGTATAATTCATGTGGAAGTAATTCGGGTTGCCTGCCAATAGGCGACATCATTATCCAACGCCAACGTCGTCAAAAATACATAAATAATTTTATATTTTCCCTCTTCGGTAATAAATATTAAATTTGAATAATGTACTATAGTGAATTATATCTATTTTATATAATTTAAGTTTATAAAATTAAAATTTTATCCACATAATAATAATAAATTAAATTAATTGTTTTAAATATTCGAAAAAAGTTTAGAAGGCTTTTGAAAAAAAGGTGTCTACTTAAGTGGAAAATAGAAAACAAATTTTTGGAAAACAATATTTGATTAGAAATTTATTATTTTAGGGAGAGTTTTAGAATATATTTTTGCTCTCTTTCTCTCTCTTTACTATTCTTCATATATTTATATGGGGTGTAGAAAAATAGGGGAATATAAAAGTGGCTTTAAAACCCTCTTTATGATGTTTCAAACTATTAAGAGGATTATATTGAATAACAAAAAGTCTATAATTTTCAGCAAAAAAAGAACACTTTTTTTCTAATTTGAATACAATTCGAGAAATACAAAAAAAAGTGTAAAATATTGTTTAAATAAAGTTATTTAATTTTTTTAAAATATATTAAATTTTTTTGAAAAATAGTTAAAATAATTGCTATATGTTTTGCATTTTTCAGATATATAACAATGGTGGTCTCGTCAAAAATGCAGTTGAATTGAAATTTTACACGAAATTTATTTGAAACCCTTTCAATTGGAATTTTGTTATTTGATATCTTTTCAATTTGTTCGCATTAGATTCTCGCGTGTTTATTGATTTCAAAAAAGAGGCAAAAAAATAATTGTCCGAAACGTTGGAAATAATATTAACAGATTTTTCAATTTTTAAACGTGTATACGCGGTTTCGGGAGTGTCGAATTGTTAAAACCGCGATCGTTTAATAAGTGAAAAAATAAAATTTTTTTCGATATACGAAAGTGTAATTTTTTTTTTTATTCGCTTCAGTGTTTTGAAAAGGCCAATATTGAGAGCAGTATTTCGAGATGGAAAATCAGAAAGAAGATAACTATTTTAAGGTATGGGGATATTAATTTCAAATTGATCTATAATACTGAATTATGTTTTTATGTCTAAAAACAAGGATTAAATTTCCCTTGTGCGGAAAAGGAACAAATAGATTTTAAAAAAATGTCGAATTAAGGAAATATTTTGATCACCGATCTGGAAAATCGTGTCTCGGGAAAAACGTGTTTGTTTCAAAATTATCCATAGCGAACAATGCGAGAGGAAGCGACCGTAATGTTTTTGTATATATACATATATCTTGATGCTCTTTTAACAGAGGATTGACTATAATTTTCAGAAAACAGTTTTGAAAGAAACTAAAGAGGAAAAAGTTTTTTGTGACTAAATTTTGGTTTACAAATTAAATGTTGCAATTTAAAATAAGATTTCTTTTCTCAATTAAAATAAGATTTTCTTTTCCAGTGAGAAATTAAATTAAATTTAATGGAAAAAGTTCAATAAAATTTCTATTAATAGAAAATAAATGTTGTTGTTCAACTAGGTGTCAAAATTTGTGCATAACGACTTGCCATAACGATCGAGGAGTCTACTTCATTCATTCAAGTTCTAAATCCACCCTGTAGCCAGCAATAATTCAACCCCCATTGTAATAGTTCTCTCTGTCGGTCCCGACAGGCTTGCATCCTTAAATGTATATATAGGGGGTGTATAGGCTGTACACATAGGGTAGCCAGGGTAGGGCCTAGCAGCGCCATAACATTCGCTGTGTGTGTGTTAAGGGGGTGAAGGGCGAGAGGGTGAGAGCGAGGGAGATTACTTCCAACGATCCAACCCCAGTATCGTCGCAACGCGCGCGTCTTTCGGACCTATATGTGTGTTTCAATTCACCCTCATCGTGCTACTATAGAGCTTTTGTCGTCACAAGTTTAGTTGCGCTCTTTAAAAAAAAAAGAAAATATTTTGGCGAATTTTTTCAAATTTCTCCCCTCTATTTTTCTTATTCGATTTTCTCGCTCAAATTGGAAAGACAATTTTTTCCTTTTTTTCTATCGTAAAAGCACGTGGTTGATATATTTTCAAGACCGGCTTTTTTTTTATGTACATCGTACACGTTGTTCTCGCAATTTGGATGTATTAGTGAACTTAGTAAAGGGAGGGATGCTGCTGGAATTCATGTGAGCCACAGGTAATCAATTTTTCATCCCTTTGAATTTTTTAATTTTCTTCGATCTTTCTCTTTCGTTGCCTGAATGTGGTTGATAAAATTTATTTATTATTAATTTCCATTATATTATACATATATAATATACCATTATTATTATATTAAATTTAATAGATCCATTGCAAATTATATTATTTATTGTAATTCCATTACAAATCGATTTGAAGCTAATTGCTATAATATATGAATTTATTCAAGCTACAATTTAGATATAAAAATTTATAAAAACTGAAAAATTTTTCTCTGAAATTAAAAAATCATTTAATTTGTTTAAAATTTGTTCTGCTTGTTGAAAAATGTTTCTACAGAGAATTTTCAATTTTGTTTTTTATAAAATCCTTATAAAACTATGAACACTGTATTAATGAAAAATATTTTATATAACAAAAAGCAAATATTGTATGACAAAAAGAAAATTCGAGTTTTTATTAAAAAAATGAAATAATTATTTAGAAATTCAATTATAGAGAAAAATTCAAGTGGACTCACACATTTTTAACAATTAAAATGCAATTTGTTTTACATTCATCATCATCATATATATATAGAGAGAGAATAGTAATACCCTTCAACTTTATTCCTTTTTTTAAACACGAAAATTGTGGCAGAAACGTATCGTGAAAAATATCGTCATCTCTTTGATTTCGCAACTCCAAAGTGATGGTTTAATTGCAATTTTGTTGAAATTAAATCCTATATCGATTTAAAATCTCATTTTAATTCTCAATAAATTTCATAGTAAAAATTACTATATTAAAAAATGAAAGTTGTAAATAGTAATATTAAAATTATAAAAAATTACATTATAAAAAAATTTTAATTAATTTTGAAAAAAATTATTTTTTCTCTTCTTTTTTAATTATGAAAAAATTTATAAAATGTGTCGATAAAGCTAATTAATTAACTTTTTATCAATTAATTTTATCACTACATAATCTAATTAACGAAGTTCTTAACAGTTTTTCCTTAATAACTAGGAATGCTTTTAATTTTATTGATTAAATTTTATAATTATATAATTTTTTTTTTCATTTTTTGTGCAACATATATTTTACATTATATATTACATAGAATATATATTTTAATTAATTAAATGTAAATATTATTTTAAAGAGGACTCTATCGTTTGCTATCTTGAAGTCACAATCAGGGTATAATTGGGGATTCTCCTTTTTTCATATAATTTTTTTTTTTTTTGTGAGAGATTAAAATTTAATTAAATTGCACATGGTGGCAGTGTTGACTAGATTTTTCTCAACCCTCGCGCTTTCATTCGACAAGTGAAAAATGCAATTTACAATCACTCTCCTTTTTTTTGTTTAATATTTTAAAAGTTGGCTTCATTTTATTACAAATCTATATTGACAAAATCCGTCACTCTTGATTTTGCATGGATGAATTTAATGTTTTATGATTTTATAAAAATTGAATGTAAATTTTAATCTCATCATATATTATACGTATATTTTTTATGTTTTCATTGACAATTGAAATAATAAAAAAATTATTTATGCCGAGCAATTAAAATATATAATTTTTTTTAGTATAAAAATATGTTTATATTGTAATTTATGTATTAAATAAATATTGCACTTAAATGATTGATAAAATTTCGAGAATATAGGGTTTTAAATAAAAAGTGATATATTTTCAAATAAAGAGATTAAAAAATAGAAATAAACTTAAATTTTATTTTTTGTTTTTTTTATAATAAATTCTATTTTTTACGTTACTTTTTTATATAATAAAGTGACTCTTCTTTTGCAAAAGAAACTTAATCCGTCCACAAGAATGCAACTTCATCTCTTATACGACGTTGCGGACTTTTATAGTGTTCATTTTTTGTGCTGTAAGAACATGACACAAGCTTTGCAGATGAAGATTTTATTGCAAACGTAAATACGATCTTGTGGGGGGGCGAGTTTTCTTTTTTTCAACTAAAAAAAAAAATTATTTTTTTTTACTTTCTTACGTAGTGAAAAAATTAATAATTATATTGCACGTGTGCAGGCAAACCAAACCCCTCTCGTTTTAGATCGATATTCCTTTCTTTATATATTTATCTCTTAATGCCATTTTAATGACGTTTAATCTCCCTAAAAGGTATTTTAATATCAAGTTTTTTTTTCACCCCGGAATTTTGTGGTAAAGGAAAAATATTAATATCCCGGTATACTTTTTATGCAGTTAAAAATTGTTTTAAACTAAATGAAAAAATTAATTTTATTACAAAAATAATATAATAATAATAATGGTATATTATGTATTTAAAATTACAAAAAAAATAATAATAGAAAATAATTTGTAATTTAATGAATATATTTAATTATTCATTGAATTTGGAGAATTTGAAATATGCAAAAGCAAACTTGAAATTCTAGGAGAGAAACTGAGAGTGGTCTGATTTGGGATAACTTTCCTTAGAAGTAGGTTTCAATGGTTGTTAGTTGGCGTTTCAGAATTCCTCTTGTGGCTTAACAACTTAGGCTAGATTGTTAAGCCACATTATCCGGTGCTGGGGGTATCAACCCAGAAACATTTAGATGCCAATTAAGAAAATATTGTTGATAATACAATAAATTCATTAAAATTATTGTTTTAAATTTATATAAAAATTTTCATTATAAAAAATAATATTTCTCCAGATAAGTAAAAAAAATATATTTTTTTTTAAAAGTGATTTCTCATCTTTTAATCTCAAGAGCTAATAAATTTAGTTACAAGAATTTTAATATGAATGAATGTAAGGACAGAGTTTGTTTGCTAATTTTGAGCGCAGAAAGGGAAATGTTCTTCCAGCATGAGGAAAAAAAATTGCATTCGTGAAAGAAACTGCTTTCAGTGTCTTATTTCATTTTATTATGTTGAGGAATAAAGTTTTTCCGTCTCACAATCAGTCGCTTTATTCGGAAAGTTCTTTTGAGAAAAAAAAGGACAAGTTCTAAAAAGTGAAGTTTACTTATACAAAGTTTTAACGAAAAGATAGCTTTTTTTCTCCATTTGGAAACAGAAGGTTAAAAAGCGTTTCAGATTCAGTGATAAAAAAAAAAAAATACACATATAAGCAGAAAAAATGTTCCATATAATATCTGATATACACATATTTGCAGTTTTAGATATAGTTTATAAAGCCCCGTAAAAAGTTTATTATGCCCTCGGTTCTTTATGTTCTTTTATCACATCTTTTTTTTTATATTTAACTGTTCTTTATCAGACAAATTCACATTATTTGAATACGATAATAATGAGTTTATAATCTCTTGAGTTTTGTTTTTTAATTTTATTTTTAAGGCATTAAAATTATATTGTAAAATAAAATTATAAAGTTGACAAACGATACGAAATATTTTCTCTTTAAGCTTTTGCGCGCAGGTGAATAATAATTATCTCAGGAATTTTAAGAAGTTTACTCCCCTAAACTCGAATATAACTTTGTAATTACTTCAATCCACTTCAAAGTGAAAAGTTACTGAAAACACCTCATTATTTAAAATAAATATTTATTTGCCTTTGAAATTGTATTTGAATTTCGTTAAAACGAAACTTTTTCTAAAAAACGGTAAATTGTAAAATAATTAATTATAGTAAATTAACTATATGGAAAAGCAATGTTTAAAATGAAATTATTTTTTTTAAACAACAAAATAAATAATACAAAATATAATAATGCAATAGTAATATATATAACATATTTTAATACATAAAAATTCATATTTTTTTTCTTTCTGTAGAATATAATTTTTTTTTTATTATTTTAGTATATGCTGTATAAATTTGAATTTTTTTTTCTTTTTTTTTTGAATAAATTTGAAATCGCTTTGTGTGCTT